TGCGACCTTAGAGATCTATTGTGTCCCCCTTTCTTGAGTTATAACTCATCATACAGTCCCAGGACTTCCTACGGAGACCCGTGTCCCTCACAGTCGAGGAGCTACGACCCAGGCCGGGTAGACGAAACGGTAGCTTGTGTCGCCTGTTGGGTTTAGAGGTAGGAGGTAGGCTCCCGACCCTTGGAGGAGGTGGTAGCTTGTATGCCACTTGCGGAGGATGGTCTCACGCAAGTGTCAGCCACCTCTCCTGTAGTTCTCTTTGGGTTTGGCCCCTTGGAACTTTCATTGTTACTGTTCCCAGTGTCGCTAGGGGGTTTCCCCACAGCTTCACCGGTGATGTTTTTATTACTATTATTACCAGATCTCATAGTGTTCCCATGAGTCACTAGGGACAGTCGCTCCATTTCTACAGAGCCCCGCATGCAGAGCCCCGCTTGTACAGAGCCCCAGCATGTAGTAAGGTGTAAAATACAATGGGGTGCCCCCCGATGCCCCAAGGTTGAGGCTGTCCGTAGCCCCGCCCGGTATCGTTATATATCTTGGTGCAATTCCCTGGCCACGACACTACAGCCAGGGACAAGACGATGAGTGAGATGCTTCTTAGACCAAGCCAAGTGCTAGGGGGGATTCCCCCAGCACCTGACCAGGAGCTTCCCCACCAACGACAAGGTCTTGCATCTTCTAGGGGAAGGTTGAGGGAACTAAGTGAATCAGATAGTATTACTGCTTAAGTTCCTGTAAGTATAGGGCGGAAAATGCATATTAAGGGAGTTAGGGGCACTGAAAGGGTGAATTTAAAAAACGGTTGTTTTGAAATTGTAGGCTTAAAAAACGAAATAAAATTTCGAAAAAAAAATCCTCTGCCATTAATTTTGACCCTAAATCAATTGGTGATACTGAAAAATTATTTGGAAAAGCGGAAAGGGTAGTTTTTGTAAGGGTAGGAGGTTGTTTCGTGAATAACTTTTTTGAGGTTATTTTTTTTGCAACGTGGATTCATTTTTTGAAAACTAAATACTTTTTACTATAAAAAAGATACTCTTGTTGCACATCGCCCAGAGCAATGGTTTTCGAGAAAATTGAAGGGTTGCTAACTGGTTAATCAACATAAACTTATGAAAGTTATGGCGGTTCAAAAGTAACCAAGTAGTAACAATCAAATAATTAATTGAAAAATAAAAATTTCATGATTTTTAAAACATCTTATTGCTTTAAAAAAAGAAATAATCCCATAGATTTCTACTTCTGGGGCCACATGAAAGCTTTGGTTTACTCAGTGCCGATTAATACTGAAGAGCAACTACGGCAACGCATTATTGACTGTCCCAATCAAATTTGGACAACACCAAGGATATTCCACAGGGTACGCAGATCTTGGAGCAGATGTCTGTGTGTCTGGACTTTAAACATTTACTATGAATGAATTAAGGAATGCATTATTTTAATAAGGAATTTTAGTAATTGGTTTATTTCGTTTTTAACGCAATAAGATGTTTTAAAAATCAAGAAATTTTGATTTTCTAATTAATTATTTAATAACTACTTGGTTACTTTTGAACCGCCATAACTTTCATAAGTTTATGTTGATTAACAAGTTAGCAACCCATCAGAGCAAACTCTTTGCCTTCAATTTTCTCGAAAATCATCGCTCTGGGCGATGTGCAACAAGAGCACCTTTTTTGTAGGAAAAAGTATGTAGTTTTTCGATCCGATTTTTTTACACCATTTCAATGACACCCTGTATAGAAGCTCTGGCCAATATATACAAAGAAGCCAAAGCAAGAGTAATGATATATTAAAACAACCCTAGAGTTCCCAACTGGTATAGGAGTACGACAGGGAGACGCGATATCCCCAAAGTTGTTTACAGCAACATTAGAAGAAATCTTTCGTCAATTGGACTGGCCCACAGTGGGGTATTTGACACAGATAGTTGATCGAAATTTTTTTATGTAGACCTTATATAAATTATTGCTATTTTCAATTAAAGAGGAAATTATATTAACAAAATAAAGGATAATTCGTCGATTCTAAAAAAAGAAAGATAAACCACTGTTCCAGTATTTCCACGGTCAATGCCACTAATACCAGTAGTAATATCGCAATTAATACTACTAATGCTACGACTGATCCGCGAGCAATGCCTATACTACTAAAGTCGCTACTAATGCCAAATTGTGCTATACTGCTAATGGCACTAATGCGATCGCTTTGCACACAACAATGCCATCGCGGTTTACACCTCGCATTAGTGTATCACTGATTGGCAAATTAGAGGAAACCAAGAATGTTTTTCTCATTTTATCAGCAAAGTCGCAAAAAGTCGCAGTATTTAATTTTACTGTATGAAAGCCCAATGTTCAATAAGTAAAACGTATATAGACAATATGCTGAATTCTTCGAAATGCGCAACTAAATCTCTAAGTATAATAAAAATGTCACAAATTTAATCAAATTTTCTGAACGCCTAACTTTTAGTTGCAAAAAAAAATCGTTAGTATAGAGAATATCAAAATAAATAATACGTTTTTGTAGAATACATACCTACCTGCAGCTTGCTGAGCCATTTTCAATCAAAACAATAATATAAGCGTAAAAAGAGCACAAGAACAACAACAATTTAAAATTTTAAACATAAAATTTAGCCATTTACCTCTTATCTGTGAGAAGTAACAACTTTGACGTTTCGTTGAAACAAATGAATGCAACTAAACACACCCAGAGCAACGCCATTCATGGCAGACATGATTTAACTTATCATTTATCTTTTTTTGGGAAATTTTAAACACATTTGCTTTTTCGAATTTCGATCACCTTTTTCATGCTAATACCCCACCGTGATGGCCCAACAAAGGATTGAAAATAGATGGAGATTTACATCTTAACCATATAAGATTCGTTGATGACATAGTCTTAATTGCCAATAGTCCTGAAGAGTTACAGGCACAAATTAATGAACTAAATACAGCCAGCAATGGAGTGGGTCTCAAAATGAATTTAGCAAAATCTAAAGTAACGTACAAGGAACTAGTGGAAAGAAAAGACATTCTAATAAATGACACAACACTGAAAATAGTAGAAGAATAAATATATTTGGGATAACTAATGCACAGCTCGGGATCTCTTCTACTAGAAATCAACAGAAGAATTAAATTAGCATGGACTTCTTATGGAAGAAACTCAATCATATTCAAATCTAGAACGCCACTCTATCTAATGCAGAAAACATTCGACCAATGTGTACTACCAGTCATAACCTATGCATGCGAAACCTGGACTATTTTTTAGCAATTTAATACAAATTAACCTTTAGAGAAAAAAAAATATATTAGACTTATTGTCTGGCGAAAATTTATATTTTTTGAATATACAGGGTGACTTTCCTACGATGTTCTCTATGGGTCTCTCGGAAACTATACTGGAGAATCGGTTAAATGGAGAAAGAATTGCATTCAGATAAAAGTTGTAGATAATCACATCCTTAATGAGATTGTGTTGTACTTTTTTTCTAAAGTATGCCATTTTTGACATATGACACAAACTTATGTTTTTTTTTTTAAATAGAAACCATAGTTGGCCATGACTTCATAAAAAGCGCCATTTTTTAAGATTTTCACTGATATAAACTGATATATGTTTTTTTCGAAAAAATACTGAGTTATAGCCTCGGTTATAGCCAATTCTTATCATTTTTAAACAATTTAACTTAGTTAGCCATGTAAACAAGTTCAATCGTCGTTACTCTCAGAAATGTCAAACTGTCACATCCAAACTTTTTAAATTAAAATAACCAAAAATTGGAAATATGAACTTTCTATGAAGGCGCATATTTATGACCCTACAAAACTGCAATTCTTTCCGCATTTCACCGAGTCTCCATCTCCAGTAGTTTCCGAGATACCCATAGAGAACATCGTAGATAACTCACTCTGTAGAATGAGTATTGCTTTCTTTCGAATTGAATGCAAAAGCAGGGAAAACACTATTTGTAAATTAAACCAATAATTTTGATCAAATAAATAATTTCTTATATCACCTAAAGGTGAAAAAAGGTTTGGTCGTTCGGAAGTACTGCACTGATCGGTCTTGGTCTTAGTCCTGCAGTTTCAACGTTATTTAAATAAATGCCTTTATTGTCAACAAATTTTATAATTTGTGAACAAAGGTAAAGTAAACAAACAAAAGAGAATACAAAACAAGTATACAAATTACATTGTCAGTCTTATTGCTTAAAATAAACATTTATAAATGTTTGCAATCTCAAAGAATAAAAAAATAAAAATAAGATTCAAAAATATTTACTATATTTATAGGAATAGCAAATATTAGACCAGTGTTTACAAGATCAAATTCGATCATCAAAATATAAGTCATTTACGGCGTAGAAAGCCTTGTCTAGTAAATAAGATTTCGAAATGCTTTGCGAAATGAAGAACATGATGTTATGGGTTTGATTTCAAATGGCAGGTGATTGTGCATTTTTTTTCGAGTTGTATAATATTGAACTTTTAACTAACTCTGAGCATGGGTTAGGTAGATAAAGATCTTGCTCCGCGTTCCTGAGTGGATAAGTGCGAGCTGGCCTTTCTTGAGAAGCTGATACATGCTTACGTATTAGGCAAACGAATTCAAATATAAATAAGAAAGGAAGAGTTAATATTTTTAATTTTTTAAAAAAGTTCTGGCAATGAGTTCTGCTGTTTAGTCCCAGTGAATAGCGAACAGCTCTCTTCTGGAGCTTGAATATACGGTCAAATTGAGTCGCACAACACGTACCCCAGAATGGAAGGGCATATCTGAGGTGCGACTAAAAAAGTGCATAATAAACAGTTCTACCCACTGACAAGTTCTGCTCCTTAGGAACATATTTTAATGCAAAACAGGCAGAGCTTAATTTTTTCGACAAAGCGTCGATATGCATGATTATACCACCACCACTGCTTACAATTTATGTTCACGCAACACAATTAAGCATACAAGACTTCTGGAACAAGACTTACCAATTAACAGATCCTTCTATCTATAAAATACCGAACATCAACAACAACAAGTGTCAGAACGCGCGCACATGCACCTTCTTCCTCCAATAACACCCCTCTTCTTCCGCCGATTCCAAACAAAATCTGGATAATCGCGCACCCCGCGGAAAACCACCGGCTAGTCGGGTCGTGGGGCTGTTTCGCCCACCTGTTGCCGCGCGTTACGGCCTATAATCTTCGCCGTCGACTGACCACCACCGGTGCTATTCGCCTCCGTTTCCACTGTGTACTTGCGTTAATATCGCTGGCGCGCGTGTACGTGTACAAGTCGCGGCCTTCGCGTCCGGCGGACACTTTCACTCGCGGCCCGGCCTGCCTGATGTGTGACGGCGATGGTTTTCGTGGAAGGTACGGCTGGTGTGCGTGGGCAGAGCGGCGGTCGAGTGGCGAGTCGGGTGGGCGAGAAAAACGACGATGGTCCGAGTTGTTTGGCGACCGACCGATGGGTTTCTGGAGGGGCGGTTGGTCTATTTTGGTGTCCTCTGTCAGTGACATTTAGTTTTGTTTAGAAACAAAACCGTGCTCTGTCCACTCTGGTGCTTCATTGTTTTCCCAAAGAGAAAGGGTCGCTTGCGATCCAGAGCCTCGTAGTGAGGTATTATGTGCTCTCTGCTCTTTCAAGATCTTTTTCGCAAAGTCTGCAGCAATGACTTGCTTAATACAGGTTAAATTAGAGAACGTCTTGTCTCTCCAATATACGACACACCGCACTCGCAAGGCACCTGGTAGATGCACTATTTCTCTTGATTTGATGGTTCTGGTTTTGTTGAGTCAGTATCAATGAGTCAGACTTGCAATTGGATATAATATTGAGTTTTTGCAGAGTAACCATTCTGAAGCAAATCGGTTTTAATATTACTTAGTTCAGAATTTAGAGATTCTTAGTAATAACTGCATATTATGGTGATTGCTCGATGATGTAATGTTTTAACTATGCTTCTTTTGGTTGCTTCAGAATGGTTCTACTGAGAATTTAAATATTTTCCCATATATGTGGGTTTTCTATAAACAGCATTGCTAATAGATTCATCGCTTCTACTGACAAGAACATTCAGAAACGGTAGACAGAAGTTTTTCTCTTTCTCAATCGTGAATCTGATTGAGTTACTTTGTGAATTAAGTTGATTGAGAAAGGAATCCAACTGGGTCTATCAGTTCCATTCCAGGTTATAAAAGGATCGTTAACATTCGCAGCTAGATTTTGGGTTTGACGACTGCGGTACCAATGGCATTGGTCTCAAATCACTCCATATATACAGGGTGGTCCGAACTGTATTCTTGAAACTTCGGCAGCTTATTCTGCAGATAAAAATAAGTAAAAAACAGTCGTATATATGTATGCCCTAAAATGCTTAGTTTCCGAGATGCAGGGTGTAGAAATTTCATTTTTATTTCGATTTTTTCCAAATAATTTATGAAGTAACGTCCATATTTGGATAAAAATTGGTATCTGGGAGTTTTTTGTAATGAGAAATTTGATTTTCATGCTAAGAAGACTCCTATTTGTAGGGGGCGCCATCTACATGTGTTTTAACTTTTTTGAAGTGTAATAACTTTTCGTCCATACCTGTATAAAACTACTGAGTGAAAAAATATACATTTCCGTGACTTTTTACGTAAAAAATGTCTCTTGGTAAAAATCTCAGCGAGCCACCATTCTCAAAATATTTAGAATGGAAATAGTCAATACATGTCATTATTGACAAAAAATAAACACGTTGAGTATAGATTTGATTGAAACAATAAATTTGGGAAATTTTTATTTTTTAAAATTAGTCATTTCAACAAAAACATTTCAAATTTATGCTTTCACTCTAATAACTATTTAGTCATGCTTATATGCATTATGTCAATGATGACAGGTATTGATAATTTCGATTCCAAATATCTCGAGAACCATTACTCGTAGCGATTTTTACCAAGAGACCTTTTTTACGTAAAAAAGTCGTAAATGTATATTTTTTTACTCAGTAGTTTTATACAGGTACGGACGAAAAGTTATTACTCTTCAAATTAGATTAAACACATGTGGGTGGCGTCCCCTACAAATAGGAGTCATATTGACTTGAAAATCAAATTCTTCATGTCAAAAAACTCCCACACAAATTTTCATCCAAATATGTAACGTCAATATTTGGATGAAAATTTCGATTTTTTCATAAATTATTTAGAAAAAATCGAAATAAAAATGAATCTTCTAAAACCTGTATCTCCAAAACACCCCAAACATCCACACTGTAAAAAGCAAAGCTACATGACCCGATTGAACGTACGGGGTCTAGAGAACAACGATACCGCCGACGACCTCCGGGAGGCCGTCAAAGAATCACTTCCACCGATAACTTCAATCTCAATCGTGGATGCTGAACATGGCTGGACACAACTAAGAAATGCGATTCACAAAACCAGCGAAGCAGTACTGGGAAAATCCAACAAAAAGAAACAACCAGACTGGTTTAACGAAAATCAACCGCATATACAGGCTTTGTTGGAACAAAAGCATAGAGCCCATCAAGCCGTCACTGCAAATCCACACAATCCAAGACTAGCAGACAACTTTAAGGCAGCCAACAACACGCTCCGAAGAAACCTGCGCCAACTAAAGAATAACTGGTGGTCGCAAAAAGCTAGTCAGATTCAGGAGTATGCCACGCATCACGACTATCGTAAATTCTTCGAGGCTGTAAAAGAAGTATACGGTCCAACTAAGAAGGCAAGATGCCCAGTCATGGCACAAAATGGCGAACTTCTAAAAGAGGAAGAGCAAGTCAGAAACCGCTGGAAAGAGCATTACAGTCATATCCTTAACCAAGAAAACAACCCCAATATGGAAGCACTCAACATAATACATCAGTATAACAGCCTCGATGTATTAGACATTCCAATAACAGAACAGGAAATATAGGACTCCATAAAACTGCTTAAAAACAACAAATCAGCTGGCTGTGACGCGATTCCGGCGGAAATCTATAAGTGTGCAAGTAAAGAACTTATTGGTCATCTTAAGGCTCTCTTTGATGTCATATGGGAAAGCGGAAAGATACCTCAGGACTTTTGCAACGCCACTGTAGTAAATATATTTAAGAACAAAGGAAGTGCATCAGACTGCGGAAACTACCGAGGAATTTCACTACTAGCTATCGGAGGAAAAATTCTTGCAAAAATTATGTCAAACCGCCTGAACCCACATATAGAAAAAGTCCTCCCAGAATCGCAAACGGGTTTTCGCACCAACCGCGGTATCGTCGATTCCATATTCTCCATCCGGCAACTACAGGAAAAAGTAAAAGAGCAGCAGTCTAAACTTTACGTTGCATTCATCGATCTAACAAAAGCTTTCGACTCTGTGAACAGAGATGCACTTTGGGCAATTATGAAAAAGTTCGGAGTACCCATCCAATTTCTTACAGTGTGTAAAAGCCTCCATAACAACAAATCAAGAGTGTCATATCATGGATCACTGAGCGATCCCTTCCTAACAAACACAGGCGTTAGGCAGGGATGTGTCTTAGCGCCTCTCCTATTCAATATATTCATGGCAGCGCTCTTCATTATAGTGGACAGCAAACTGCAGGAGAGAGGTTTGGGCATAAGATACAAATACGACGGCGGTATGTTCAACATAAAAAGACTCAGGGCAAAAACACGTACAAAATTCATCACAGAACTTCAATACGCTGATGACTGTGCTCTAGTAGCAAATACGGTACAGCAATTGCAAGAAATGTTGAACACATATACATGGGCATATGAGGCTTTGGGACTTAAGCTGAACATCGATAAAACTAAAATCATGTATACTCCCCGGAATATCACAACAATGCTATAAAAATCGCAGATGAGCTGTTCGAATATGTAGCGGAATTTAATTACCTCAGCAGTTTGATTTCGGAAAAGGCCAATATCGACTCTGAAATTCAGCCCAGGATTAGCAGCGCCTAAAGAGCCTTCTGGAAATTAAAAGACAGGGTTTTCTACAATCATGACTTGAGCACAAAAACGAAACTTGCGGTGTACCGAGCGATAATAATTCCCACCATGTTATATGGAAGCGAAACCTGGGTGCCGTACCGCCGACACATGAACGCATTAAACAAGTTGCAACAGAGACATTTTAGACAACTCTTAAGAATAAAATGGTTCCATCATGTCTCAAACGTATCGGTCCTTGAAAAAGCTAACTGCGAGAGTATTGAAGTCATGATTGCAAAGTCCCGCTTAAGATGGGCTGGTCACGTATGCAGAATGCAAGAAAACCGCATACAAAAATCGCTGCTTTACGGTGAGCTTGTAGACGGTAAGAGGAGGTCGGGTGGACAACTCAAAAGGTTCAAGGATATTTTCCACGAAAACTTAAAGGGAATGAGAGGGAAGAGGCAGCAGAATGAGTGGGAAGAGGCAGCTCACAATAGAATGGAATGGAGAAGAATTGTAAAGTCAGTTAAGAGCGACAACCAAAAAGTAAAGAGGCAACAAAGCAATGAGATTTTTGAATGTCTGGAGTGCGGTAGACAGAAAACATCACGTATCGGGCTTTTCAGTCACAGAAAAGCTCATAAAAGAAAACGCCTTACGTGACCATCTTCTGATGCGTGTCAAATAGTCGTCAGCGAGTAATGGCAGTATGGGTATGGTATCTCCAAAACTAAACATTTTAGGACATACATTTATACGAACTTTTTTACTTATTTTTATCTGCAGAATATGCTGCTGAAGTTTCCTAAATACAGTTCGGACCACCCTGTATATTCGGTATCACTGGAGAGAGCGAGGAACCCATAGGTAAACCATCATTTTGAGCATAAAACGTTTTTTTAACTTGAGCGAATTATGCAGACAGCACCTCAAATTCTTCATCGCTCCTCTAAGAGGCAGCGATGTCCTTTCGGAAAACGTTACGTCATCTCTCAATCTAGCCTCGACGAGATCTAACGATTCCTTTAACTCTAAGGGGACGTTGATGTACAAATTTTCTACGTAAAAACTGACAAGTTTGTCTGAAGGGCCGAATTCTACGTTCATAAGTATATATACAAAGTGAGAGTTCTTAACAAATAAAGATGTTTTCCTACCAATGGTTGGACAATTTGCAAAAAACGGCATCAGCGATGGCTATGAAATGAAGATCGCTACCACATTCAAAGTATCGTTAACACAGTTACTTTGAGAATGCCTTTATAGATTGTTTTCTAATGGCCACACAAAAAAACTCATAAAAAGCAAGAGCGAAAAACATAAATTTCAGTTTTCCGAAACATTTCCCGAAAAGACAGAGATAAGTTCATTTACTAAACGGATTACCATTCAACTCACTAACGGGCAACTTTACCGTTTTCTAGATACCAATCACAGATAACACATAATCTAGTTATAAAAAGTTATTATATACAGTCTTAGTAGCTATTTTTAAAATCGAAATTAGTTTATAGGTTTATTTAAATTTATACCAGTTTACTTTTATTTAATTTACCTACAGAGTAGTTTATTAAATAATATTTATTAAATATGTATTTATTATTCTATTAAGAAAACCGAAGAAGTAGTTTTTTTATTTATTTTACGATGACTTGTAGATATATAGATTTTCTATAAAAGAGCCAATTACGGCAAATTAATTTTCTTCACTTCCAACGACAGGTTTCTGCCTAATAGGTTTTTTATAAACCACACTACCCGCTCTACGAAATAGGACAAGTAGTTTTTCAAAGAAACGCTTATCAGGAAGATTCCTATTTGGATCTCTTGGAGCATAAGCCCTTGGAGGACAAGAAGCAATTTTCCTCACAAAATAAAATCACTGGTAACATATCCATTCGTTCCGTCAGCAGATACTGCTTTATTTTTTTTTTGATAAAATAATGAATACTTACTTATCAAACTATTGTGGGTAAATTTAAGTAAACTGTTAATAAATCTAAATAACAATGTCCACAAATTAATGTCGATTTTGAAAATAGTTATTAACTGTCATTACAAAATTGCCTTGGCGATACCAACCATCTTGATTGCCAATTTATTGAAAAATCGTTTTTTATTCAAAATGTGAGCTAGATAGGTATAACAAACCCTAATATAGTTTGAATGGGCATTTAAATCTGTTTCGATTTATTCTAAAATATACAATGTGTTGCATTTGAAATACCAAAGATTTTATGTAAAGTAAATATTCAAAATAGATCATTTTTGGTACCCCTGTATAAATTTAAGGAAGCAATAACATTTTTCAGTAAAGTTTATTTCTCTACCTTTAAACTCAGCACAAGAATTAATTCCGAAAAGTAATGTACAGGGTGGGTCAAATTCGACGCTTTTAAATGGAAACATCCTTTTCTATAGGAGATAGACAAAAACTAATATCGGTGTCTGGAGCTCAATTTTCATCAAAATCATGATGGTGAAAACCGCACATCAATATCTGTTACCGTTTCGGAGTTACGGGGTGTTTTTCAAAAATGTGCATTTTTAACAAATCGCTGTAACTTTTTTGCTATGGAAAATTTTGTATTTCTATGAAAACATTTCCAAAGCATCCTTTTACGTAGAATTTAATTGTTTAAGTATATTTTTTTAAAATTAATAATTTAAGAGTTGTCAACAGAAAAATTGATTTTTTATATGGGACACCCTGTATATTTTTAATTTATTGAAAATAATTTAAAATTACCTTTCCAAAAATATAACACACTTGATATTTTGCTCGATTCCTCTTCGAGATATAGAGTATATAAAAATTCGCCCGCTTTAAATAAGTAGGCTTTGAACGGCACCGGCTGTAATGCAAAAAAATTCTAGCTGTGAGCATCAATTAAAACGAAAATAATATTTGTTATGAGAGATGCAGAATTTTATAACAATTTAAAATATATTTAACCAACATCAACACATTTAAACTATATCTCATAACAATAAAAATAAATAGCAAACCAGGACATGAGATTTTGCTACAGGTGTTCGACATATCGACCGTCTTCTGTTATGGACAGACGGGGCAGTTTTTGAACATTTCTTGCGGAATTCATTAACTCAGTGGGGGTGAAAGATACCCTCTCATGACTGCTAAGTATTTCTAATTCTTGTCTAGATTATACAGAAGAATAAGGAACCTTTATTCTTTCGCAAATATATCCATAGGATTAGATCCATGGGCACTAAGTCAGGCGGCCTCGACGGCCAACGGCTGGGTTCTTGGTCAGCTATTCAATTATTCTTGAATTTGGCTGCAGAAATTTGCTGATAACTTCAGCGTTCAGAGGCGGTGCGTCGTCTTGCTGGAAAAATATGTTTTCGAGTTCCATTAAGGGCATATGATCAATGAGGGGTCCAAAGGCTACTAGTTAAAAGTGGCGAACTTTTAAAAAATCTGTATTTCGAAGGGGATTATAACAAAATATCAAGTGTGCTATATTTTTGGAAAGGTAATTTTAAATTCTTTTCAGCTAATTAAAAATATACAGGGTGTCCCATATAAAAAATCAAATTTTCTGTTGATAATTCTTAAATTATTAATTTTAAAAAAATTATACTTAAACCATTAAATTCTAGGTAAAATGGTGCTTTGAAATGTTTGCATAAAAATACAAAATTTTCCATAGCAAAATAGTTACAGCGATTTGTTAAAAATGCATATTTTTGAAAAACACCCCGTAACTCCGAAACGGTAACAGATATCGATATGCGGTTTTCACCATCATGTTTTTGACAAAAATTGAGCTCCAGACACCGATATTAGTTTTTGTCTATCTCCTATAGAAAAGGTTGTTTCCATTTAAAAGCGTCGAATTTGACCCACCCTGTACAGGTTGTTGATAATCTATTCTATATATTGTAGCGTGCATATTTAAATATTTAAATATTTCAAAAACCAAAGATTTCATCTCGGATTTTATACATATTTGACGCTTATAATAAATACCTTTTTTGGGGCAAAAGAATCCTAAAATTTAAATTATGCACATTGCCTCCCCACATATACACATAAAATATTTTGTTTCTACATCTTTTCCTTTTCGTATAATCAACCGAGGCGAAAGAGGTGCGCCACACCCTGTATAAAAAAATAATAAATTCAATTAATCTAGAAATAATAAAGTTATCTCAATACTTTTTTATTATAATTCTACTTCATCCCCACCCCCCTCCACTTAATTATATTGTGGTTGATGTAGTTATGTAATTTTATTATAAAAGAAAACATTCTCCCAATAACAACAATTAATGCAATCGTGATGCAATCCAAAATTAATTAATGGACCTTCACCATATTGTCGAGAATGCATATATATATTTCTCTTAACCTTCAAGGGCTACACAGAATAGTTTTTCTCAGGTTTTTCTTTAATCGCTACAGAATGGTCTGCTAGACACACTCTGTAGCGATCGCTGACGCCGTTTAGCTCGAGGTGTCTGATAGACCACTCTGTAGCCATTAAAGGTTAAATAAGTCAGAAAAATAATTAGTCTTAATTCCTTGTTATTTATTACACATTAATTATAACAAATAAAACAATAGTTTTTCTTTATCATATAATATATAATCATTTATTGGACAATAAAAAATACAATAATTATATTACACAAAAATTATTTTGATGTATAAACTTGTTAAGAATTACTGATATAAATTACAATCATAATACACTTTTTATCACAAGTTTAAGAAAAATAAGAAAACAATCTGAATTAAAGAATTTTTAAAACAAAGTCTGATCTTTTAATAAAATTCTGGTTTCCAGAGTTTCCGTACATGTTTTATCAAATATATATTCACTCTGGGTTTACATAGATCTTAAATATAGTTATTTAAGTTCATTAAAATCTTTTAATGCCGTAGAGGGTATAATATAACATACAATACCAGTTTCACAGAATAACCTATATAATAAACTGTTCACTGTAAGTCTGTAAAATAGCAAACTATCCTATTTTCCCATTCTTTGTATGGACCACTCTTGTTGACAAAGGGGACAACGATTGTTCTGTTTAACCCACAAAGACATACAGCAATAATGGAAGGAATGGTTACATTCGCCCCACACTACAACACAGTCTTGTTTTCCATACGAATCCTTTTTGCTCTCGGCCTGACATCGAAGGCAAGCATCCATGACTTGAACTCGACATATAGCACAGGTATCGCATTCTACATCCCAGCTCCACATAGCCACGGCATTCCATTTCTTCAGAGTGAACATCTTGTCTGATTTTTGATTATCGTCCATTCGTTCGTTATCATTTTCATCAGCCATTGCTACTTACTATAGTTCGTTAAAAAGTTAGAATTAGAGATGATAACTTTATAAAGTGGTAGGTTCAATCTTTTTTATCTTTTTTTAAATAAACTTGATATAAATATTTATTATTTGTTATTATCTGCTTTGTGTTTGTTTTTTTTTCTGACATTTGACATTGACAATTTGATTTTGACAATTTACCAGTACGTGCAATAGTCTAAAATGATTTCCCTACGTACATCAACATTTTAATAAAAAATAAATATACGTGTACAAAATTCAATAATACGTATTTAACGCCAAAGATAATTAAAATACCTGTTTTTATTGAGATTTTAAATAAACTGTAATTAAATTAACGATGTTTAAATTATGAATTATTTATTTTTAGGGATGTTTTTTGTATATTTTTCTAAGCATTGGTTGCCCTGTTTTCCTTGATGGATATCACATGGATATTAAAAAATTATCTGTGGCCAAAATTAACCTTACAATATTGTTGATGTTTTTTTTGAGTTTAAAATTTAATAATTTTGTATGAATAATTATAATATTGAAGAAAATGGATTATAAGAGACCAACAAGTATTGAAAAAAACGTAAATAACTATTTTGAGAAGATGTACACATTTCAAAAAGAGTCGCATTGGCAATTGCCCAGTATTTCTTATAAATCTACAAAATTTGTTATTGCAGATCTTCAAGATATGAAAATAAAATTAAATAGTGTAAAAAGTGAACTTAACGTTTTTGATTTAAAAAAATGGTCTAAACACACTCAAAGTAGAGACGTTGCAGGTCATGTTTTTTCGTTATTGAGAAACTCAGTTAAACCTGAACTTTTAACTCAAGTTAGATATTACAATATTCTACAGAAATAATTATTGTATTAGTCTCTGTTTTAGGCTTGGTGTAAGTTTTACGAAATTGTGTGCTCTTTTCCATTATTAAATAGTATTAATGGTGCATCATTTAACAGCTTGCATTTGTGCGAAGCACCAGGTGCATTTATTTGTGCATTAAATCATTTCTTAGTTTTAAATTTTCCTCATATAAGGGTAAATATGATTGTAATTTACTCATTTTGCATATGTAAGTATTTGTAACTTTTTTAGTGGAACTGGCAAGCCAATACGCTTAATCCTAACTACGAAGGCAATAATTTATGTCATATGATACCAGATGATCGACTAATTTGTCACACATACGAAAATTGGTTGTTTGGCTGTGATCAAACTGGGGACATACAAAAATTCTATAATCACTGTGATATTGTTCAACAAATTGTGTTAAGAGACAAAGTATGTGTATTTAAGTTAATTAAAAAATGTATTAAAGAAAATAGGATATTTATTTTGCTTTAGGTAAGTTTAGTAACAGCAGATGGAAGTATTGATTGTATGAAAAATCCAGGTGAACAGGAGAAATTAGTAGAATATCTACATTATTGTGAAGCAATGACTGCTTTTAGAGTACTAAAAAATGGTTAGTTTTAAAAGTAATATGTTTTTCAGAGACAGAGTGTTTCAATAGTATTTAATTTTAGGTGGATCACTTGTTCTAAAAATCTTCACCATCTTTGAAGATTCTACAATTTGTCTTCTTTATCTTCTCAATTGTATATTTGGCGAAGTATCTTTATTTAAGCCATGTACATCAAAAAGTGGAAACTCTGAAGTTTATGTAGTTTGTGTTGATTTTTGTGGTTTTGACCTTTTAAATCCTTTATGGGATAGTTTAGTAGAACCATATAAAAAAGGATATTTTGATGAAAACTTTTCCATGTTTTCTTTAGATGATATACCACATAGTTTTATAAATCAAGTCAGAACGTCATGTGAGTATTTTTTCATAGGATGGCAGATAAATGTTATAAAAAATAATATTCATATATTTCTGAATAAAGACGAAAATGATAATGAGGCTTTAGAAAGATTTAAACGTAATATAGCAGCTACCTATAAAGGAAAGTACCGGTTAAAAATGATTCCAAAGAATAAAAAGATAGTTTCAAATTTTAACATTTACGATAAAAAGAAAAGGAAATTTAGTGATTTTGAATTTATTACTCAGGTTAATGGTAATACAATCAGTGTTTTTGGTAATAATTTGACAGATTATATAAATCTAACTTACGGTTTAAGAATAAAGAAAGTATTTAGCTCTAGGTTTATTTCTATTGATGATTTAAATAAGATACTTAGATATAAAGAAAATATAAGCGAATATGAAAGAGTCTCACCATTATATACTTATATTTTTAAAAAGTTAAGTGAATATTGTACAATAATAAATATTACTGGTTTTGATATTTCAGTTTATTATAGATATCAAAAGGATTTACTAAAAGCCTTACTTTCTGCTGCTAAAGAGAATAAGCATATTTTTCTTATAAATATACCCTTTCATACCCACTTTTTGGCAGGAATTTGGTGCATTTTAGCTTGTGGTTTTGAACAAGTCTATTTTAATTGTGGTTGTTTAATATTTTATAAGCCTACACTAAATTTAAATAAAGTTATCCAAGTGTTTAATAAGATTCAAGAAAGTTATGACTTGGTTCAGAATACGGAATTTGAATCTGATTTGATAAACTTATTTCCATATAGTATTTTTGATACACATTTACACTTAATTGTTAATATTCTCAATATATCTAATTCATTTTATGTACCTGATTAATATTAAAAGTATTAGAGTACATTACTTTTTGTTTTTATTTTCTGCTTAAAATACTTCACAGATATATAAAATTCGCATTCACCATTTTGTCATTACTAGTGTTTTATTTTGCTTAAAGTTACTATTACTGCTGCTACATTTTCTTTATTAAGTGTCAATATCTTATTGTATTTAATGCCAGTGTTAGTGAGTATAATAATCTGATAATTAAAAATTAGTTGCTTTGATGACTTCTCTTAGAGTGCTGAAAAATGGTTAGTTTTAAGTGTATTTTTCAGGCACAGGAGTGTTTCAATCAAATACATCTATCCATCTAAACCCAACACTTTATTTAGACATCTTTGGTTCCAATAATATTTAATTTTAGATGGATCATGTGTTTTAAAAATTTTTGGAGATTCCACAATTTGTCTTCTTTATCTTCTCAGTTGTCTTTTTTGTGAAGTGTCTTTATTTAAGTCATGCACATCAATTGGAAACTCTGAAGTTTAGGTAGTTTGTGATGATTTTTGTTGGATAAAGGTTTTAAATTCTTTATGGGATATTTTATTAGAACCATATTATAGGAGAGGATATTTTGATACAAACCTTTACATTTCTTTAAATGATATACCACTTAGTTTTATAAATCAAGTGAGAACGTCATGTGAGTATTTTTTCATAGGATGGCAGATAAATGTTATAAAAAATAATATTCATATATTTCTGAATAAAGAGGAAAATTATAATGAGGCTTTAGATAGATTTAAGCGTTACATAGCAGCTACCTATAAAGGAAACCACCAGTTAAAAATGATTCCAAAGAATAAAATCATACAGTTCCAGTGGCTTTTGTCAAAGCCCTGGGACTGTATGATGAGTTATAACTCAAGAAAGAGGGACACAATATAGATCTGTGATTAACAGATATAATGATAGGTCGCAGTGATTAATCCCCCTGCCACTCATTCTACATTCTAAATTCATAATAAATGAAAAAGAAATATAGAGTTATTCTTAATAAAGTTTAATTAGGTGTTTTAAAATGTAAATCTGGACACAGCGTACTTAAATGTCTACTTTATTTACAAATACAAACAAAAAAATTTTTTTACAGAGCAGTGAGTGAGATTAAGATTTAAAAACGATCTTGTCGTTCGCCGAACATATCGAATTCAGGGTCGTCTTCAACGCCTATCAAGTCGGAATCACCACTGTGTATACTGAAAAAACAAAAATCATTTTAATATCACCTACTACAACATGGTAGCGAATTCAAATTTCGAATTTTAGGTACCTTTAAGCGTATAATGGAAGGAAAAAATTAAGAATCTCGAAATATCCTTATGGGTTAAAAGTTAGCTGTCTAGCCGCTACAGGTAACTGACTTTATCAAATCAAATCAAATCATTTATTGCATGTTAATAGATACTATTAGTATCCTTACACAAAGTCATATTTTGTAAAATGCAAAATTATAAAATAAGCACAATAATTATCTAACAGTAATTTAAAGTACACAAAAAAACAATACATACACAACGTAAATGTTTTAACCTATAACCACGCTATAACCCTTCACTGCTTTCTAAAAAATCAGTAACACTAAAATAAGCCATATCAAGAAGGTAGCTTTTAATTGTCGTTTGAAATTGATGTCTTGGTAAATTTCTGACATTTTGAGATAATTTATTAAAGCATGCGGGAGCATAATGAAGGCTGGAGTTCAGAGATCTTCCGAGGCGCAAATGAACACTCTTTATATTCATTCTGTTTCTGGTTGCATAATTGTGTTGTTCATCATGCGTAGTATATAGTTCTAGGTTATCCTTCACAAATAAAAGACACTGGAGGATATAGCAACATGGAAGTGTCCCCCAGTCTTTTGTAGGCGTTTTTTGTATCTGCTTGATAACTTAAATTTGACAAAATTCTCAATGCTTTTCTTTGCAGTCCAAACAGTCTGTCAGCATGAGCTGAGTGGCTCCAAACAAGTATTCCATAAGTAAGCACCGAGTAAATGAGAGCATGATAGGCAGCTACTAACACATCACTCTCCACACACTTAGCCAATCGCCGAAATGCATACATGCTTATGGAAACCTTCCCTGCCACATAGTTTACGTGACTTTCAAAACTCAGTTTTGTGTCAAATTTTATTCCCAGAAATCGGACACTGCCGAAATCTACTTTATATTTTGTTTTAAGAGAAAAAATAACTCTTTCTGTTTTAGTGTCATTCAGGCATAATCGGTTGTTGTTAAATAAATAAACTAACTTATACCGGAGGAATTATGTTGCGAGACTTTTTTTCTATATTTTTACTGGGACAAAATTTTAAATTGCATCAAAATTTTAAGCTGTCCGTTTTTCGTGTCGGTCAGTGCCCCTACAAATATTTGTACGAAACACTCGGTGGAAGAGTACGACTTGTTTTTGTCTGTTTTTTTTTTAATACGGTATTGTACAGGGTGTCCCACTAAGAATAGATCTCGGCTGTATCTCGGAAAGTATTAGTCGTACGGCTTGCGAAAAAAACAATATTTATTACTAAAGAGACTTGCTGGAATGGAGAAATTGCTGGAAATTATTTTAAAGATTGTAGAACGGCTGTTAGAGGGCGCAACTGCTATAGAAAATAAAAAAATATAATTTTTACGAATTTTTGCTTAGGTAAGGTGTACTATAAATAATAGCTTCACAAACTTCAGTAAATTTTTGATCTTTTTTTTAGAACCATTTTTGTCTATCTGCTAAAATAAAGTGCCCCAAAAAAATAAGCCCTTGATTACCTTATTTTTCTAATACGGTATCACTAGACCTCTTGATTATGATCATTCTAATAAAAAAACAAGATAAAAAAGATTATTTTATTAAAAAATTGACAATGTACCAGAATACCATAATACTAAGTGTATAAAATTCTAATAATTAAGATATCGATGACAGTGAACAAGAAACGACGCCTCAGTGAATTCATTGTAGACTTAGGGAAAAAATGCTTTTAAAGGGATATTTTAAACATCAAAATATTATTATATCAACATTTTGATAGTTTCAGCAGCGTTTTTTTATCTTTTGATTGCATTTCTAAAAATGCCTTTCTTTAAAAGAGCGTGAAAACGTTGCTAAGACTATCAAAATGTTGATCATAGATAAATGAAACAAGTTTAGATCGGAAAGTGCCCATAAGGACAATGTAAACACTATTTGGCGCTATTCTTGCAACGGTCGCGACCCAAAGCTTTTGAAAATTTCGGAGCGGTTCGGCTTTTTCCGGAATTATATCGCCAAATATTATTAATTTCTTTTAATTTTATAAATAAAATACAGTGTGATGCATACAAGAATCTTTATTATACATAAAGACATGTATGAAATACCTATGAAACATTGGAAACTGACGTTATACCACGATCCACCATGGTTTTTGCAGTTCACAGTTTACAGCACAGCTTTTTAAGTTTTTAATGCCACTTTTTCACAATTATCACGGGTTTGAGTATATAAAACTTAAATTAAACTCACAAGATAGCAATAATTACTGTGAAAGTTGACGCTTTAAAAACTTTTCGGAATATTTTCAATGAGAGCGGTTTATATTTAGAAAGATTTTCTAATTTTTGAAGATTCTGACTTTGACAAGAGATATGGACAAGAGAAAATTATTTCTGTTTTTATTTGCAGTTGTTCTTAGCAACCGCTATAGCAGCGCCAGATCGCGTACAACGGTCGCGATCCAAAACAATTTCGCGACCCAAAATTTTGACGGACATTCCAATCTAAATTTATTTCCTTTATCTATGATGTTGATCTAATAACACTTTGACGTTTTACTATTACTTCAAAAGCAACTTTTTTCAAAAGCCTGCCATGACTCTACTGAGGCGTCGGCGTCGTTTCTTATTCACTGTCATTAATATCTTAATTATTAGATATTAATACATCTGGTATTATGATATTTTGGTATTGTCGATTTTAGAATAAGCTAATCCTTTCTGTCTTATTTTTTACTAGAATGGAGAGGGCTACTAACTAACCAAATCAAGAGGGCTACTAACTAACTGTAATCATGTTATAAAAATTAGGTAATTAGGGGCTTATTTTTTCGTATTTTTTAATTCTGGTAATATCTTCGGTGTGAAAGAACATATCAAGATGCGGTTTTCGCTGACTTTTTACCATCAGCTAAAATTACACATACTATCGAATTTAATTTTTTGAAAAAACGCGCAGTATTTGTTAAATTGTAAAACCGCGCCCCCTAGCGTCTACATTCAAAAGCTTATTATTATTGTTTATACGGTATAATATAGAATAAGAAACGCTCTTTTAAACGAGCTCCCGTTTATTGAGTTCCGTTTATCCAGTCCGGAGTTATTAATATTTAAATAAAAACAGACCTAACCTTCCCCATCACTTTATTTTGGCAGATAGGGGGAAAATGGTTTCGACAAAAAATATTCAAAATTTACTGAAGATTATGAAGCTATTATTTTTTATTGTACCAGTTATCTAGTCAAAATTGTGTAAAAACTCAATTTTATTATTTTTTTGTAGCAGTTGCGCCCTCTAGCGGCTGTTCTACAAACTTGAAAATAATTTACAGCAATTTCTCATAGCCTCTATAGTCATAAATGTTTTTCGCAGGCCCTACGGCCAATACTTTCCGAGGTACAGCCGAGAGCTATTCTTAGTGGGACACCCTGTACTTTTTATTGAGTATTTTGAGAGTTTCCTATAAAAAATAATGTATTAGAGAGAGACGGAGGAGAGATTTTTGGTAAGATTTTTCTAGAGAATCGTTAACATGAAATTTTCGAGTAAATGTTTAACCAAAACAACATGAATGGTTTTCAGTGCGTAGAAGTCAGTAGCTTGACGACGAGACGTCGTCGTCGCTTTGAACATCTGATAACACTATCTTGTTGAAAAAAAATTAGCAATGAGAATGTGAAATTTATTTTGTTATATCTCTTCATACAGAGCCATAAAAAAATAAATCACAAATATTCGTTTTTTTTCTAAAAATCTTCAGAAGTATTCGGAATTTTTAAGCTTTTAAAGTGTCATTTTGATCAGCATCGAATAGCACAACTTTGCCTCTTGTGAATCGACCTCATGTCTCCTCTGGTTTCTGAGATCTCAAATATGAAGCAAATTGACATACAAAAATAGAATTGCATAATTCCTATGCTTTTTTTGATTATAAAACGAATTCATATTGAATTTATAATAATTTTGTAACTGGATATTTTCAGTGTAACAACAACGACAACACTACGTACCTATGTTTATCATACATTAAGTCTTCTTTAATGACTTCATTGTTGAACACTGGGTTTGAGCCCTCAACAGCAAATAAGTTTGTGGTTGGAGCGTTAATCGCCTTCCTGTTCAAATTCGATTCATCTGAACCGAACTTGGGTTCTGTCAATTTCTTTAATCTCCTGTTCAACCTAAACATATATAATAAATGTTTTAAAACCTGTTAATTGAATATTACACAGTATTTTAAGCTTTTTTACTCACCCTCTTATTTTTAAGAAGAAAGTTATCGCTAAAATTACGCACAGCGTTCCCAGTATAACTGTGACTATGATCAAAGCCAATTTTAGTATTTGTTCCAGATTGTCGGAAGTGGTTGACTCTGACGTGAAGGATTGTAGCAGAATACCAAATGTCAATAACTCTTTCCGCAAATTTTGGAAAGTGTTAATATTTCCTACTTTCCTAAAATATACCATAGAATATTACAAAACTTTTCAAAATAGTTTTTTCAAAAGCACACATGTCAAAATGCACCATTAAAAGAAGCAGCTTTGACTGTCTCTCTGAAATATCAACCAATTTCAGTTGATACCAAGAACAGTTAACCTAATAGGACTGCTCATTCAGCCAAAAGCACAGCCAAAAGTGTCCGCCAGGCGCAGGCGAAAACTACTCGCTTTGTGACGTCATTGTAGTCCTTGTCATGGTTATTAGTCCTTATCCTGCAACCAATAATACACACACGTGCATTATTGGTTGCCGAATGCAAAACGTTCATTATTTAGTTTATTTATTTAAACACCTTATATGTATGCAGTATAGAAAATTAACTGTATAAATCGTATTAAATACTCGGATAATGCATTTTTAATAACAGCAGTTCCCAGCATCACCTTTTGCAAGCATTCTTTTTAGAGTACTTCCATATTTTGCTTTAAAATAATTAATAAACAAAATCGTGGGCACTTAGTTAGCATTTTGTCACAATCCACAACACAAAATGAATCATGGATATCCCATAAATATACTCCTCTGGTTTTTGGATATCCCTAAGATATTTACTATATCCTTGGTGGATATCCTCAAGATATCTATAGGATTGTGTTGTCTTATATGGCTTACACTGCAGTAAAACTGCCATTTTTAGCTTTGTAATCCAAATGCAATATTTCTTTCTCAAAAATAAAAATATCCGACAACATTAAAATCACTGAAACTTCCGCGGCTGGCAACGAAAACTGAAAAATATGACACCCTTTTTTGTTTTGAATCTGCATATCAAAATTACGCTGTACCATTATGTTTTTGTTTTTGAAATCTATACTAGTTTATTCCTCAAGTGACTGACTCACTGAATCACGATCCTGCTCAAACCACTAAACGTAAGAAGCTCAATTTTGGCATACAGGTTGATTCTAGGGTGTTCGATAAGATAGAAGGGATTTTTGAAATTCCAGTTCCAAGAGAGTGAAACCACCCCTCAAATATTACAATTGGTTTGTTTTTTTACATATTTTAAGATTTTTTAAAAATGTATACAGGGTGTTTCGAAAAATCTGGTCATTGATTAATCACGATCCTGCTTAAAGCGCTTGACGTAAAAAGCTGATTTTTGGAAAATGGATTGACTTTAGGGTGTAGAGGTTCGATAAGAAGGGATTTTTCGAAACTCGAATTTTAAGGGGGTGAAAATATCCCTCAAATATTAGAATATTTTTTATTTAAAAACCGGTGAGTTTTTCGGAAAAAAACTCTTAAACACGTATATTTTATTTTGTTGCTTTACATATTTTAAGATTTTTTAAAAATTTATACAGGGTGTTTGGTGTTTCATAAAATACGTTCCTTGTGTCAAAATTAGTTGATTAAATTTTCGCAATTTTTACACCATTTGATGATCGATGGCGCCTCTAGTGTTTGTTTTCGCACGGTTAGTATTTTACTCCCGTTTATGGCTATTAAAGAAAAAGTTCTGAAGTGGGATGTTTTGTGATACGATCCAAACAGCGTCCTAGTGTATTTGATCCAAGTATACTTTAACCTTGTCAACCAGGCTTTACATTTACTTTATTTTTACTTACTTTAAAATGTCAGTGGATGTTTGCAATGTGTCATCTTCTACACAATAAATAGCAGCAACTGTAACATTGGTCAATTCCTGACCATTGTTAGTATCGTGCCGTACGTTTTGATCGTGACAGTCCCAATTTAACCAGGTGCTAATTGATGCTAGGATCTATTTAGACAAAAAAAAATTATAATCAGTTACCGTTCGTTAATTTAAAACGATAAACAGCACTTACTTTTACTAGGTTAGCAGTTACATCTTCTAAAGTGTTTTCAAATCTGAAGTTTGCCGTATTGTCGTCAGTTACGATGTATATTGTTACCTTGGTTGTGTTTTCATGCGATGCTAAAAATTAAAGAAGTGTTTGTCATGAAAATTTGTCATATTAAATCCAGTGGTAATTTAAAAAAGTCTTGGTAAATTTGGTTTCCGTGTCAGTGGACAAATATCACTACACCAAAAACATGAATATTTCTAGATATAGGCTTGGTCCATTTCAACTGATTTTTTTTTAATTGTGATACCAGCGCTTCGAGCGGCAGGAATCAGAACGCTTAAGGCCCCTCAGACACTTACGTTTCGTGTCCGTCTTGCTTGCACAGTTTTAAGTTGCAATGCATAGTTCAGTCATTGGGGATTTTTGCTTGGAAAAAAGTCCGGAAGTTTTGCAGCTTTGCAGGTTTATAGGTTTTGGGATCCCTAACTAAAATCCATAAAATGCACATTTCCAGACTTGCCGCCGGCGCCGCCATCTTGCCAAGATGGCTCCCAAAATTGGTATTTTGTGAATATCTCGAAAACTATGCGTTTTTCGCGAAAATTTGAGGAGAGCAAAATTAAGGAGAATAAAATTTACTATAAAAAAGGTCTTATAAAAATTTTCGCTAAAGTCAACCGTTTAGGCACAAAATCCCTGGAAATTTTACAATTTTGCGTAAAATATGATATATTATGTATAGTCGATTTTCCGAAATCAAATGTCGATTAGTGTTCACTAAAACTAGTTTTAGCTTAGTTTCTTCAATTTTGTCATAAAACAGTGGCGTATTATTAATTCGCTCATTAATTTATGAATAATTAATTTTAATTATTGAAAATGTGCACTTGTTTCCACACCACCCAAGAGGTAAAGTATATGGCGCGTTTATTTTAACGTGGTCTCCCCGGAGACCTACTTCACTAGATAAATTAAAAAGTTTAACTTATCTGCACAAGCCCGACCGATCTGGCTCATTGATGTCAAAATCGATCGTGTCTGCTGTGCTGGGCTCATCAGGGTGGTCTATCAATACTTCCAACTCTTCATCTTCAGCCGCCAGAGGAATATCTACAGGCAAGTCCAACTCCTCTTCATCGGATTCGTCGAGTGACACTTCAGTGACGTTGTCACAGGATTTCCCATTGCAGTATGCACAAATCATTGAACATTTTAATCCTGCTTTTCTGCATCCGCAGGCTTTACCATAGTTGTTGGTTTTGCATTTACAGGATAAAAATGCCAACAGGGATTTTGGAGCTGGATCTTTCAATGTTGTGACTGGAGTAATGCCTGTTTTTGTTTTCTTCCAACCCCATTTTTCTTTGGTATAACGCAACCAGACCAATGCTGAACCTGCTGGTAAGTTCGCAATGAATGCTGTCCAGCACGACAATTAATTATTCATAAATTAATGAGCGAATTAATAATACGCCACTGTTTCATGACAAAATTGAAGACACTAAACTAAAACTAGTTTTAGTGAACCCTAATCGACATTTGATTTCGGAAAATCGACTATACATAATATATATTTTACGCAAAATTGTAAAATTTCCAGGGATTTTGTGCCTAAACGGTTGGCTTTAGGAAAAATTTTCATAAAACCTTTTTTATAGGAAATTTTATTCTCTTTAATTTTGCTCTCCTCAAATTTTCACGAAAAACGCATAGTTTTCAAGATATTCACAAAATACCGATTTTGGGCGACATCTTTGCAAGAGGGCGGCGCACAATGGATCGAAGCATAAGAAAATAAAGACATTGGCTGTTTTTGAAGAGTTCCAAATTTAAATATTTTTTTCACATATTTGTGTTAAAGAGATATTCTAGTTTTGTAAAACATATACAGTATGTCTGTTTGTTATTTACTTATTGAGCATATGAGCACCATTTGAAGTAAATTGAAAAATCATTCAAATTGGTAGATAAAGAGTCTTACATTTGATTGTAATTTTAAAATGGATGTAAAAGATATTCGTTTGTTATATATAACGACTTATTAGAAGCGTTCTTGGGCTATAATATTGGATAGTTAAATTAAAAAAAAAAAACAGAAACCCCGAAAAATATGGTAGAAAAAATGTTTTTTAGCAGTTTCGTTCAGCAAGTTTCACTTTTATTCACAAATATTCACTTTTTATTACATATCGTCGGTGAAATGCGATAAACTGCTAACTCCATTATTTCTAATTTTAGAGGAAAGAAAAGAAACGGCACAAGAAAATATGTACACATGTAGCAAATATATTCATGCATTAATATGATAAAGAGATAACAATAATATTTGTTGGGGAACAATAAAATTCATTATTTCATTAAAAATTTTACGTAAAAATGATGTATTAAATCATTATCAAAAAAATGGAGTTAGCAGGTTATCACGTTTCCCTGACGATATGGCTTTTTGAACGGTAAAATATGAGACAAAAATTATTGGACAGCTTTGATAAAAAAATTGCTTTTGAATCACACCATAACGTGGTATACTGATGCTTCCAAAACCAAAGTAGGGACAAGGGTTGTTTCGATTGAAAGAGAAAACCTGGTATAGCGTTCCTAGCAAACAACCCCCAGTTAGTTCGCGACAGTTTGATGAGTTATTACTCGTTATAACTCAAGAAAGGGGAACACGCAATAGGTATGTAAGGTTGAGGTGATGAACCCCCTTCCCAAACATTCTACATTCTACAGATTTTTATTATTTTATAAAATTTAGGTGACTTTGATATGCCTATAACGTTACTTCAACCTCACCATCATCAGCTATGATAAAAATTTTAGTTTAGTTAATCATCTGCTAGTGATGCTGTATGTAAAGTGTTTTGGTGCGTTGTGCTGAATTAGTGTTTTATTTTTTGATTTTATTTTAATAACGGACAAATCTTCGAAGATTTCTTACATTAGATTCAACTTACGGTTGCCAAAATCATCTGCCGGGTCTTCGACTTTAATTGTGAATACGAAATATCCGTACATGTTGTAATCGACTGTGAAGTTCAAAGATACATCGCCTGTGCTCTCTCCCAGATAGAAAGGTACTGTAGGTCTTTTAATACTATCTGATCCGACCGCCTCAATCGTACTGTTTATGGTGTACTTTAATTTTCCTTGATCGATTTTGTCTTCGTCCGTTGCCTAACGATTAAAGATGAACATTTTCAATTATTATATTATACAGCGTAGCAAAAAAAGCAACTGTTATTTAGAGATTGATATAAATAAGTGGTAAAAGTTAAATAATAATAATAACTCCCGTATACTAAGGGCTGGCAAAGGTTAGTCTTGGGTCGAGATTTCCGTATGTAAGCAGAGTACAATGCGTTTATAATATGGTTTATAATATACTGAACAAAGAGAGGACAGTAAACACGTTGCCAAACGTATCAAATAAACCGAGAAACTGTGCACATCGCTAAGAGACGTGGAAGGGGATATAGTAGATTTGTCGCAGTTGACCGGTCGACCCAATCAATATCAATACCTCTGTCAGTACTTAAAGTTCTAGGGAAAGGTGTACGTCATGCGTTCAGCTTCACGATTTAATTACGTCTCGTGATAGTTAATTTGTTTATTTATTAACGAGTCGTTGTAATTTTCCCTATAGCTTGATTTTTTTTAGGTGCAAGCTAGAAACACTTGCATTTTTGGTAAAAATAAGTGGAACTGAGTGGGTGTTCGATAGTGGTCGCGCTATTAGAACTCTGAATTCAAAAATCGATATCTCGAAATCTATTAGAAATAATAGATTGTAGTTTTTTCAAGAAGTTTGTTAATATTTCTGCTGTATTTTCTTTGTAGACAGTATGTGAAAATCTTTATCAATAAAAAAATTACACGATTGCTGAAAATTGCTATGCTCTAAAGTAAATGGATGGATTGTTTAAAATTTTTGAATGGAAAAAACAACCTTATCGAATTTTTCTTATGTAAAAATATTGTAAAATATCCGATCTTGAAAATAATAAAAGTTTCAATATCTAAAGTGGTTCTGGAGTTATGGCCTGTTATGTGTTAAGAAGTTGAGTTTTTAAATTATCGCGATTACTGACGTTTTCTCTAACGATATCCTTATAATTCCATTTCAGATGCTCAGAAACATGTGTAATGATTTTATCTAGTTATCGCTTGAAAAAAAGTCTTTTAAAAATAAGCGGTTTGCCATCGTGATTTTACTTTACTTGATAGGGATAGGCGTATCGGCAACGCCGCAAAAGCACACCGTCGCGCGTCGCGTCTGTCGGTCGCATTTCTCTCACTCCGACTTAATAAGATTCCTATGCGATTTACTTCCACACATGTAAATGCTGACCCAAAAGTAACCGTTGCCAGCACGGTATAGTGTTCAACGCCTGGGAATAGCAAGGTACAGCTTGCCATGCTAGAGCCGTTCGGTATACAAGGAAGGTAATGTGGCTGGCACTACGCTTCAACCGCCTATTATTACCTCAGGATTGTGAATCCCAAGTAGTCATTTAAGGCTGAGTCGACCTATGCAGGTACACAAACTATTTTTATTTTAATAAAAATAGTCGGCTGATGAAATGCCGGCTGTAGCATTCGAACCCACAACCTTTAAATTGGTAGACGAGATCTGTACCTCTACGCCGCGCCGTCGGGTACCGCGAAAAATAAGTTAAATCCTATCACTTAAATACATATTATTTGGAAAATTATCAAAAATGCTTACCTCAACAGTAACAACTGTGCTTCCTTGTTGTGTACTCCTCATTATTGGTCCAACGAAGTTGCTCTGAGTCCACTGGGGAACATGAATATTTGAATCTACAACCTGCATTTAGATAGAGTAGAGTTTTAAAACAAATATATTAGTAGTTGGGTACAAGGTGTTCCATTTTGGTTGAAATCATACGGTATCTTCTTTATTAGTGAAAATAGCAAGATGTGGTTTGTGGACAAACCTGTCAAATTTTTTTGTCAAAGGTAAGAGCCGTAAACAAAATTCATAACCCTCTTCGTTTCTGAGCTAGAGGGTATTCTTGAAAAATTTGCAATTTGGTACACCAGATTATTTTTAAAGATGAAAAATGTTATTGGTAGAACTTTTTTCTAGAATACAGTGACGTAGGCTGTTTTTCTATGATTTTTTTTTCTAAGATAAGGGCTAAACGTATAGTAAACGCTACGAATGTTTGGGAGTGATTCATCGGTCGCTACCATGTGAACTAATCTGTTCAAGGTCACATAAAACTTAATTCCATTGCCGTGGTATTTCAAGTCATATAATAATCAATATATTATAATCTGTTGTAATTTGTTGTTTTAACTGTCAAAGTCTTGTCAAAACATATATTTGGTTATAAATATATATCCAACCCGCTCATCAGCGATTGAAATCAAGGCACAGCTTCCTGCGATCGACAGAAGACTACGAGGAACCTAGAACCAATGTGGACCTTTGGGAGAAGACCTCAAATCAACATTGGATGAAGCCGAAGGAACAATTGGCACCAGGAAGCGACGAAAACTGGGAAACTTGGAGAGCTCTTAACAGACTGCGTACGGGCACAGCGAGATCGAGAGACACTCTTGCCAAGTGGGGCTACCATGTGGACTCCAACCTCTGCGAATGTGGAGCACTACAAACCACCCAACATATGTATACTTGCCCACTGTGCCCCGCCAAGTGCACTATAGAGGACCTTATGGCAGCAAAGTCGAACGCAATTGACGTCGCCCGCTTCTGGGCAAAACATGTTTAGTTTCCCGTCTCAAATGATGTTTATACATGCTATGTTTGTTTTATATCTATGTTTTAATGTACTGTGGTTTCATGTATAACTTTTGTGTTTGCAATTTTACTTATTGTTATTATTATTATTATATGTAATTATTGTTGTTATTGTTGTTGTATGTGATATTATATGTATATGAAATGTAATCTTGATGATGCTTCTGACACGAATAAATAATAAATAAATATAAAATGGAATGCCCCATTGATCGCACTGCAAACACACCAATGGACTGACGCACAAAAACGAATCAATCAAAGAAACGCGATATAGTATCGTCTTTGTCAATCACGCTAACATTTTAGAATAAGTAAGAGGAGCACAGGCAGATGATTAGACCGGGCCTTTAAAAACCTACGTCTGCGGTAAAAATTTACGTTTTTAATGTAAAAATGATAGCGCGCATGTCGATTCTAACTTCATCAAGCGATGAATCACTCCCAAACATTCGTGACGTTCACTATATTAAAATTTTATATGGAATTAAAATATTTTACTTTTAAACTCTGTATACAGGGTGTTTCAAAAAACATGTGCCATCCCTTGTGGGGAGATTCCTTACGTGAAAATAAGATTTATTTTCCATATCAACATAGGTCCGCTTCTGCTTTGTTTTGTAGCTACAGGGTGTTAAAGTCTTAATATTTTTTCGATTTATTCTAATTTTCCTCCAAGTAATTTTAGCGTTTCGAATAAAAGGTTGAATTTGAGGGTAATAGTTACTATAAATGCGACATATTTTAAAGCTAAAGAAGTGTCAACATATTCATCAGGGATGTGCATCTGGGTTATCACTGAAATATTTTTCAAAAAAAAAACATGTGCGCCACTGACTTTTTTTCTTTTGATATCAAAATTATCAAAAATGCTTATAATAGGCTGTTTAAATGCCAATTAAAAGTTATCTCTCGATATATTCTCGATATATTTCGATTCTTTGATGAGATGAACGCAATTTTATTAATTCGGTCGATTAAACGGCCTACACAATTTTGATATCAAGAAAAAGTCAGTGGCGCACATGTTTTTTTTTTGAAAAATATTCCAGTGATATGTACGTCCCTGATGAATTTACCGACACTTTTTTGGCATTAAAATATGTAGCACTTATAGTAACTTTTACCCTCAAAATTTCATTCGAATCGTTAAAACTACTTGGAAGAAAATTATAATAAACCGAAAGATTATTCAGATTTTAACACCATGTAGCTACAAAATAAAGCAGAATCGAACCTACATTGATATGAAAAATAAATCTTATTTTTACGTGAGGAATCTCCCCACGAGAGATGGCACATGTTTTTTGAAAGACCCTGTATATATTAGCGTAACTAGCAATTCATCCTGGGGGAGAGGAGCCTAGTGGCCAGCCCAGGGGGGTCGTAGGGCTTTGTTTTTGAAAAAATAAATAATGATAATAATAAAAAATAACACATTTTTTTTATGAAACGTTTACATGAATTTCTCTATCAATAAATTTGTAGTTATCAACCCGTGTTTCCGTTGATTACTTAAATACCTAAACGTTTTGTAAAAAATAAAACCTAGCATACAATTTTGGAACAAAATAAACTAATATTAACTAAACAGATCTAGAAAAAGTAATTTTTACTACATCATAAGCAATATAGAAATTAATATTTATTCAAGAGTCATAATTTAGTCCAAATTCAAGTTTTCTCTGAGGGGTGCCCTGCAGGATATAGGGTGGGCCTGGCACTCCCAGGCCCCCTTGTAGTTACGCCAATGTGTATATATATTGTTGGAAATTTTTCCTGATTCTTCTCAAAGTGTCGAGGATTATAACAAGATGGATTTGCAAATATCTAAAAGCTAAAAGCTTGCCTGGTAGCATTTTTCAACACCTCGACAGTGATATAGTCGCCACGATATGTTTTTTATTTTTTAAAAGTCTCTAAAATTAAGAAATTGAGTACGGACAAATCCGGGAATCTGGGAGGCCATCGTATGGGCCCATTGGTCAGAATATATTGATTTGGGAAATAGTCGTTTAAAAAATTCTAATATTTTCAAAGTTGTAAGATACCGTATGATTTTGACTAAATTGGGAGACCCTGTACAAAAATGTATAGAAACGTTGAATAAAAAGATTAAGGAAGGAGTAAAATGCTATCCACGTATTCATGCATTATGGGTAGAAAAAGGACTTTAAGGTGGGGATCCTTGACAGTTCTGTTTGACGAATCGTTTGACACATTTGAATTTGATTTAAAATTTTGTGGATTTGTCAGTCTTCTGAGCTTATTTTATGTTATTTATTATTTATTCTACTACTGATAGATGTGTAAAGATTGTAAATCTAGATGGAAATTGTGGCAGAACTTAAATTAACACTATTGCGATTTATCGAAAAAGACTTATTGCAAAATAGTTGGTTGTGTAGCGTGCGGTAGAGCTCGGTCAAAAATCGAGTCAAATAATAGAATAAATTTTCGCTGGTAAGTGACTGACATAAATACGTGTAGTAAACCGATCATTTATGAAATTCACTTAAATTAACTAACTTTATATTTTTTCTTGTATTTTTGCTGTTATTTACTACTTGTCAAAGATTACATGTCAAAGAATTTAGATACGTCAATTTGACTTACATGCTTCAGTAGCGTATCGGATGTTTGTGTTAATAAATAATTATTATAACTTATCCATTTTTATAACAATTTTAATAACTACCAACATTTATTCACAACGTAAAATAAAACAGCAAATTATTGAGTCGTCTCCACCTCTACCCTACATCATAGTTTTACACTTTTAAATAAAATTAGAACGGCACTGCTAAAGCGGAATTTAAGTCGGCCATATTTGAGTCCCATCGCGGTGGACCTAAGATTTTTGATATGCTCCTTCCTTAATCTTTTTACTTTTTGTTTTTGATCATCTTTATTTTATGGTTAAACATACCCAAGTAGCATTTTCACGACTTGCGACCACATGTTTACTAAACACAACGTTGGATTAGTTACAAAAAATAATTAGCGCCGTACCTTGGGTATTAAAATAAATGTAAACGTTGTTGTAACGTTGTGCCGACGTTGAACTAGTACTACAACAAAGTAAAAGCTTCTGCGACGTCGAATAAACGCTGTCTTGTAACCTTTTTTGCTTAAGTGACCTTTAGGTGATTCGGACAACGTAGTTACAATGTTGGGCAATAAAGAGTTTTCCGACGTCATTTTCACGACCTATTCCAACGTTATGCAAACGTCGTCTGTTTTACTAATTCCAACGTTGTTTAGATTTCCTTATTCGTTTATTCCCTCGTTTATTTAGATTATAGAGGGCGGCACAAGCTAGACTCTAGGATGACTAAATTAGGCAATCTTGCGACTAGTATACTACCTGTTAAGGCTGAACTGCGACTTTATTAGTCCAAGGTATGCGACTACTCGAACTACTCCATCTTAATCTCCAAAACAACAAAGTGAAAGCCGCCATGTTGTTGAATAAGAAAATGTTTCGTTCCTAAATTGGCAATTCCTGCTTTTTGAATAGATTAACTTGAAATATTTGACCCTAAACAACACGCGGAAACAATTTTTTCGACTGCGAATAAATTATTCTCATTTTACTAAAAAAAAATTCAAGAAATTTTTTAAAAATTTTAAGGCCCATTAATATTTTTCAAAGTAGAAACAATACATTTATCAATAAAGTTGTTTGCGTTTAACTTTTTTGCCTTGGGTAACGAGTTACAGAGTCGGTTAAAGTGTTTCAATAATTATGATCTTCAAACATCCTCCACACTTAAATACTTTTGTTTTGTTTTCCTTTACTGCCATCTGGTATATGTCTCTAACTAAATCATAAAAATAATATTTTTACTATAATTATCCCAATTTAGGATAAAACGCGACTTAGACGCCATATTATTATAGTTTTGTATTTCTGTGAATTAGGATTTTAAACAACGTTGCAGTTTGTACTAAATTAGGCTGCTAGCCAACGTCGTTTCGACCCTAAAATTATTCTCCAAACTAGTGCAGACTAGGGTTGGCACGAGGTTGTGCCGACGTTGCGCCCCGACGTTTGGTCGCGTGACACAACGTTGTCCCGACGTCCAAATGCTGCTTGGGTAATTAAGCTAACGAAATAATTCAAATTTAAAAGTTTAGAAATAAGAATTATCCGTCAGGCAAAAATAGGTATCATTTTTTAAAGTACGAAATAAAGGAACTAGAACTAAAGAAACAACTTACTTTAACTTCTACTGTCAAGTAGGATTGTTCGTTTGTAGATATTGTAGTTTTATTTTTTGAAGCCAGTATTTTGAAGGTGTAATTATTTTGGGTGTTGTAATAAAGTTTCTGTTTCAATTTTACAGAACCTGTATCGATGTCCACATCAAATGTATCTGTGATAGTGACGTCACTTGTCGATATGAAGTAATATACTAAAACAAAATTGATACAGGATGAGTCTTAAATAAATGCCAATATTTTTATGGGTGGTATATACAGGGTGGTTTGAATTGTAATCGGGTAACTTTGGCAACATATTCCGTAGATGAAAATAAGTAAAAAAGTTTGTATAAGTTTATGTTCTAAAAGGCTTCTTTTAGGAAATACAGGGAGTAGAAGTTTAAAGTAAACTTTGTAATATATCTTATTAACAATACATACAAGTTAATGAATTCCGAGGTCTGTTTCCCATAAAGGCTTAAAGCACTCTAGTAAAAATTAAGTACTTAATACTTAAATTAAAAAATGGAGAAGATTTGCCCTAGGTTCTTCACCCCCGTCCAATAATTATTAGGTTATTCGTCCAATATAACATAATAATACGTCCAATATAACATAAATAATAATATACAAGTATGCCCATTAGAATAACTAGCAATTTATCCTGCGGTCGGCCTGGGGTGGGCCTGGGGTGGGCCCGGGTTTGAGTTCAGGGGGGGGGCTAGGGCTTTTGTTTTTTTTAATGAAAAATAATTTTAAAAATCACATTTTTTGAATAAAACGTTTTACATGAATTTTTCTATCAATAAATTTCATATACTTGGTTATCAAACCGTGATCTCGTAGATTACTTAAATACCTACAAATTTTCTAAAAAAATAAAAATTAACACATTTTTGAACACAACAAAATAATATCAACTTAACAAAACTAGAAAACGTCATTTTTACTGCATCACAAGCAAATAAAAATTAATACGTAACCAAGAGTCATAATTCGGGATTTCTCTGGGGGGTATCCAGCAGTACCTGGGGGGTGGCACCACCGGGCACCCCTGTAGTTATGCCAATGTGTATGCCCCCTACATTCTGTTATCGAAATCGATTTTCTCATGTAAACAAGATACCCAGACACCAATTTATAGAATATGTTGTGGAAGTTTGCTGATTACAATAATTTGGATCAGTCGTCTGTATAATGGAAAATTTATGCAAAACTGATGTATAGATTTTTCTTAATATTAAGTAATATTAACTTACTTGAAGGCGACACATCGATCTTTGGATATTTCGCTTTTCTGTCCAGCGGAGCGGTAGTGTTTTCAGTATCCAATCTGTCCTGCAGGAAGTACAAGATACAGGGCTGATCGATGTTTTCAAAAATAGGTTCTTGATCAAGGTCCACGAATATTACTGACAAACTGACTGACGATGTGTAGGATTTCTCGTCTGGTTGCAATTCGCTTACGTTTGCTAGTGTGGTTATTACATTAAGCTGAAACAAAGTTTATCCTGTATGAGAAAAAAAATCAATTTTAATATTCATTTAATTTCATTAATAAATGTCAGAATATCTTATTAAACGGTTCTTTACAATTTACATTACACGAACCAAAACTTAAAAAAATAATATCACTACATACACTTAAAGTTATTTTAGAAAATGCTCAAATAATCCGCCATTGTTTTTAGTTGCATCTTTTTAAAACTGAATTACTACCTATTCTCACAGAATGACCGGTCGACTTAATTAAACTTCTCTCGTACCGCCACTTCGAGTGCCTCTCTTAATTATAATACGTAAGCATGTATCAGCTTCTCAAGAAAGGCCATCTTACACTTATCCACTCAGGAACGCGAAGCCAGATCTTTATCTACCTACCCCACGCTCAGAGTTAGTGAAAAGTTCAATATTATACAACTCGAAAAAAATGCATAATCACCTGCCATTTGAAATCAAATCCATAACATCATTTTCTTCATTTCGCAAAGCATTGAACTCTTATTTACTAGACAAGGCTTTCTACGCCGTGAATGAATTATATTTTGATAATCGAATTTGATCTTGTAAACACTGGTCTAATGTTTGCTTATTTACCAATGACACCGAAATAAATTTATTTAGAGGTCAAGATATTTTTACTATAAACCAACTAAATATTTTTGAATATTATTTTTATTTTGTTTATTCTTTGACATTGTAAACATTTATATACATGTTTATTTTAAACAATAAGACTGACAATATTATTTGTATAATGTTTTGTATTATCTTTTGTTTGTTTGTTTGTTTACTTTGTTTGTTTATTTTACCTTTGTCTACAAATTGTAAAATTTTTTGACAATAAAGGCATTTATTTATTTATTATTTATTTATTTAATTCATAAGATTTTTTGTAAACCTTCTCGTTAACCATACCGCATAAAAAAATCTAAAATGGATAGGTCAGGTGATCGAGGCCCGTGCAATTGGTCCACTTCTTTCTATCCCTGAGTCTAAATAATTATGATATAAATAATGTTTAACATTTCTTTCATTTAAGGGGGGGGGGTCATAATGAAAGTCATGTTGGAACCGCTCTATTGATGCGCGAGTATCTACACGCTTTTTTTCATTTGAAAAATTTAAAATTTCTTTCTCATTAAAATATCTTGTATATAACATAGAAAAACATATAAATTACCTACCATAAAGCTGGTTTCTGATTTTGCTTTTGATCGGTCATAATTTTGAACTTGAAGCTGAGCGACACAACGATCTGTTTTGAGAACATAGAAAAATGACGAGGAACCTAAAAATAAACATTAAATTAATTTCTTATGAGCATCAAAGAGAGCATCAAAAACATATACAGCGAACTACTACCCCAGAAACACGCCTATGAGGTTTTTTCGCGAAAAAAAAAATTCAATTCAATAATTTCGAATTTTTTTTAATTTTTATTTAAAAAACATAATTTCTAGATAACATGGCAACACAGGTAGTAGAAGAAATTTACGACAAAGAAAATCCAGAAAAGATCCAGCGGTTTTTAAAATTTAAAAGAAAGAAAATATTTGCACTTATAAGACAACCTGTATGCAGATAAAAATAAGTAAAACAGTTCCTATCTACAAACTTGTGTCCTCAAATGCGTCGTTTCGGTGATAGAGGGTGTAGAATTTTTATTTTTATTTCGTTTTTTTCTAAATAATTTCTGAACTATAGTCCATAGTTGAATAAAAATTGGTGTCTGGTATTTTTTGGCATGAGAAATTTGGATTTCGATATTAATATGATTCCTATTTGTAGAGAGCGCCACCTACATTATATGTTTTAACTGTTTTGAAGAATAATAACTTTTCTCTCTCTCTCGTTCGTACCTGTATAAAAGGGCTGAATGAAAAAATTAACATTTCTGTCATTTTTTACATAAAAATATCTCTAGTTAAAAATCGCTACGAACAACCGTTCTAAAGATATTTAAAATGGAAATAATCAATACATGTCATTTTGTTGTTTTGTTGTTTATACATGTTGTTTTGTTCTTTTGTTTTCGAAGTTTTCGAATTATATTCGACACTATTTTTTTCATATGACACAACACTGATGAATGCTATAATGTTAGCCGAAACTTTTTTTTTTAAACCAAATAAAAATAATGAAAAACCAAATGAAAACTTAATCAGCGTTTTCCCGAACCTAAATCCCAAGAAAATCAAAAATTTTAGAATTTTACATATAAAATGACAGCGATATTTATTTCATAGCCATCGCTGCCCTCGTCGCTGACGCATTTTTTTCTATGATATTGTATTATTTGCAAATATAATTTTTCGAACATTGATACTTGTAAAATATACATATAAATTTTGTGAATGCAAATAATAATACATCACTATTAGTAGATATTGAATATTTTTTGTTAAATTAGATCGATTTTAAAACACCAAAATTTAAAATATACTTTACATTTTACCCATTATCTTATGTACCTATTCATTATTTGTATATTGTAAAAATTTGTTGCATTTGTATGGTTCATAGTTTATTTGTCAACTATTTATTACAATAAATAGGTATATTTTTTTGTTTTCACTCTTGGCTTTAGGTCGTTGGGGTTGCAAAGATGTTTCTAGATTTTGTTCATTATTTTTTTATTTTGTGACGACGTTTCGACAGTATATGTCTTTTTCAAGCCTCTTTAAGTACATAAAAACAGTCAGTTAAAATCAATAAGATAAAATGTCAAACTAAAACTCGCTCTGAGGCTGTTCTATTAGAGACTGTATTGGTCTGATATTTAGAAATATCAAAAGCTGATGACATTTTACTTTTGACAATTATGACATTTGGTGTTGATTTTTGCAAGAAGAGGAAGAACTGTCACTTGTTTTATTATTTTCCTTTTCTATTTCACGAAAGTAAAAAGAGTTACCTATCTGATTCGTTCAGGCACTCAATTTAAAGAATATCAGTAACTTATTTGGTAGAGGTATTTTATATTTGCCATGTTGTTAAAAAATAACGGTCAAAATTCAAAGTTATTCATTTTATAGACTATACATAAAAATAGGTATGCCAGACCGCACGTTAGCGGTTAAAGGACTTACTTGGTGATATTTGCTGAACATCAAACGTGGGATCCCATTTTTCTGAACAAGTTTTGTCGACATTCGTTATTTGGAAATCGTCTAAATACTTATTATCGGAGTATAGTATAAGCTGTTTTTTGTCTTCTTGGTCCTTAAAAATAATCGATTTTAGTTAATTCCTTCGTTCGCCAAGAGTTCTTCCTAATTTTTATGACAATGGATTTTTGAAGTGAAACTTTTTTACGCGCGATGGGATTAAAATTTGAAGGTCGTGACACACGAGACGCCAGGGGAAATGTGGTAACGATCGGAGGTTACGACGGAGCGTCGCGTCGTAACTCGGGCCCTATGTGATCTAGTGGAGTGAAATTAGAAAAGTAGATGGGGGGGGGGGGGCTCTTTTCATGATATTTCGACGACGTTTCTTATATTACGAAACCCCATCGTCAATGAATGAAATAATAAAAATCGTCCAATTTAAATGAAATTTGCTATATCGATAGATTGGACCCAAGCCAACTTTACTGTGTACGACACGTGTCACTGTAACAGTTTTGATGTAAGATAGTCAAAAGTTGATGTCATCCGTGGTGGGACTAACGATAACGATTTAATAATTCGAGAAAAATGTGGGTCGACTTCGACATAATTGGGGATAGTCTAAGAGGCAAGTTAAAATAACAAAAAAATTAAAGCAAAATAAAACACTAAATCACCACAATACACCAAAACACTTTTACTTTTACACTGGACGCGCGTTTCGCTAACCATGTTAGCATCATAAGCAGATGATTATAAACTAAAATTCAATCTATAATTGGAGCGTTTATAAACTCGCTCGGTGGGCACAGAGTGGGCGTGGCAATATCTGGCCAACCGAGTCAGAACCCACCGAGCGTAACAGTTAGATTTCCGCCACTAGAGTAGTAGGAACAAAGAACTTGAAGAAATTGGACCGTTGTCTCTGTTCATACAATCTTTGAATTTATTAATTCTGATGCTTTCATATGCATCTAATTGCCTGTAATTTGAGACTTGTTTAAGTAATTTTAAGTTATTAAGATCTATACAATGTTCTTTATCAACAATATGTTCGGCAACGCAAGATTTATCAGGTCTACCATATCCTATCTGAGCTAAATGTTCTTTAAATCTAGTTAATATTGATCTTCTAGTTTGCCCAACATATTTCTGATTACAATCTTTACAAGAAATTTCATAAATACCCGACCTTTTCAGTAGAGGTGTTTTATCCCTTGGATCACCTAATAATTGTTGTAATTTATTATTAGCACTATACACAAGTTTATAATTGACATTCTTAAAAATTCCATTCAGACCACGGGATAACTGTCTATCAAACGGTATTGAAAAATATTTTGACGTATCTTTCTCCACTTGAAAAGTCGAATTTTCAGAAATCATTAACCTATACCTACGTTTTCGAATTATTTTATCAACTAGTGAAGGAGAATATCCATTACACTCATCTACATAGAAAGATTACATTAGGAATGTACCTGAAACAACCAGCCGGGCACGTTCCGTGAAGTAGACACCGAGCCACGTCCGATCCTTCTGTATATGCAACACCGAGTTGATAACGGGGTTCGTATTAGTTCCGAGTATATTAGAAAACACAGCCCCATAGACACACGAAAATTTAATACGAACAATGCCAAAGTTCTCGCAGTTGGAATTGGTACCAAGTGCAGTTGAATAAAGAACAACACCTGCAGGGGAAACTCCTGCTCAAAGGAAAAGATGAAGGATCTATCTTGTTCATTACATTCTTTCATTGTCCAGTTTTACGCATACCCTATCGTCAAATACTGCTGTAAGATTCACTAATACTTACTACAGACATGATAAAAAGTGTACTTTGTTTATATCATGACTGCAGATTGCAGTCGGGACACCAGGAAAAGTACATTCATGCTTTCCGCAACATGGCGGGAACGGAGCGGATCCGAGAAAAAAATGTACGCCGACATTTCTGGGACGGGAACGAGTTCCGGCGAAGCTCGGATCGTGCTCGGCCTGGCATGAATGTATATGTGTAAAGAACACTTGACAATGCTTGGCCATGTCTTCACCGACGCACGGCTCGGACCCGTTACGGTGTAGCGTGAAGCATCCTTTTTAAGCTTGATATTCATGCGTCCGTTATCCGTTGATACGATCGATGGTCCGATATTAATTTTATTGGTTGAATTTAAAGACTTCCATTGGTTAGAAACGGTTAACCAATCGAAACCTTTAAATTCAACCAATAAAATTAATATCGTATCATCGTATCGTCGGACAACGAATGCATGAAAATGAAGCTTTAAGATTCTGGGTTCACTAGTTAATAAACTTTTTTTTTGTAATTTTAACTTGCCTAAAATATGTTCTCTAAATATGTCGCTAGCTCTCCGGCTAGGACGGGATACAGGATGACGCCCTCGACATTTCGAACCGATGCGATGCCTCTAAATGGACGAAATCATCAGGATTTTTCTTAATTATGGGTCGATTGGAACCAAACTTGGCATGTGGATAGAGGTACCCGAATGGAGTCCTCCGACGCGACGGACAGACGGCCAGACAGACAGACGAAATTAAGAAGTTTCAATTCAAATATGCGCACATAGTGCACATACAATTTTTTTAAAATATATACTTACTAAACTGAGATATACTGGGTCATCTCCACTGGGATAAACAAATTCTGGTTGGTAATAATTATATTTATTGATTACTACTGTGAGTATGGCATTGTCTGTATAGTTTTGCGGCGTTCCTTTATCCGATAGCTAAAATTTGAGAATATTTTACTAGTATCGGTGGTATACTTCATTATTTTTACGATCTTATACAAAATATTAAATACAAATGTCAATAATTTAGATTTGTATCTCTCTCTCTCTTCTTAATTTATTTTTGAACTGGTTTCTAATATGTTTGTTTCCAAAAAATCTCTTATATGAAGGTAATATTGTGAGAATAAAAACATCATTATATAAAATAGTTTATTCTGAGAGAAAAGTGTCTGCTATAGTTGTTTGGCTTACTTTGTTATAAATATTGTAATCTTAAACCGTACGGGGTGTTCAAAATTATATACCAAACTTTCTAAAATATAAAATAGTATTTCTTGTTTTCTTTAATGGAATACCTTATAGGTATATTATTCCTTTGTTAGATGGAGGATTAAAAAATGAATACATTTTTTGTATTTAAAGCGTTTCAAAATTTTTATCGGTTTTGTGGATATTCGTGTTATTATATTACATACAGTAATTTTTGATCAAAGCCACCAAATAATTTTTGTTCAGCATTTTACCGTTGAAATAGCCATATGTAATAAAACAGCGAATATTTGCGAAACCGCTAAACAATAAAATTATTTTTTTAAAATAAAAAAAATGTTAGTTTTTTATTTCTTCATCTAACAAAGAAATAATATACAGGATTTTTTATTAAAAAAAAAACAAAGAAAAATTAGTTTATATTTTAGAATGTTTGGCATAGAATTTTAATCTCGCTCTGTGGTTTAAGATTACAGTACTTATTTATAAAAAAGTAGGTACAGACCTTTAAAGTGATCTGAATAGAAGCTAAAAATGCAATAATTAACAGGGTGTTCCATTAAAAAAAATACGATCCTCTCATACTTTTTTGAGTTAAAATATTTTCATAAAATACATCCTTGTACATATTATATGTTTGCATTTAAACGAAATTTCTAAGTTTGTTATTATAGGAGCTACAGATGCCTGACGCACAAAGCTTTTGCAAATAAAAATTATGTTACCTCTCTTTAGAAAGTTTTCCTCAACTAAAAATTGAAGAAAATTACATTCAAAAGTTATTTTAACTGTAAACATTTATTTTCGTTTTGTACTAAGTGATGATGCTTACATTTAGGTGCACAGCGTATGTACCATATAAGTCCTTTAAATCAATTAAAGTCATCAAATGCCATTGTTTGAGGGTATCATTATCCGGAACGTAATAGTCTTCATCATCTTTTACTATATCAAAAGGCGGGGTTGACACTTCCTCACCGTCCTTAGTAATACTAAGAATGTTAAAATCAATTTCGGCATTGTCACCTTCGTCAATATCCATGCCTTGTACTTTGCCAACCAGCGCGTCCTGAAAAATTAATTTAGGGTAACAGTATTTTTTGCCGGGTAGCGTACTTCTGTGGAAAAAAAACTGTGTTGAAAACTTAGATCTTATAAACTTCGTGGAAAAATGCCATATGTATATTACACACAATTTTGTTTACGGGACTTTTAACATGCATTTTTCTATTTATTTCTTTCTAGAACAAGATTATCGTATAAACCTATCCTTCTCTCTGAATACGCTACAGAGCATGCGCAGAACGATATTAGACGTTAATGCTAACTTGGAGCGTTTTTTCGCTGCGTTGACAACAATTACTAAAAATATAGACCATTACATTTTTTTCATCAAGATACAACTGATACGCATATTTATTATTTTGAAAATATTTGTCATATTATCACAATATACTTTTTATATAAATTTTAAACAAAAATAAAATCATGTAATGATAAATTCTTTTTTAAAAATGTTTTAAAATACTACTTTGGAAAATAGCTATGATGATTGGGCAACACATAGAACCAACCAGTTACCAGGGAAAGATTAAAATATGTTATAAATATAATATAAGACGAAACAATAAAAAAAAAATATTAATGCCACTGTTTGTGCTTTTTGTACGCTGTCTGACTCGTGATAATAAAGTGTTGATTTTTATTTCCGACGATATTTTAGATTGATACTTACTCAAAATCTGAGATAGATAGGTATAGGAAATCCTAATATAGTTTGAAAGAGCATTTGAATCTGCTTCGATTTATTTAAAATAATACAGGGTGTTGCATTGGAAATAACAAAGTTTTTATGTAAAATAAATCCTTAAAGTAGATCACTAATTTTTGGTACCCCTGTATAAATTTAAAGAAGCAATAACATTTTTTAGTAAAGTTCATTTCTTTGCCTTTAAACTCAGCACAAAAATTAATTCTGTAAAGTAATGTATAGGGTATTGATAATCAATTCTCTTGTAACATGCATATTTGAATAGCTTTAAATATCTCAAAAACCAATGATTTTAAACATATTTAACCCTTATAATAAACGTTTTTTTAGGCCCAAGAATCCAAAAATGAAATAAAATACCGGGTGTTCCATAAGAAAAAATATAAGTTTGGTATGGATCTTAGTTCTGAGACAACCTGTATATTCCAAAATAATTTTAAATTGTGCACATTGACTCCCCACATATACCCATAAAATATGTTGTTTCTACATCTTTCCGTTTTCGTATAATCAACCGAGGCGAATGAGGTGCGCCACCCCGTATATAAGATCTAAGGTTGAAAAATAGTTACTTACCGCTTTTAGATTCTCATAAGCTGAAATATCGGTAGTTATTAACACAGGAGCATGATCATTTATATCCTCTAATTTTATTGAAAAGGTAGTAGTATTCGAGAGCCGACCTTCATCTAAAATACCAAATATTATTACTGTTTTGTACCTTGGAATTGAGAATCCACGGTTCACAATGGTAATCTTAACTTATAAAGTAGAATATAAAATTTTAAAGTCTTTTAAAAATAGTGTTAAGCCAACCGCGGTACAGTTGATTCCATCTCCGTCCGCCAACTACAGAAACAAATAATAGAGCAGCAGTGTAAACTTTGTGTTGTATTCATCGACCTAAAAGCTTTCGACTCAGTGAACAGAGATGCAATTATGAAAAAGTTTGGAGTACCCAACAAATTGGTAAAACGCGAGGAGGAGTTCTCTCTCCTCTTCTGTGGACCCTGTTAGCGGATGACCTGATGGCAATCATCGATGCATACGAGGTTGAAGCACAGGCATAAGCGGACGACCTGGTAATCCTAGTAAAAGGACACAAAGAGGAGGACATCTCCTCAAAAATACAGGAAGTCTTAGATGCAATTCACGGCTGGTGCACACTGGAACAGTTAAGTGTAAACGCACAGAAAACCGTGATCATACCATTCACCAGAAGAAGGAAAACAGACAAACTAAAACCGCCCACTCTTCTTGGTGAGACAATTCCGTTTGCGGAGGAAGTTAAGTATCTAGGATTAAACCTGGGCAAAAAACTTAGCTGGAACTCCCATCTGGAAAAAATATCAAAAAAGACTTGCAATGCTCTATGGGCATGCCGCCGAATTTGTGGTAGAAACTGGGGATTAAACCCCAAAATATGTACTGGCTATACGTGACAGCCATCAGACCTATTATCACGTATGGCGCAGTTGCCTGGTGACAGAAAGCCAACTAAACAACGGCAAAGAATAAACTGTCAAAATTACAACGACAAGCATGCTTAGCGGTGACTGGTGCCTTTCATTCTACGCCGTCAAAAGCTATGGAAACCCTACTCGACTTACCTCCTCTTCAAATTATTTTGGAGAGGGAGGCGAGATGGGCTACGAGAGAGCCAAGGAACAATCATGTTCATACAAAACCGACTAGTAGACGAACTACAATTGGATGAGATTCTGGGAATAGTCTCGGATCTCACTCCACTAATCCAACTCTTGACGCGCACCTACAACGTCCTGTTTCCGAATAGGGACGAATGGGATAAGCCGAGAAACGGCTTATTATTTGCGGAAATGTGTTGGTACACGGACGGATCCAAAAACGATAAAGGATCTGGCGCACGAATTTACTGCAGCAGTCCAAAGACTGAGATCTACCACAGTCTTGGAAACCACACCACTATTTTCTAAGCTGAGCTATATGCGATTGAAACCTGTGTGCAACTGCTGGTAGAACAGCAATACACCGGGAAAACAATAAGCATATTTTCGGATAGTCAAGCCGCGTTGAAAGCACTTGAGGCAACGAAAAGTACATCCAGGACGATTCTTCATTGTAAGAAACTACTTAATATATTAGAGATGGAAACAAAGTGTCGCTAATATGGATACCGGGACATGTCGGCCTAGAGGGAAATGAACGTGCTGATTTCCTCGCCAAAACTGGTGCAGGCTCGCCATTCGTGGGCCCAGAACCGACACTTAGCGTACCAAAAAATCTCGCAAGAGACAGGCTCTGTGAATGGGTTAGGGGTGTAACGCTTCGGGACTGGTATGACAGTCCCGGAATGGAACATGCCAAGACAATCCTAGCAGGGCCATCCAAACGTAGAACAGATGAACTCCTAAAGGCTGGTAGGAACGGAGCGCGTACGCTTACTGCAGTATACACGGGCCACTGCCGGCTGAGATCACACCTACAGAGGATGGGACTGGTGGACGACGCCGAATGCCGACTCTGCATGGAAGATGACGAAACAATGAAGCACGTTATGTGTACCTGTCCCGCTGGGGGCAGGACCAGGTTTCAGGTGTTTGGCAAACCCACGCTAGACCTATCAGACCTAGAAGACATATCACCCTCGGAATAACGGCCTATGTTAAAAGGCTAGGTCTTGAGGGCGAACTTTAATGCTCTTTTTGTATTAAAGAGCTTGTCCCACCTGGGACTCACTCTTAGTAAAATACAATACAATACCCAACAAATTTCTTACAGTGCGTAAAAGCCTCCATAACAACAACAAATCAAGAGTGTCACATCATGGATCACTGAGCGATCCCTTCCTTGCAAATACCTACAGGAGTTTGGCAGGGATGTGCCTTAGCGCCTCTCCTATTCAACATATTCATGGCAGAGCTCTCCATTATAGTGGACAGCAAACTGTAGGAAAGAGCATTGAGTATTAGATACAGATACGACGGCGGTCTGTTCAACATAAAAAGGCAAAAACACGTACAAAATTCATCACAGAACTTCAATACGCTGATGACTGCGCTCTAGTTGTAAAAACGTTACAGCAATTACAAGAAATGTTGAACACATATACCTAGGCATACGAGGCTTTGGGCCTTAAGCTAAATATCGATGAAACTAAAATCATGTATTACCCCGGAAGATTACAACAATGTTATAAAGATCGGAGAAGAACTACTGGAATATGAGCGGAATTCAATTACCCCGGTAGTTTGATTTCGGAAAAGGCCAATATCGACTCTGAAATTCAGAACAGGATTAGCAGCGCCTCAAGAGCATTTTGGAAATTAAAAGACAGGGTTTTCTACAATCTTGACTTGAGCACACAAACAAAACTTGCAATGTACCGGCCAACGACTGCCAGCGATTGCCAAAAAATATGATGTGAGACACCCCTCGGATACAACTGACTACCTCAAGCTGTTGCAAGGATATCTTATTAATTTTAATTATATTTTTTAGACATTGTCATGATCGTAAACTCATAAGTATAAAGTATAATTGATACGTATAACTGAGACCACTAGTTATGACTTAAAAAGGCTTAACACATATTTTTAATATTTTCTTTAAATTCATTACCTTCAAAATTTTTGGGATTATCTTTGCATGTTAAACTACACTCGTACATTTTAATGCCTTCATCTCTGTTAAGCTGAGCTCCTTGCTTGACACGTACAGTGTTATCTGTTACTTCGAAAGCAGCGTAACAGTTGGTACCGTAGTCGTCCAGATCACAAGTAGCGGTATGGTATGGAACTGAAATAATATACAGGTTGTTAATTTGTTTATTACTTGCGGCAAGAGCTTTATGGTTGAAATATGGCAACCTCGGCCCGCTCGCCGAGAGAGGACGCGCGACGCGACGAGACGAGTCGGCAGCTTAATTTAGCACTCATCTGGAATATAGGAAGTGTTGCCATTCTGTTCCTCAATAAGTAACCGTCCAGTTAACAATCAAGTAGGCTCCAGGGAGAACGACAGTTTGTATTGAAATGAAATTTTGTGAGCATATGTAGGTTAATTCAGAGCACTTTTGAAAAATATAGAGAGTTGTACAGGGTGTCCTCAAAAAAAGTTACATATCAAAGTTGTGTTTTTTGTAATGGAACACCCTATATTCTAATTGATTTTCGGATTCTGGGAGAAAAATAAAGGTGAGTTTTATAAAAGAAGTATATGAATAAAATGCAAGGTTTTTGACATATTTAACATTTTCTAGAATAAAGAACAATTTTTAAATTACAATAAAAGCTGCCTATATTAGAATTTACCCGGTATAGCCTAATATGTAGTTAAATTAACTATTGTACTTTAAATCAAATTAAAACTTGATCCAAAAAGTTATACAGGGTGAGACAAAATTAATATTGAACATTGGTCGCCTTTAAAAGCACGTTACTCTTTTATTTTAAATGGAACACTCAGTATATTATTCCGATATTCAATGGAGAATTCATGTCTTTTCAAAATACTATTAAGGTTGTTTATCCCTCAAACAAAGATTTTCCAAGATATTTTCATTTACATGATTTGATGTGAGTAGATCTTTATTATTTGATAAAATATAGGGTGGCTGTGATATGTCTGACGTTACTTCAACAGAGCTGTCTAATTAGTCCAACATTAACAACTAGTTATCATTTTGTGTCAGTTAAAACAAAAAAAAATAGAAATTAGCCGAAAATGCAAGCTTATCCTAGATCAGAGAGAACTGATGAGCTGGTGATGCTAGGGTTTTATTACTACTTACATACTATTTATTTTTACTATTTTGACATAACTTACTATCTCTGTCTGCATCATGATAATCGATTTCGGTTACGTTAGTTCCACCTTCGCTCTTTTCCAATACAGATACTTCGGAAGCGTAAGTTTTATTCACATCGATGGCTGGGTATTTATTATTCTTGTCCAAGATATATATTGAGAACTATTACAAAAAATAGAAAAATTAAAGATATTTAACTACACAAAATAAAGAGAATTAATCGTCTTGCAATTTTCTCTAACATGAAACAAATTTAGTACTTAAATCAAAGATAATTACTGATTTTTTCGAAATGGGCTAGAAAAAATATATTAGTACTATAAGTCTCCCTCTTTCTTGCGTAAGAAAATATTATACAGCTTGTCTCGAATTTGAGATATGACTTATTCATCAATTTTGTTTCATATGGCAATCCTACTTAGAAAACCATCCAGTGGCGTAACTATTATAGGGCAGTTCGGTGCAATGCACCGCGACCACAGGCACTTAAAATAAATTACGTTTCTAAAATATATACAGGGTGAGTTTTCTACGATGTTCTCTATGGGTATCTCGGTAACTACTGGATATACAGAGTCGGTTAAATATGGAAAGAATTGCAGTTTTGTGGGGTTGAAAATGTTTATGACTTACTAGATATTTCGAAAAAAATAAATTTTGGCTATTTTAAAAATGGTCCCTAATCCCATTATGATCTATTTTAGACAAAAAGTTTTCAGATAAAAGTTGTAGATAATCACATCATTAATGAAATTGTGTTCTGCGTTTTTTCTAAAACCTGTAATTTTTGACATATGACACAAACATATGTTTTTTTTTAACATAGAAACCGTGGTTGGCCATGCCTTCATTCAAAGCGTAATTTTTAAACCATTCAAGAGATATAAGCTATAAAATGTTTTTTTTTTGAAAAATTATTTAGAGTTATTATTATAGTTAATATTAGTTAGAGTTGTTATTAGAGTTAATATTATAATTATAATTCTTATCTTTTTTGACTAATTTTACTTAGTTTGGTCTGGTATTCTTATTCTGTTATGATTTATACCTTATAAAAGGACTTAAAAAACTAATAGTTTTACATATAGTTTAAGTTATTTTAGCAAATGTTCAAAAATATCCGCCACTGTTTTGAGTACATAAAATGCACCCTTTACTGAAAAAAAAACTGAATGCAAGCTTTTCTCACAGAACGGCCGGTCGACCTTATCTTCCCCCGAACCGTCTCTTCGAGTGCCTCTCTTGATTCATAACTTCTCTTATAAACCTCGTTGTTAACCATACCTAAATAAAAAAATATATAGGATAGGTTAGGTGATCGAAGCGGCCCATGCAATTGGTCGACCTCTTCCTATTTTTGCATTCTGTCTTCCTTGAATTTGCGTAATTATGATATAAATAATTTTTAACATTTCCTTCGTTATCTGTCGTAATGAAAGTTATGTTAGAACCGCTCTATAGATGTGCGAGTCTTTAACTTTAACTTTTCTAGCATATCTTGAAAACCGTTCTGTAAAAGGCGTAAGTTCACCGGTCAACGTATCTTCGAAAATGTATGGCCAAGAAAAGTTGAACTAATAATCCTACCCGCATTTCTTCATTTGAAAAATTTGTAATTACAATTTAGTTGCATCTCGATAGAATATTTTTGTTTGAATATGTAACAATTTGACATCCCTGCCAGCAACGACGATTATAAGTACTTGTTTCCATGGCTAACTAAGTGAAATTAAAATTGTTTAAAAAGATAAAAATTAGTACTCAGTAATTTTTTCGAAATGTCAAAAATGACAGGCTTTAGAAAAAAACTGAGAACACAACCTCATTAAGGGTGTGATAATCTATAATTTTTATTTGAAAACTTTTTGGTTAAAATAGATTAAAATGGAATTAGGGGGCATTTTTAAAATAGCCGTAATTCGTTTTTTTTCGAAATATCTAGTAAATTTGTTCTTACAAAACTGCAATTCTTTCCCCGTTCTTGACCCATATAGAGAACACCGTAGAAAACTCACCTTGTTATTTATGTTTAGTTTTTTTACTCAGGGGCTCCGAAAAATATCTTGCACCCACGTGTCTAGCTACGCTAGGGTTCCCAACCGTCCCGGTTTGGCCGGGATTAACCAGGAATCAGAAAGTTTGTCCCGGCGAAAGTTTTGCCTTGGCCGGGACCTGGAAACTAAAAAAATGTGTACTACACACATAATATATTTTATTTTCTAATATTTAATGTCTTGCTTCAATTATTTAAAAGCTTAAAAATAATTGTCCCGGAATCGCCGATGCTCAAGTTGGGAACCCTAAGCTACGCCACTGAAATCATCCGGTACAATTACATTAAGTATGCTATTATTAGAGTTTTAGAAGAATACCAAAAATGACCTTTCATGATATTTGAAAAATTACATTATATTACCGCTGTATGTACCACCGTATGATAAAAAATTTGACGTCTAATTTGCTTGGAAATGACGATCTATCGTATATCATCTATGACATTCCCCGTGTAATTTTGCATACATAATGACAACGACCTTCATTCCAAGCCTTTTCCGCTCTTTTTTTTCGATCATTTTTTTGTCAGTGGATTCTGAATCTAGTGGCCCCTTTTTATGAAATATAAATATTCCTATTTTGAGTTTCAAGTCATGTATTGGTACATAAAATATGCTTACATTTTGATACACATAATGCGTTCCATCAGTAGCAGTACAGTTGATATCTACGTAAGAAATATTATATGAGTCACAGTCAATAGTAGCTCCAGTTTTAACGGTAATACTTCCAGTTGTGGATGTATCAAACCAATTGTATGTCTCATTCAGTACTCTGAAATATTGGTAATTGGATATTAGAATATGTACCTAGTATTAGCCAATTATAAAAGATAAATGAAAAAGTTCCAAAAATTGGAGATAATTCCTTGTTTAAATAAAAACGGTGTTATATAGTTATTTGATTATAAACAAGTAGGTTCAAAATTCTTAGATTTGTTATTATTTACAACCATTTAAACAGAAAAGTATTGCTTCTGTAAAAGGAATTTGGTGGCAACGAAACTATTGCAAAAGTAAAAATATATCACAAGTATTCCAAAAAAAGTCAGTATGCAGAAAAGAGTGTCTCATATTTAACCTATAAAAAAATATAATAATATATTTTTATGGGTTAATTATTATTTATTAATTAAATACTAATGCTGAAAATAATTTAAACAGATGGAGCAGGTGCCTTTGTTCAAAGAATACTATTACCGGTTCTCCATAAACGTCTAACGTGCTATGGCCATACATCACCCTGTATTTGTTGCACTAATATCTTTGAATAAGAAGACTAAGGAAGGAGCATAATGCTATTCATGTATTCATGCATGGTGGGCGGAAAAAGGACTCTAGGGTGGGGATCCTTGACAGTTCTGTTTGACGATTCATTTGACACATTTGAATTTGATTTGAAATTTTGTGGATTTGTCAGTCTTTACGGAGCTTATTTTATGTTATTTATTATTTATTCTACTACTGATATTTGTATACAGGTAGTAAATCTGGATGGAAATTGTGGCAGAACTTAAAATAACAGTGACACTATCGCGATTTATCGAAAAACACTCTAAAATAGTTGGTTGTGTAGCGTGTGGTAGATCTCGGCACAAATCGAGTGAAATAATGGAACAACTTTTCGCTAGTAAGTGACTATACAGGGTGTCCCAGAAATAAGTGCAAATATTTTAACTGGTAGTATAATTCAACCTGAGAAACACGTCTATGAAGTTTTTTTCGCGAAAAAAAAATTTGAAAATTCGAAATTTTTTGAAAATTTTTTTGGATTTTTTTTTAGTTTTTAGTTAAAACACATAAATTCTTGATAATATGGCAACATAGGTATTAGATTAAATTTACAAGAAAGAAAATCCAGAAAAGATCGAGTGGTTCTCAAAATTTTAGCAAAAAATATTTTTTTTTTGTAAATTTTCAAAGTAAAAGAACTCCGTTATTTTGGACTCATTTGAAAAACCATAAAGAGAAAATATGTTTCTTTTATCGAGATCTACCACCCCTTAAAATATTTGCACTTACTTCTGGGACACCCTGTATAATATGCATACGTGTAATAAACCGATCATTTATGAAATTCACTTAAATTAACTAATTATATATTTTTTCTTGCATTTTTGCTTTTATTTACTACTTGTCAAAGATTAGATGTCAAAGAATTTAGATACGTCAATTTGACTTACCTGCTTCAGTAGCGTATCGGATGTTTATGGTTATAAATAATTATTATAACTTATCTATTTTTATAAGAATTTTATATTTTTATAACAATTTTAATAACTACCAATATTTATTTCATAACGTAAAATAAATAAAACAATTATAGAGTCTACCACACGTCTACCCTACATCATAGTTTTACATTTTTTAAATAAAATTAGAACGGCACTGATAAACCGGAATTTAAGTCGGCCATATTTGAGGCCCATCGCGGTGGACCTAAGATTTTTGATATGCTCCTTCCTTAGTCTTCTTATTCATAGACTAATATTGATATAATTGATATTTTCTTACACGCATGAATAGGTGACAACGTCACCTTCATCAGGGTCTTTGGCTTCGATATAACCAACTAAAACTCCTGGTTTTTGCTCTTCTTGAATTGTTCTGTTTAGTGCCAGTGTTTCTTCGGTGAATGCTGGAGGATTATCCCGTATATCGATAATACTTATGGCAATAAGAGCTACAACATACAAAAAAGATCATTGATAGTTCTTTATAATTGACATACACATAATATCTCCAAAATTATTGCATATCGATTGTAAGTATTGTTTACATGTTTTGCACAAACTTTAACAAGAAATAAAGTAAGATAAGCAATGTTTATTTATATTTTATTAGAATTTATGAATTCCTGGTGTGGGCGCGCCTAGTTTGCAATGTATGCTTTTATTTCAAATCAAAGAGCGTACACTTGTTCTCAGCAACCGCTATAGCAGCGCCCTACAACGTATGCGCTCAAAAACAATTATTAGTTTTGGCGGCAAACCCGGCATTCCAACACTGAAAAAAAGGATCTCAGTCGAAATGAATATGACTTTGACCCAAAAGATTGGCGCTTTTCAATAGGGCTAAGGACGACGTTTCTTTGCTCAAAGCATTAACTATCTTTTCATAAGTTTAAAAAAATTACTTTAGAGAATAGAAGAATCTATCTGTCCAAAGTATTTCACTCTTGACCCATAATGAATATGCAAAGAAGTTCTTGCTACAAGAACAATAGTCTCTTTGATTCATGCAAAAATTCTTGATTGAAAAGGAACATTTCTTGATTAAAGAGACACTTTTCTTAAACCAATAGCGAATACTATTGACTCAATTAAAATTTATTTTGATCTAAGAGAAGTCTATACATCATATACAGGCATATACTGGCATATTACGAGGTATATTATTTTCTGATAAATTTAGGTTTTCCTGGTCTGTAGTAAGTAAAATGATATTATTTTCCTCGATAGTAGTTATTTCTGCTTCTTCACTCCTTTGTATTTTTTGGGGTGGTTCATCACTCTACAAATTACAAAAAAATGTTACATCACGATTAATCAAAGTAAAGCAAATAAATTATTAAAATTATTAGCTTTGGTCACATTTTGAATTCTTCAATACGACGACTTGAAATTCTAAAATTTTTGTAATTATTTGCATAAAAAATCGATACCTATATTCTTATTCTACCTATAGTCACGAATGCATTATCTAAACAGGTGCATTAGGTAAATGTCTCTTACCTTCAAATATAGCAAGTAAATGCTCTAATTTCCATTTTTTCAGAAACTCCTTTAAAGAATCCATATATCCTAAAATTTGTCCATAAAAAATGACAAATGCATGTCAGTAACGATCACTAATTTGTTATGCGATATGCGTTTAAAAAGCAAATTATGCAAAATTCCAAGTGGAAAATGCCAAGCAACAAAACCCGTGCGTACTATGATGTGCGACCTATGAAATGCGACGTACGACTGATCGGACTGCTGACTGATTGTATATACCGTCCTTCGTCATCGTCTTTGCGTGTCGTTATTATTTTTCATCAAAAGAGTATTTAGCTATTGGAAAAATGGCCATATTTCTTGAATGAAGTACTTCCTAGCTTATTTTTCTTATTATCTTAAAACAAAGTAATTTGCACTTGGTTGAATGAAAATAGATTCAAGAGAAATTTTCGAATTTTTCAAGAGAACCAGTTTTCTTGAGTTAAGAGAGTTTTTCTTCAGGCAAAATATTTTCTTTTACGCTAAAATAAATTCTCTTGCCACTAAATTGTTTTTTCAAGAACGATGACGACTTTAGTTCAAGTCTATCTTTTTTATCAGTGAATCTAAACTTGTTTCCTTTATGTATGAGTAAGTAGCATGTCAAACCGTTTAAGAGAGTGCATTAATGCTCGAGGAGGAAATACAGACTATTAATTTCAAAATTTCTTTTTGTTCTTTGTTTTTACACTTTGAATTTAATTTAAATTTTTAAACTTTCAGCTTCATTCAGAAACTCGCAATTAGTGGTTTCAATTACACTTTATACATTTTAGTTTACGATCATTCACAAAGTCTAAAAAACACATTTAAAATTAATAGAGTATTTTAGCAACAGCTTGCATTAGTCAGTTGTATCCATAGAGAAAGCCTAATATTTAGCTTATAAAACAATAAACTTTTGATTTATAACTAAATTTTCTCTTGATAGATGACAATCAAAGGCCAAAACTGTATTCCTCGCAAATGTTGAAGTATAATAAGTGGAAAAGTTAATAGTTTGTTAACTTTTTACACTAATTGAAAATTCCTACCACTAATTTTGAAGTTCGGAATGCTTAATGTTCATTCATAACCTTGCAATTAGTGGAATAAATTAGTGGTTTCAATTATAGTAGAAGTTTGTTCCTTTAATTTCAATGTAAGCTTTCAGAACGTCAAAATGAGTGGAACACATTTCCAATTAGTAGAAAAAGTTATCAAACTTTTGACTTTTCCACTAATTATACTTCAAAATTTGCGGGAAATGTCATTTTGGCGTTTGATTATCTTCCGTTAAAAGAAATTGTGGTTAGAGATCAAAAGTTGATTGTTTTCTAAGCTAAATATTAGGCTTTCTCCTATGGATACAACCGACTAACGCAAGCTATTGCTAGGATATTCTATTAATCTTAATTGTGTTTGTTAAACATTGCGAATGATCGTAAACTAAAAAGTATGCATATGCAATAATTTTAGACATGCGAGTATGTGTATCTTTACCATATGTAATATGTGTTTATCTTACTATATGTAACATTCAGCTGTCTGGGTGAAACTAAAAAATAATCAATCTTACCTGTAGTGTTCATTTTGTCTACGAAGTCGGGAAGCAGGGTATTCCAATCAGTTATAGTAATATTCAAATAGAGAGTGTCGAACGTTTTGTATAACGGGGCAGTCTGGTTTTCGTTAACATCATTAACGTACAACTCAATTTCAATAGTGCCGTTGATCGTGCTATCTTCTTTATGGTGATACGTCAAATTTAAAAACCTACACAAAAATATCGTTTTAAGAAAACTAATATTTCTTATTCTTGGATACGGTTCTTTTTGGGAGTGAAACTTCTTTACGGGCGCTGCTGGGAGTAAAAATTCAAGGCAGTGACACACAAGTGTGAGACGAAAAGTGACGCGACGTGTATTTTTGAGCAGTCCACGTTTTTATCAAACATATTGAGACTTTAGTACAAATTTTTTGTGTTTAAATTATTTATTAATTAGATACTATACACTAGAGGTGGGCAAAGATTTAGTGATTCCCACGAGAATCTCGTTTTCGAGAGTCTCGTAGGGTCTCGTCTCGTTTTCGAGACAAGACTCGAGACGATACTCGGACAATACGAGACGAGACTTTTATTGGTCTAGTCTCGAGTCTCGTACGAGACTTCTTGTGTCTCGTACGAGAGTCTCGCAGATGAACACTTGATATGTTGCAAGTAGCTCTTAAAGGCAGACATGGACTTTTTCTGAATTTATTTTGTACAGTTCTTTCTGCAGTTCCTCGACTTTTGATTTAAACTCCTTACTTTCTTTCTCCAAGCCTTCAATTTTCTTTTTAGATTCAGAAACAACTTTATTAGACTCATCAACAGCTTTTTTAGAAGCTTCTAATTCCTGGTTTACCAACTTCATCGTTTTTCTTTTTCAAATCCTCCTCCATTCTTTTCAACTCTTCGACATATCTATCAAATTCATTAGATTTGCCAGTAATTTGAGTTTCCAAACTCTGAACTTGTTTCTTCTGTTCAGACAGCTTGCTTTTATGATCTTCCATCAGCTCACTTATAAATTTCTTCTGATTTTCTGTGATACAAACGATCTCATCCTGTTTCAAATGAACCTCCTCAGTTTTCTGAGCCAAAGCATTCTGAGCTTTTTTCAACTGTATTTCTAGATCTTTCACGACTTCAGTGAGCTTGGTTTGAAGTTTATGTAACTCTACGTCTTTTAATTCAATTTCTCTTTGTGAAGTTTCGTGAATTTGTTTTAAACTTCCTTCGTCGCTTAATTTTAGCTCAAACTTTTTCGTTACTTGCGACAATTCTTCTTTAACTTTTTCTAATTCAACTAAACGACTATCTAGCTCAGCTTTAGTAGATTTATTTTCCTCAACAATACCGTTGAATTCTGCGTTCTTCTTTTCTAAATCTTGCATTAATTTTGAAAGCTCTTCTTTGATATTTATTAACTCAGAATTTTTAGTACTTAGATCAACTGTAAGATTTTCTTTTTCTTGCCTTAATGTACTCTCTACATCACTTAAATTGTTCTGATACTGTACCAATTCTTCAGAGAGCGCAGCACATTTTTCTTTGGATTCTGCCAATACTAAACTTATTTCTGGTGTATTATGTCAAAATGTTGTTGATTTAAAACCATATGCTCTTAGAGATGAAGAATGGATACTGCTAGAAGAAGTGCACAAATTATTAATCAACTTTTAAATACTTTTCAAAAAACTCGGAGAAGAGAAGTACGTCACCTTACCTATGGTGGTTGTATGTATCAGTATACTAATAGATAATCTTGAGAGCAAAATATTTGAATGGGATAGAAAAACAAATCGAAACCCTGTCGAAGGGCAGCTTATTGTTGGTTTTCAGGCTGCGAGAGACAAAATACTAAAGCATTATCGTAAAACGAACTGGATTTATGCTGCAGTTTTAATTCTCGATCCACCTCCTAAGTTAGAAAGATTTGATATGACAAAATAGGTCCAAGAATTAAAAGATAATTCGATTCAGAAATTTCAAGATATTTGTAAAGTGTATTTTCATCAATTAGAGGGACAACGTTCGACGGAAACAGCGGTGGCGCAACAAGGACGAGAAAATCCTGGACCTGAAAAGTCGGACTTTGTCACAACTGATTTTGATGCCTTGTACGCAGTAAATCCTACCCCTGCCGAAGGAGAATGGATGCAGGAGCTTCAAAAATACTATTCAATTCCCCGGTGTAATAAAGAAACAGATATATTACAATGGTGGAGAACTCATAGTTCTGAGGTTCCCATTTTAAGTTTAATGGCACGAGATCTCTTGAGTATACCAGCTACCTCAGTTCCGGCGGAAAAGTTATTCTTTCGTGCTGCGTTAACCATTAGAAAACACAGAAATCGCCTTCATAATGAATCTGCACGATGTTTGCTATGCCTAAATGACTGGGTGAAAAACAAAAACATTTGCGACCGAGAAGGCTGTTAGTACCTATATTATTGTTTTTACTTGTTTTCAAAATTATTGTTAAGTTTTTGGTTTTTCTTTTGTGTTTACGTATTACTATGACATATATGATTTTTTTTGAAAATTAATGTTAAGTTTTTGATTTTTGTTTTGTGTTTACGTATTACAATGAAATTTTTTTTACAAAAAAAAATTTTCACTAAAGTCAACCGTTTAGGCATAAAATTTCCAGGAAATTTTACAATTTTGCGTAAAATATGATATATTATGTATAATCGATTTTCCGAAATCAAATGTCGATTAGGGTTCACTAAAACTAGTTGTAGTTTAGTTTCTTCAATTTTGTCATAAAACAGTGGCGTATCATTAATTCGCTCATTAATTTATGAATAATTAATTTCAATTATTGAAAATATGTTTTTTTCTACTTGTTTCCACACCACCCAAGAGGTAAAGTATATGGCGCGTTTATTTTAACGTGGTCTCCCCGGAAGCCTATTCCACTAGATAAATTAAAAACTTTAACTTACGAGCCTGACGGATCTGGCTCATTGATGTCAAAGTCGATCGTGTCTGCTGTGCTGGGCTCATCAGGGTGGTCTCTCAATACGTCCATCTCTTCATCTTCAGCCGCCAGAGGGATATCTACAGGCAAGTCCAACTCCTCTTCATCGGATTCGTCGAGTGACACTTCAGTGACGTTGTCACAGGATTTCCCATTGCAGTATGCACAAATCATTGAACATTTTAATTCTGCTTTTCTGCAACAGCAGGCTTTACCATAGTTGTTGGTTTTGCATTTACAGGATAAAAATGCCATAAGGGACTTTGGAGCTGGATCTTTCAACGTTGTGACTGGAGTAATGCTTGTTTTTGTTTTTTTCCAACACCATTCTTCGGCATCTTTGGTACAACAAGACCAATGCTGAACCTGGTGGTAAGTTCGCAATGAATGCTGTCCAGCACGACAATTAATTATTCATAAATTAATGAGCGAATTAATGATACGACACTGTTTTATGACAAAATTGAAGAAACTAAACTAAAACTAGTTTTAGTGAACCCTAATCGACATTTGATTTCGGAAAATCGACTATACATATTTTGTGCCTAAACGGTTGACTTTAGCGAAAATTTTCGTAAAACCTTTTTATATAAAATTTTATCCTCTTTAATTTTGCTCTCTACAAAATTTCGCGAAAAACACATAGTTTTCGAGATATTCACAAAATACCGATTTTGGGCGCCATCTTGGCAAGATGGCGGCGCCGGCGGCAAGTCTGGTAATGTGCATTTTATGGATTTTAGTTAGGGACCTCAAAACCTATAAATCTGCAAAGTTGCAAAACTTCCGGACATTTTTCCAAGCAAAAATCCCCAATGACTGAACTAAAATACCAAACAGAAATAAGCCTAGTACATTTGTGGAAATATGGTATCAATAACCACAACAATGCAAATAAATTGAAGAAAAATAAGCAACTCACCGCATAGCATTATAAATATCTGGATCACTACCATCTTTCTTGATGGAGTTTTTTGTCACGTATGAGTTATCCCAGTCTATAACAGCAGTAAGATTATTAGTCGTGTCTATATCAGACGCTGTTATTGATGTATTTAGTTTGGTCCCGATAATTCTCTTCTCATTAACTTCTATCATTATGTCCTGCATCATAAAAATAACGTTTTTAGTCCTCACTGAGAATAATCACATTTTAGTCCACTAGTATGTACAGGGTGTCCCATTTTGGTTGAAATCATACGGTATCTCCGTTATTAGTGAAGATAGAAGCACAAACCTGTGCCACTTTTTTGTCAAACGGAAGATGCAATAAACACGAGAATAAACACAATGTTCGTAGTCTTATTTGTTTCTGAGTTACAGAGAGTTCAGGTATTGTGATAGTGTATCGAGAATGTGAAAACTGTTTATTGTAGAATACAGCGTGCGTAGTCTGTTAATATACAAGAATAATATTTTTGAAGCTACGAACTTAAGTTATGTTTTCTTAATTGGAACACCCTGTATATTTACAAACAAGGTTAACGAAAAATACATTATTTAACTTTTTAACATGGGCGATCGGGTTAAAATAGGTAATCAAAATCGAATAATTTATTCGACGTCAAATTTTGGTTAATGGCTATTCCACGCTAGTCGAAACATGTAATACACACACCGGAAAAATCTAGGGATATCATTTTATTAAAGTTAAAAATAAATGTTTTGAATAAACAACCGCATATTTGTAGGCTGATTCTTTCTACTTCGATTGAAACGAAGTAGTCACACTAGTTACTTCTAAATTTGGGATATTTGCAGAAGTGTTTGTGCATTTTTTGTCAAATGTATAAAAAGCACCTAGCATCAATTGTTCGAATTTAACCTGTACTGGCTATGTTTTTATGATAACTGCCCAGAATTCATTCATATAACTCTGTTTAGTATCAAACGACATTATGGAGCGTAGACATCTTAACAGAGACGAAATGCTAAGGGCCATGGGTATGCTCGAAGCTGGAATGCGCCAAATCGACGTAGCTAGAGCATTAAATACAACGCAAAGTGTAATATCGCGATTAAGTGCACGCTACCGTGAAAGTAGTGATGTTGCTGAAAGGCACACAGGGCGACATCGCATTACTACCCCTCAGCAAGATTATTTTTTACAATTAAATGCTCGACGCCGACTGACTCTTACAGCACCAGAGCTTAGTTTAATTCTCCAGGAAACACATAATGTAACCGTTGTTCTGACACTGTTCGCAATAGATTAAAAGAGGTCAACTTAAGAAGCAGACGCCCCTGGAGAGCTCAACCCTTAACGAGAGGAAATCGAGAGGTACGATATTTGTGGGCTCAAGATCATGTTCAGTGGTCGAATGAACAATGGGCCAATGTTCTCTTCACGGATCAAGCTTTGGAATTCATCCGGATTCGAGGAGGCTTAGGGTATGGAGAGAACCGGGAAATCTTATTCGGTTGGATCATGTGCAGGAAGTGCACCCTTATCAAGGTGGAACAGTTATGGTCTGGGGAGGAGTCCAGTTACGCCAAAAAACCGATCTCGTTTTTCTTGAAAGGTTTCTAACAGGAATCACATATCGTGATTTAATTCTTGAGCCTGTCGTGTTACCATATGCCAATGATTTTGGGAGAAACTTCATTCTTATGCATGAAAATGCACGGCCTCAGTGGTAAGTGAGTTTATCAATGCTCATCAATTTAACATCTTACCCTGGCCGGCACAATCTCCTGACCTCAACCCCATCGAGCACGTATGGGACGCGGTCCAAAGAAGGATTTTGAGAATGGACATGCCTCGCGAAACTCGTAGGGATCTGGTTCGGGCCGTGAATGCAGCGTGGCAGGCTGTACCTCAAGAAGAGATCGACAACCTGATCAGGAGTATGGAGAGACGATGGCCATACCCTTTATTAAGTAAAAATAGGTTTATCTTTTTTTTTAATTCACAGTTTAGAATAAAAAAAAATGTGTGTATTTTTTTGAGTTCAATAAAAATCAAGGTAAATTTGAAAAATTCGGTAAATTTCGCATTTTTATTTCCAATACGTCCTGTAAACTATTTGTTTATTTTAATTTTATTATATCAGAAATGCCAATAATAAAATTACTGACGATGGCTGGATAATATTGTAATATCCCTAGACTTTTCCGGTGTGTGTATTTTCAAATTCGCCCTGTATTTCAGACAACAAAGGGGCTCGGACAAATCTGTGTGTAGCATCTTTAGTTCCATAAAAAAGTAGCACAGTGACCAAACCGCATCTCTGCATGTCTAGTCATAAACGAGAAACCCCATTAAACACACAAAGATGGGACATCCTCTATAGTAAAGTCGAACTGTTATGAACATAGAGTATATTTACTGATGTATATGTTGGCGCTTTGTTGTTCACATCAAGTAGTTTGACAGTTACGGGGACTGTAGCGGTATGGGGAGGGTCGGCCTTATCGATTGCTTGTACTTGAAAAATGACAGGATTTATCTTGTCATAATCGAAAGCATCATCAACTGCCACAGTTATTATCCCTTCGGCTGAGTCTATGTCCATTTTGCTGGTTATTGATTCGGCCCCGACAAACACATGTCTAAAATTTTTAGAAAAATCGGTCAAATCAATGGTCAAAGTCTGAATAGCAAACAAACTAATGTTCCTTTAAATAAATAAAAAATACAATGCTTACCAAATTTCCTACAGTATGTCCCCGGATTGGCTTTACAGGAGGGAGAAAACTTTTTTATTATTGACATTTTGAGAAAAATACATTTTTCATAAAAAAGTTTTGCTTGTTCTAAAATGGTTAATCCCGTTTATACGTTTCCAAATTTCCATACCGTTTTCGAATTTTTTCTTAGTCCTAAGAATAAAAACGCGTTTCTATGGTAATATTGTCAACACTTAAATATAGGCTAACTTGGGTTTATATAAAATTGGGAAAAATCATGTAAAATATAATTCTAGTAAACCAATTTGATGTAGACACAAGGGAATCGTTCACGTGTACGTCGACGTAGACATGTTCTTATATATAGTAAACATTGTTAATTAAAACAACTAAAATCAGGTCGATGTAGCGTGATGTTTCAAGGCAAGCTCGTACTAAACATCGCTGATGGAAATATACAAAGAAAACTTTTTATGACGCACCCGCCGATGATTGGGACGAGCGGACAAATATAAAAGAGTATGCTGCAGTAGTCAAGGTGTTAATCGGTCAGTTAGTGGCAGTTAGTCAGTCCAATGGTCAGTTACAGTTGACAGTCACAGTGGTGGGGAAGCTCCTGGTCAGGTGCTGGAGGAATCCCCCTAGCGCTTGGCTTGGTCTAACAAGCATCTCACTCATCGTCTTGTTCCTGGCTGTAGTGTCGTGGTCAGGGAATTGCACCAAGACATATAACGATGCCGGACGGGGCTACCCTTGTCCGTCATACCAGGCACCCTCTACTGACTGTGGTCATGTCTCGCGGATAGAGGGTGTGGAGGGCTTGGCTTAACCGCCTGGCCGAAGAGGAGACAACCTCACCAAAAACCTAAATCCTACGATGGCGGGACCAGGTCAAAGGGATGCGTGGCTAGAAAGAGGACTTGCCATTGCTGGCCTCAACCTTGGGGAATCAGGGGGCACCCCATTTTATTTATTTACCCCTTACTTCTACATGCGGGGCTCTGTAGAAGTGTGCTGAAAGTTCCAAGGGACCAAATCCAAAGGAAACTACGAGGGGCAGCTGACACTTGCTTGGGATCATCCTCCACAAGTGGAACACAAGCTACCACCTTCACCAGCAAGGGTCGGGAGCGTACCTGTAAGTACTACTTTGAGCATACCATTAAGTCTTGGCATTTCCTGAAATTGTTCTGTTATTTTTATCCATTGTATATCCTATGCTAAATAAATGTATTTGTTCTTAATAGTTGTTTTGATTAAAAGAGAGAACCTGGTATAGCGATACCCCTAGCTAGGTCCCGACAATATAATATCGACTTCATCTTTGATAGATTTATACAATTTTAGTTAACGTAAAGTTTTTGTTGTTTTAAAATGTTAAAAAAGCAGAAAATTTATTTGCTTCAATGTTACGGAAAGGGTGATGATAGATATCGGAAAATATTATTTTGAACAACAGCAAAGAATATGACATTAATCAAAATGAAATAAATAAAATAAATAAATAAATACATATATACTACTAAATAAATAAAAACATATAAATAAGGAAGGAAGAGTCAATATTTTTAATTTTTTAAAAAAGTCCTGGCAATGAGTTCTGCTGTTTAGTCCTAGTGAATATCGAACAGCTCTCTTCTGGAGCTTGAAAATGCGGTCAAATTGAGTCGCACAACACGTACCCCAGAATGGAAGGGCATACCTGAGGTGCGACTCAAGAAGTACATAATAAACAGTTCAAGCAACTGACAATTTAAGCTCCTTAGAAACAGATCTTAATGCAAAACAGGCAGAGCTCAATGTTTTCGACAAAGCTTCGATATGTATGTCCCATTTCAGAGAATTGTCTACAACAAGCCCTAAGAATTTTACAGATTTTACTACGTCAATGGAAGTGTTGTTAAGTACAAAAGGATGCAGCGAGTTTTTATACGACATAGCTTTAGTTTTAGAAATGTAGAGACTCAGGAGGTTCGAGTCGCACCAATATTTAATAGTGATTAAGTCATTTAATATAATCCTATGAAGTGTCGTGACGTCCTTGTCGCTCCAAGTGAAGCTAGTGTCGTCCGCAAAAAGACATATTTTGCCACTGATGTTTATGTTAGCAATGTCGTTAATAAAAAGAAGAAACAAAATAGGGCCTAGTATTGAGCCTTGTAATCATTTTAGAACAAGCAATTTTTTTTTATAAAGAATGCATTTTTCTGAAAATGTCAATAATAAAAAAGTTTTTCCTCTTGTTAAGACAATCCGGGGATATACTGTATGTCTACTTACTTGAGTATTTTATCTTCTGCGTCCCTATCGGTGGCTTTAACTTGTATAATTTGTTCTCCCTTTTTGATGGTTTCGTTTACCGAAATTTCATAACTGGTTTTATCAAATTTCGGCGTTTCGTCATTGTAATCAATGAGGCTGATTTCCACTAAAAGACGATCTTCTAATGACAGGTTATATCTTCCAGAGGAATGTACCTGAAATTGTGAACTAGAGTTACTCATTAATTTTTGGAGAATAAGGTACGTACGTTATAGATTTACTTTGTAATATTTTCTTTAATTTTAATGCTGAGCCTGGCATGCACCTGCATTACAGAACTCATGCCCAACAGCAGCAATGGAGGTTATTCTAGAGCTAACACCAATGCATTTACATTGATAGATATGGCCATGCGATGAATGATTAGAATGGTCATTGACGGAAACTACTTAGACGTACGTGGAGAATCTTCAACTTTGAAATACCCTTAAAAGAAACATTCCACTCCTCCAACTCCCAGTGGATGACATACCAAGAAAGTGTAACTTTTAGAAACACCCAACTGTAGTATTGAGCAAGAAAAATAATTGGAAGTGAGATACGTTTGTTGGACAGTAAAAAGACCATAAGATAATGTGATACACTGATTACTGATGCTTCCAACTATATCTGGTGAATATAGGGTGGATTGCGATAATTGTGATGCCGTGTACCGGGTGGCCAACTAAGAATAGACGCCGGCTGTATCTCAGAGACAACTTAACGTATAGCTTTGGGGAAAAAATGTAATAAGTAAATCGGCCAAAAAAAAATCGCTGGAAATTATTTTCAAGTTCGAAAAACGTCCGCTAGGATGGTCAATCAGAATTGGCCTAGGATGGCCAATCGCTTTTTTGATGGCCAATCAGAAACCAGGGGTTTTCTAAAGAATATGCAGTTGTAGACGTATTTTAAATATTACTGTTGTAATTTGTAACGCTTTTAGTTCGTTACATGTCTTTTTTATATATAATATATGATGTCTGGCATATCGTCACCCGATTCCGTATCGTTCGCCTGATGATTTATTTGACGAATTTTTACGTTCTCTAGTCCACAACCCTGTTTTCGTTTGACACAACCCTGTTATCGCTCTGTGGAGGCGCGCGCTGTCAACATCGCTTCTGTCAACTCTCTGTGATTTAACTTTACTTTTGGTTTGATCGTTTGGCCTGTCAGACGCCATTAGTCCCAGTTTTTGAGAAATGGTGATTATTTAAATCTTGCTGTGTAATCTGAATCAGCTGCTATTTCGAAGCTACAGGGTAGAGTTGCGGATGCTCCAACCTAACTTGTAATTGCATTTTGCTGGCACGTTGGCGTCCCTTTTCTTTTGTCCTCCAGAATGTCACATGGAAGGAAGGACAGGTTCTTTATTATTCAGTGAGCCCTCGGAAGTAGTTCGAGGGTCCAAGGTACGGGTAGTGTCTTATGTACAGACATTATCTTATGTACAGATGTCCTGTGGACGAGTGTCCCCAGTAAGAACGATTTTTTCTTACATCTAAGTGCCACAGCGTGGATGTAGCTTGAGTCCCATGCTGCTTCACTCCCATTTCTAAGCCTAGTCAGTAGCTACGGCTGTAAGGATTCATGGTGTCCTCAATCTGGCCCCTTTTGTTGTTTTGACTAACAGGATCGCCGACAGACAGTACAGAGATGCTAGACCACCTCACGCTGCTACTGTTTGAAGCAAGGTTACATAAAAGAACATCTAAGTGTATATTTAAGTTCTAGTTTTACATTTTTAACATTTAAAATATTTTCAGTCTTAAACAGTAACGTACATTTTAAATAATATCGTACAGACTATATTTAGTGGTTAGATTATTAAGAACATTTATGTCGATGCAGTAGTTACAATGTGATTTAGATTTTAGGTTTCATTATATTACGCCTTGTAATAGTATTACTTTCTATAGATATTATTATTGCGCTATATTAACAGATGAATAACGAGACATAGATTCTAGAATCTACAGGTTGCAACACATCAGATTTAACACCGCATAAAATTTAACAATTTAAATAAAGTAATGCTACTTTTCTTATATTTTCTATAACGTTACACGCATTGTATATTTTCATAGTCTTTTCATAGAACATATTTAATATTATTTACATACATAGTTTTACTCAACAAATAACCACTATAATAATTATTAAAATTGTACAATGCTATTTACCATCAGAATTCATCATGAATAAATATAGTCATTAGTATTAAGTATTATACAACTGTGTTTTCTTTCTCTGTACATGCCTGGCGCCCAATATCTATATATCTTTTGTTAATTATTACTGATTAATTTTCTCTCTAGTGAAATACCTTATCCACGACTGCTCTCCGATGAAAAGCTGCCGTTCGCAGTGGTAGTGGTTTAAAAAACGCTACAAATTATTGGAAAATTTATAATTGTTTTTTGTTATAGATTATTTTGCTCTATCTCATAAAATAAAGTGGTGGAGGAAGGTTAAACTTGCTACGACAAAAGGCCCAGGTAATAGATGTCATCCACAGAGTGAAGTCATAATTGAAAATGGTCGAATAAGCTGAAAATGATGATGATGATGACCTTATCTTTTTGCAATTTAATAATATATATATATCAGTTTTTTTTGCATTAGTTTTTTTTATTGTACGATACTTACATAAAACTGAAAGTTGTCCCAAGTACTATTCTCGTAGTCTAAATATGTGGCGTTTTTGACGCTGATTTGAAACTCTGCTGTTCTGTACCCGGCCGTGGGCACAATGAAAAACGCGTCAGTGTAAGCTGCTGCAGAAGTCGGATATTCTTCTAAGGCAACATCGAATAAAGCATTATTTCCCTAAAAATAATTAAAAAAAACTAAATAGATTACTAATTTAAAATTTGAAAAAACAATTTTTTTCTAAAATTGTATTCTGTGTTGTAGAGTGGCGGTTTTTTAATTTTTGAGAATATAACGCTATTAAATTTTATCAATATTTCGTTAATACTACTCATTCCAAAACAGGCTTGTTGTAAAGTTGTAATTTATACACAAAAATTTCGATTATTCCTTTCTATTACTTTCTATAGAAAACTTTCTATATTCTTTTATTTAAGAGAATTTTGACTTTGTTGTTAGTTTCTTCTTTGATTTAGGCTGTATTCCAGGCGAACCAGACCGGTAAACTACGGTAAAGAGCGGTTCCTGAAAAACATCGGTTTGATACGGAACGGTTTGGTACTTTGAATAAGAAGACTAAGAAAGGAGCATATCAAAAATCTTAGGTCCACCGCGATGGGTCTCAAATATGGCCAACTTAAATTCCGGTTTATCAGTGCCGTTCTAACTTTATTTAAAAAATGTAAAACTATGATGTAGGGTAGACATGGTGTAGACTCAATATTTTTTATTTTATTTTACGTTGTGAATAAATGTTGGTATAGTTATTAAAATTGTTATAAAAATATAAAATTCTAATAAAAATAGATAAAAAATGTCTATACCTATGTGGCGGATTCATCTTTCCAAAAAAAAAAGATAATAAAAACGTCAATATCATCAGTTGCTATGCATCGAGAGTCGCAGTCATCTCGAACTATTCTATTTTCAAATATTTGGGAAGTTTATTATTAGATATGTTTTACGACATACCTGTATATTAATATACTTTTTTCTATCACCTTTAGTAAAATAAATTTGTTGAAAAATGATAGATCGTAAGTTGGTAATTTGTGTTTTATTTATCCTTATGTATGTATTTAAATTTTATTGATGCTGCTTTACGTTTTTTGCAATAAAACATATTTCTACCAACTTTATTTGAGTACAGTTGTTGAACGATCAATTGGAGTACCAGCATCTGACTTTTTGTTGTTTTGTGTAACTAAAGTTGGTAATTTGTGTTTTATTTAAAGTTATATATGTATTTGAATTCCATTGATATTATTTCAAGTTATTTGCATGAAAATGTACCAACATTCTTCAGTCAAAAAGTAGATTGATTTTTGTTCCGTTACAATGGCAACTAAATATACTAATAACACGGATTCGGAAAACGAATTTATGTCTTTAGCAATCCTCCAGTCTAGAAAGTTTTTATAGGCAGACATGTAATGATCCTTAGACTTTTGTGGTAGCAATCCAAGACTTGTGAATTTGGCCACCTCTGCTCTTTCTGGTGGTGTACAGGGCTCATTATCACTCTCATAATTCATTTTTTGATTTTAAAGGAGTTCTTGATATGCCACTTAATAATCACTACCTACCATAGACAAACAAATAAAAAGAGACTGACAAATTTCATGGTAAAGAATGGGACCGCGTTCCCGTAGCGCAACTCAGAATAACAATTTTGAAACCAATTAGCAGGACCATGGCAGGACGTAGATCTTTATTGCGATCTTTCTTTATTACATGTGCTTTATATGAAAAAGAAAGAGATAGATATAAAACGTATCCTAAGACATTATCGCACATTCTGGCTGGCGTAAAATTTAAATTATCTTTTATTAGTAGTATTCTTTCATTCTGAAACTGAAAATTTTCACTTAAACTGATAATTGATTTTCACTTAAACTGAGATTACTTAAACTGAGATTACTCTCTATACTACGTAAAGGGAACGTGGTGTGAGGAATAAATCGGTTTAAGTGAAAATTTGCAGTTTCTTTCAGAACGAAAGAATACTACTATTATAAGGGAAATTATAAAAAAGGCAAAAATTATACTGTTTTATAGACATATTTATTTATACATAAAAATAAATAAACGTTTTATAATATAATAACAAAAAATAACAGTGTTTATTCCACCCACCTACCAATTTTAAATGCAGAAGAACTGACTGTTGCAGGAAACAATCGGCCAATTTTTTTAAAGGGCATTAAAAATCTCATTTTCGAAAAAACTGCCTAATTGCAATAACAAAGTGAATATCCAACAAAGAAGACTTTACGAGAATCATGATCCTGAACCATTTTCAAGTCCAGGTTTAATTCTAAAACAAAAGTAAAATAGGTATATTAATAAAGTTTCTGGTTACTATAAACCAGCTATAAACTACCTACCCAAAAAATAAAAAAAATAATTGTATTAATTTTTATGTTAAGAGAGGTTCGAAATATTTTTGACACTACTACTTCTACTTTTTTCTTAATAAGATGATACATATAACTACTTACTTTTATTTTACCGGGTGTCTTTAACATATCTATCAGAGAAAGGGGGCACCAATACATATAAAAAATAGATGATACTGGCTCCTGCAGCAAATAAAATAACAAATAATATAACCGAAAATTATAAATAACAAAATATAAATACCTATACGGAACAAAGGAATTTGTTCCCTATCCATATTCATAAGTCAATAAAATGGAGAGATTAGAAAAAAAGGTAAATCACCAAAAGAAAAATTAACAAACATGACGAATTGACGAATTGTCATGATGTTGTCATCTTGGTTGTCATGATGACGAAAACGAAAGGCGATTGTTCTAATAATTTCTATTTAGAAATTGCGTTTTATATGGTTGCTTCTTTCTCTCTTGTTATATTAGAAGGAGATAGTGGGCTCAATAGACGCAATGCGCAGATCAACATAAATAGAACGAAATTTTGCGTTCTGAGTTGCGCTACGGGAACGTTGTCCCTCTCTTTGCTATTTAATTTGCCAGTCTCTTTTTATTTGTTTGTCTATGCTACCTACTTAACATTTGACAATTTTTGACAACGTTTTTTGACAACATTTGACAACGTCAACATTAATAAAAAGAAAAGATAAGAGAGAAAAACCTCAAATCATCCACGCCTCGTATCGGGATGTTGTGAGTGTCACGTTTGCATAGCAACCTTTGAATAAGAAGACTAAGTAAGGAGTATATCAAAAATCTTAGGTACACCGCGATGGGCCTCAAATATGGCCGACTTAAATTCCGGTTTATCAGTGTCGTTCTAATTTTATTTAAAAAATGTAAAACTATGATGTAGGGTAGACGTGGGGTGGACTCAATAATTTGTTGTTTTATTTTACGTTGTGAATAAATGTTGGTAGTTATTAAAATTGTTATAAAAATATATAATTCTAATAAAAATACATAAGTTATAATAAGTATTTATTAACACAAACATCCGATACGCTACTAAAGCAGGTAAGTCAAATTAACAATAAGACAAGTAATAAATAAAAGCTAAAATGCAAGAAAAATATATAATTTAGTTAATTTAAGTGAATTTCACAAATGATCGGTTTACTACACGTATGCATATTATATAGTCACTTACTAGCGAAAAGTTGTTCCATTATTTCACTCAATTTTTGCCGAGATCTACCGCACGCTACACAACCAACTATTTTAGAGTCTTTTTCGATAAATCGCGATAGTGTCACTGTTAATTTAAGTTCTGCCACAATTTCCATCTAGATTTACCACCTTTATACAACTATCAGTAGTAGAATAAATAATAAATAACATAAAATAAGCTCCATAAAGACTGACAAATCCACAAAATTTCAAATCAAATTCAAATGTGTCAAATGAATCGTCAAACAGAACTGTCAAGGATCCCCACCCTAGAGAGCTTTTATGGTGCCTTTTCCGCCCACCATGCATGAATACATGGATAGCATAATGCTTCTTCCTTAGTCTTCTTATTCAAAGATAGCAACAAATGTAAAGTAAATGCAAAGTGTGATTTATGATAATTCATTGTTATCAGCTGTTATATTTCACACTATTACAAATATGGGCACCATATTCCTTCAGCTAGGAAGTAGAATATTGATTTATTATTAAGTGGTCGTGGACAAAATAATAAAATAAGCTCAGTAAAGACTGACAAACCCACAAAATTTGAAATCAAATTCAAATGTGTCAAATAAATCGATAAAACAGAATTTTTAAGGATTCCCTCCCTAGGGCCCTTCGTCCGTCTACCTTGCATGAACACATGGATAGCATTATACTCCCTATGTTTTCCGCGACACACCAGCCACATGCACTAAGCTAGTTCTTGTGCACATGTAGTCCGTGAAGTTCCAGCCCCCGAATTCCAGCTCCAGCGTGGATGCGTTTCGTGTACTCTCAATGTATTTAAACACGCGCCAACATTAGTGTTGTAACTCACCGTATCAATATCGGTTATCGTTATAGTAGCATCAAGTGTATCAGCAAAATTTTCGTAGATCCAGATATGGTACGATTTATCATCTTTATTGGTGTAGTCGACGATGTTTTTGGTGTTATTGACCAGCGACATGACCAAAGGGCTGTTATCGTCCAAGTCTTCTAAGTAAAGCGTGACTGTTATCGAATTGTTGTATGGGGGATCGTCTACTTTTTGAGCTCGTACGCGGAACTGATAGGTGATGAGGTCATCTGCATCTCGATCGATGGGTTTAATAAGTAATTGACCAGTGGCTTTGTTAATACTGATATAAGGATCTGAAACAAAAATGAATTGGCTAACCTTTCCAGCCGTTAATATAGACATTTACATGAGTCCGTTAAATCTACTTTTGCATGTGAGAAGTTTGAAACATTCGAAACGAATGATGTACAATATTTTATCTCATACTATTGTTTGCTGCCTGTCTCATGCTGCCTATGTTTTTATATACCGGGTGCGTCTTACGTCTCATCTAAAAAAATCGAGATTTTGTATGTTAGTATATGACATAAATTAGGATTGACTGACGTATTCAATTGTTTCACCGGAAATAACTACAATTTTTGATTTTTAAATAGCACCCTCGGTATATTTTTACTTTCTACGATATAAAATGATACTCTGAATAGAATGACATATCATAATATGTCAACTTTTGACATTTTGCTTAAAAAATCGTATTTTAAATTTCAATTTAGAATACCATGACTGTGTTAAAAACAAGCCAAAACACTAATCTTTAATTAAGGAGCCTTGGAAAAAAAAATAAATTTGATCGTATTTTTTAACATATCTCAAATTTTTCAAATGAAACAAGGGTGGCACATCAGCGTATTTGATAAAAAACATTTTTTTTTTTGAATAATTTGGTCCCACACACTTGGTAATTTGAGTGAAATTGTCGTTATGAACCGCATATTACAATTTCAAATAAACTATATGCGAAAATTGCAAAAGTTGACATAATATTATATGTCATTCTGTTCAGATTCAGAGTGTCATTTTATATCGAATAAAGTAAAAAAATAGGGAAGGTGCCATTTAAAAATTAAGAGTTGTAGTCACTCCCGGTGAAACAGGAAGTTAATACAACAATTTAATACGTCAATCAATACTAATTTAAGTCTCATACTATATACAAAGTTATAGCGGTGAACCCCTGGGTGAACCACTTTTAAGACGCACCCGGTATAGAATGTATTAATCTCATAAGCTTATAATATATTTTGGATATTATTGTAATTGTTGGAAACATTGTCAGTACTAAAATAAAATTTGAATTTGGTACGGAATGCTTTGGGATATCCTTTGGGATGTACAGCTCTCTATATTTATCGCTATGTACAGGGTGGTCGAAATTAGTCTGTTTTAACAGGGAAAACCTATTTTCTGACTAGATAGAGCAAAACCGACGTAGATGTCATGGGCTCGATTTCTGAGACACGTTTAATGGCATAAATCGCCTGTTCATATTTTCACTGCCAACTGAGATACGGGGCTTTTTTGATTTTTTTACCATTTTGAAAATTTCCCATAACTTTTTTAATTCGCGGAATAATAAAATTCTGTAAAGACATTCTTAAGGCACTTTTTTAAGCACAATCCAGTGGCGTAGTCAGTCTTTTTCTATACTTGCTCTTTTTGTCAGAAATAATAAAAAATATAATTATTTAAATGAAAATCATCGTTGGCTATGAACTTAAAAAAATGCTGATGTTTAACCCTTTGCAACGATATAAAGTTATGTGTATCTATTTTTAAGAATGAGAGAAATATGAGGGTTTTATTCTTTATATCGAAGCGGGCCTTAATTTTGTGTTGACCTAGTTGCCTAATCATTTTTTATAGCAATTTCATATTTTATATTATTATTTATCTGCAAAATTAAAGACTTTTGAAAACATAAATCAACATTCTATATTAGTTTTACCAATTACAATTAAAACGCCCGCCATTAAATGGAGAATTTAGAGAGAATCGGATTGGAACAAGGAACCTCATATCTTGGCTTACTAGGTCCTGTGAATTAACTTCTTTCTAATTTTTTATGGGGAAAATTAAAAAAACCTTATTTATAAGAGAAGAACCATTGGGACGAGAGAAGAATTGCCGAAGGCTACTAGGCAAGCTTTTGGACTTACACCAGTTCGCCTAATAAATCGCTGTAACTCTGCGCAAAAGATGTTTATTACGTATTCACCAAGGAGGTGCTTTTCAACAGTTTAAACATCTTAGGTGATTTTTTTTTAGAAAACTATATTCGCCTCTTAAAAAATACGTTTTTTAGCTGTGTTCTTTGTTTATTGTATCGATTTCAATTGTAATTACTAAAACTAATATAGAATGTTAATTTACCTTTTCAAAAAACTCTAATTATGCAGATAAATAATAATATAGAATATTAAATTGCGATAAAAAATAATTAGACAACTAGGTCAACACAAAATCAAGGCACACTTCGATACAAAGATAAAAAACCTAATATTTCTCTCATTCTTAGAAATAGATACAAATAACTTTATATCGTTCGAAATGGTTAAACGTCAACATTTTTTTAAGTTCATAGCCAACTATGATTTCCATTTAAAAATTATATTTTTTATTATTTCTGACAAAACGAGCAAGCATAGAATAAAACTCACTACGCCACTGGATTGTGCTTAAAAAAGTGCCTTGAGAACGTCTTTACAGAATTTTATTATTTCGCGAAATAAAAAAGTTATGGGCAATTTTCAAAATGGTAAAAAAATCAAAAAGACCCCGTATCTCAGTAGGCAATGAAAATTTCAACAGGCGGTTTATGCCATTAAACATGTCTCAGAAATCGAGCCCATGACATCTACGTCGGTTTTGCTCTATCTAGTCAGGAAATAGGTTTACCCTGTTAAAACAGACCAATTTCGACCACCCTGTACATCAATAAATAAATAAATAACCCTATAATAACGCTTAGAATAATCTTTATAATGGACTAGTTTTTTCCAATATGTAATAAGTAAAATAAGCTATAAAACAAATAAATTAATTAATTACTAAAATATTAGTTATTAAATTAAAAATATAATTTAAAACTCTTTAAAAAATGATATAATAAGTATATTGTTTGTCAATTTTAAGTTAAGATTCATCTCATAAATCCATCACAATCTGGCAGCGCTGTCGCCATCGCTTTTCACTCAAAGTTGATCACGTGCATCAGAAATTGTTTCGCGATTACCATAGGGGGGCACTTGTGTATGAACAACTTCTCTACGTTTTGAATAATGCTACTTAAAAATAATGAATGGAACTACGATTTGCGACCTTGTAGTTGTAGGACGCAAATATACTGGTGGATGATGATGGGAATATAGTAATGGAGGCTGACATCAAAGCTTAAGACATGGAAAACATATATCGAAACGCTGTTCTAAAAACTAAACGACATCAGCGATACACAGTTCGGTTTCCGCAATGGAGTTAGCATGAGAGAAGCATTATTTAGTATAAACGTGTTGACTCAGCGCTGTTTGGATGTTAACAAGGATGTGTACGCCTGCTTTGTGGACTATGAGAAAGCATTTGACAGAGTCCGTCATGAACAACTTATCAAAATTCTGAGAGAAAGGCAAATAGATACCACAGATGCCAGAATTATTGAAAACCTATATTACGACCAATCAGCAAACATCAAGATAGACAATAAATACACGGAAAACAGCAACATCAAATGTGGTGTACGACAGGGATGTATACTTTCCCCGCTATTGTTTAAGATGTACTCGGAAGTCATCATGAGGGAGGCATTACACAATTAAGCAGCTGGAGTAGTAGTAAACGGTAGATACGCAAATGATACCGTACTGCTAGCAGAAAGTATACAGGACCTGCAACGAATGGTCTAAAAAGTGTATGAAACAAGTATCCATTATGGTTTGAATATGAACCTTAATAAAACAAAATTCATGATATTTACCAAAACACCAAATCAAAATACTCAACTGATCGTAAACCATCAGATAATAGAGCGAGTCTATAAATATAAATATCAAGGAACCCTGATCAACGACAACAATGATTACTCATCAGAATTAAAAACGAGAATTGAAATAGTACGTAACACCTTTATTAAAATGAAGCAATTCTTTTGTTGCAAAACTTTAAGTAACCACCTTAAAATACGAATGCTAAGATGCTACATATTTACAATAATGCTCTATGGTATAGAAGCTGCCACTCTAACAAAACAAATGCTTAAAAAGATATATGCCTTCGAGATGTGGCTTTACAGAAGTCCCAAGAGGTGAAAATCAGAAAACTCCAATATATGGGCCACGTAATGAGAGGTACAAGATACAAGCTTCTACAACTAATTATCCAGGGTAAAATAATAGGGAAGAGAAGCATAGGAAGAAGACGGATGTCGTGGCTTCGGGGAATCAACATCTCAGAGAATGGTTCAACTGTACATCAAACGACCTGTTCAGGGCAGCAGTCAACAAAATAAAATTAGTCATGATGGTCGCCAACCTTCGCAAGAAGTCGGCCCCTTAAGAAGAAAGAAGTTGTAGGAACGTGGTATCAGAAAAATAAAGAGAAATTTCACGTCTAAAGGACAGGCAACAGTTTTTTTACCCAAATTTTTCAGATATCATCAAAACTAGATTTATCACATGTAGTTTCATGTAATATTTTTATGATTTTTTATCCATTTTTCAAGTACACTAGTTTTTGGGTAAGTTTTTTGCGAAATGCGTAGCAGTTTTTCTTTGTTTGCCAAAATTCGAAAAAATGGATAAAATGCATCTAGATTGTCTGTTCCTCAAATCGTGAATAAATAACAACTCACCTTCTTCTTCTTTAGAATCTACTGGTTCGACAAAGTAAAGTATGTCACGATTTCGACCCTTGTCACCATCAACAGCTTTTATACTAAAGTTCTAAAACATAACATTGTTAAAAATATAAACAAGAAATATATATTTAAATAATATTTTATTCATACAGGGTGAGTCTTAAATAAACTAGTGCTAATATTTTTAGGACTAATAGATCTCGATAAAAGAAACATATTATCTCCTTACCGTTTTTAAAATTAGTCCAAAATAACCGAGTAATTTTATTTTGAAAATGAAAAAAAAAATAATTTTTTGGTTAAACTTTGAGACAACTGGTGGATTTACTATTATATATATTTATATATATTTATGATATATATATATATATATATATATATATATATATATATATATATATATATATATATATATATATATATATATATATATATATATATATATATATATATATATATATATATATATATATATATATATATATATATATATATATATATATATATATATATATATATATATATATATATATATATATATATATATATATATATATATATATATATATATATATATATATATTTTTTTATATATATTTTTTTATATTTAATAATATTAATATTTTTTTCCAAACCAAATTTTCATTTTTTTTGCTAAAAAACCGTCATAGGCTTGTTTCTGGGGTTGAAATATAGTACTACCCCTAAAAATATATGCACCTATTTAATAATCACCCTGTAGTAGAGGAGCCCAAGTTGTTAAATGGAAATTTACTTGAGCGTTGTGTGGACCTATTGTATTGTGAAGATTAGAAAATAGAAAAAATGGTTATATGATGTATGCTCTTTTACTTGTGGGAGAGCGTTTATAGGGTGTCAGGTTTTAGGGGTATATGTGGGGAGGCAATGTGCACAATTTAAAATTATTTTGAAATATACAGAGTGTTTCAGAAGTAAGATCCATACCATAGTTATATTTTTTCTTATGAAACACACCCCGTATTTTATTTTATATTTCGATCCGTGGACATAAAATAAAGCATTTATTATTAGGGTTAAATATACTTATAAGCATCGGTTTTTGAGATACTTAAAAATATTTAAACATGCATGCTATAATAAAAAAATTGTCAACACCCTGTACATTGTTTTTCAGAAGACTTTTAAGCCAGAGAAATAAACTTTACCGAAAAATTTGATTGCTTCGTTTAATATATACAGGGGTATTAAAAATTGCTGGTTTATTTTAAACATTTATTTTATATAAAACCTTCGTTATTTCAAATACAACACAGTATTTTTTAAAAATAAATCGAAGCAGATTCAAATGCTCTTTCAAACTATATTAGGGTCTCTTATACCTCTCTAGCTCAAATTTTGAATAAAGAGCATTTTTTCAATAAAATGGCAACCAAGAGGGCTGATATCGTCATGGCAAGTTTCTAGTGACAGTTATTACCTATTTTCAAAACGGAAATTAGTTTATGGACTTTATTTATACTTATATAGCAGTTTAGTTTTATTTAAATTACCTACAATAGTTTAATAAATATTATTTATTAAATATGTACAAGAAAGACGAAGAAGTAGTTCTTTTATATATTTTACGACGATTTGTAGATATATGGATTTTCTATAAAACATCCAATTACGGCAAATTCATTTTCTTCACTTCCATCGACATATTTCTACCTAACATGTTTTTTATAAATCACATTACCAGCTCTGCGAAATAGGACAAGTAGTTTTTCAAAGGAACGCTTATGAAAAAAATTCCTATTTGCATATCTTTGAGCATAAGCCCTTGGTTAAAAAGCAATTTTCATCACATCACTAGTAACATAATATCCATCACTAGTAACAAATCATCCATTCGTTCCGCCAGCAGATACTGCTTTATTTTTCTTGATAAAATAATTAATACTTACTTATTAAACTATTGTGGGTAAATTTAAGAAAACTGTTATAAATCTAAATAATAATGTCCATAAACTAATGTCGATTTTAAAAATAGTTACTATCACTAGAAAATTGCCGTGACCGTTTTATTTAAAAATTGCTTTTTATTCAAAATCTGATCTAGATAGGTATAGGAAAACCTAATATAATTTGAAAGAACATTTAAATCTGCTTCGATTTATTTTAAAAAATACAGTGTGTTGCATTTGGAATAAAGTTTTCATGTAAAATAAATATTTAAAATAGATCAGCAATTTTTGGTACCCCTGTATAAATTTAAGGAAGCAATAACATTTTTAACTAAAGTTTGTTTCTCTAGCTTTAAGCTCAGTAAAAGAATTAATTCTGAAAAGTAATGTACAGGGCGTTGATAATCTATTCTATTGTAGCATGCATATTTAAATATCTCAAAAAACAAAATAAATGCCTTATTTTGTGTCCAAGGATCCAAATATGAAATAAAATACGGGGTGTTCCATAAGATGAAATATAACTTTGGTGTGGATCTTAGTTCTGAAATACCCTGTATAGTTCAAAATAATTTTAAATTGTGCACATTGCCTCACCACATGTGCCCATAAAATATTTGTTCCTACATCTTTCCGTTTTCGCATAACAAACCGAGGCGAATGAGGTGCGCCACCCTGTATTATTTTATATTTTTATAATTAGAAAATTCCACACCTGTAATTTTTAACCAATCAAAACGTGTTTTTTGACAAATCACCATGGCAACGGATAAATTTTAGTGAAACTTTTTTCCTTGAGCCGTGACAGAATATCTTTTTGAGAGTCTGGTTTTTATTTGTTTACATGATAATTTTGATACATTTCAATTACAAAGCTTAGATGAAAGTTTGTAAACTGCTTCCATACGCTTGACTTCGATTTCCTAGTATTGGCGGGTGTCAACTGCTTAATCTCCTGGCGAATATTTTCTTTGTTTTCATGACCGGAGCGAAACATTTTTTTTAAGCCGTGCCGCTTAACAGCTTGAAATAGTTTTTAGGTTTGGGTCAGGGGCGGGAAAGTGAAATAGCAAAAGCGGTTCCACCGTTTCCACGGAAATCTCAAATAAAATAGTTCCAGCCCTAGCCACTAGGTGGTAGTGCAATTAATTTTTAGGTTAAGAAGTTGCTACTAGTTATTGTCAGATGGCGTTAAATCAGAATTTTTTTGTAGTTTCCATAGTTTCCAACGGCCATTGTCATATTATTGTCAAATTCTCAAAAAATATTGTCATTGTCATAGCGCCAATCATAATATTATCAAATAAATGATTATCAAAATGTTTTTCGAACTTTCGAACTATAATTTGTTATATGTGTTTTAATTAGACAATTCCATTTGTTTGTGGCCCTAAAAATATAATGTAAGTCTTTTATTTTTACCATTATCATTTAAGTACCTAATTACTATATTTACTCCATTTACAAAACTTTGGGCGTATGCGTTGGTCTTGTTTTATTATAATAAACGATGTTTAAATATTTGACTTTAATTAATAAATAATATTTCACATGTTTGGCTTTAATTTTATTTAATAATTGTATAAATTATACTGTTAAATCTTATTTTTTTACACATCACAACGATACTTGTTATTAGTATTGTTCAATTTGTGTAAAAAATAAGATGTAATAGTCAAATTTAATTATTTTAGAGTAAAATTCAATAAATACGCTGATTTAAAAAGCCCGCGCTTCGATCCATTTAAAACAAGCCCTACTCAATAGATGGCGCCACATCTGTAGGACCATTTTCCAGTATGGAGTCCATTCTTTTTCTAGCTAGGTATATTCTTTGGTTTGGGTGTCACTTAGTTGTCATAGTAAGTAAATAATCAATTCGACCAAAAATCGAAAAATACATTTTAATTATTTGATTTTCAAACACAATTTGGTGTGGAATTTTCTTACCGAACACCACACGAGGTCAAATTAAATCCGGACATTTTTTCTCGCTCACGAATATTCTTAGAAAATTATCTCTCGTCTTCGACTCGGGATAATTTTTATTAAATATTCATGAGCTCGAAAAAATTTCCTGAAATAATTTGACCTCTAGTGGTATTACTAGTGAAAATATAATAAGAAATATTGACTAAATATAACATGAACTTACATCGTATTCGGTCTTTTCCACAATCTGTTTCGCTGTGAAATAATCTGTGAATTCTGGTGGTTTATTGTTCACATCTTCAACATTAATGATACAGGTGACGTTTTCATTTGGTAATGTCGAATGACCTGCACCATCCTGCAATTAATTCATGTTAATCTCTAGTAGGCCAGTAAACGAGGGTTTTAGGGTCCGAATTCTGAACAACTGCACCGATTGACGTGAAATTGTAACAGTCAATAGAAATATATGTAAGAAACAAAAGTTACATAATAGCGATGTGTGCTTTCACCCTGGGGGTGAGTACCACCCCTTCTCGGGGGTGAAAAATAAGTAACCCATTTTAACTACAAAAATCAACAAAGGGATGAATTCTAAGGAAAAAATGTTCAAAAACATTTTTTCAGAAAATTAATATTTTCCTAGTTATTTAAGATTGAAAATGTTGATTTTTCATCTAAAAGCTGCATATTTTTGCCAATTTTTATAAATAACAAACCTTGTGTTTATCGCAAGAAACTTTGCGTTTTATCGCAAAACTGAAGCTTTTGGAATAACTAAACGATCCATTTATTGTTGATTACCGTAGGTGTAGTAATATCCGAGTTATCATTATGTAAACCTGATTTTATATAAATTAATTTGTAGCTCAAGTAATTTCCTACAAATAGATAGTTTTTATTTTTATGATTTTAGTCATAGATTTTGTTTTTAATTTTTTTCGGAAAAAATGACGTGACCATTTTATATTTATCATAACTCCGCGAAATTTTGAGCTACGAACTTGAAAAGACCTTTAAAAAAAAGACATTTAAAAGGTCTTTTCAAGCACTTTAAAAACGGTCATATTCATTTTCAAAAAATGTGTTCTTTCACCAATATTTTACGGTTGCAATTTAGTTTTCGAAAAATAAAGAATCAAGTTTACAGAGTGATAACTCGGCTATTACTACACCTATGGTAAACAACAAAAAACGAATCGATTTGTTATTCCAAAGGCTTCATTTTTGCTTTATATAAGTTTTGCGATAAAACGCAAGATTTTCGAGTTATTTGTAAAAAATTGCAGAAAAATATACAGTTTTTAGATGAAAAACCAAGATTTTCAATCCTAAATAACTCGGAAAATATTAATTTTCTGAAAAAATGTTATAGTTATATTTTTTGGTTAGAATTTATCCCTTTATTGATTTTTATAACTAAAATGGGTGATCTATTTTTCACCCCGAGAAGGGGTGGCACTCACCCCCAGGGTGAAAGCACACATCGCTACTATGGAACTTTTGTTTCTTACATGTATATCTCTATTCACTCTTAAAATTTCACGTCAATCGGTGCGGGTGTCAAGAATTCAGAGGTAATACCCTATTTTTATCCTCGCTTACTGGCCTATAGTGTAAGTCTGTTATTACTTAAGAAACTTTATTTTTTAGACTTTAATTACACTTTCTATCCTGATTTCATTGGGAATTTATTATACAGGGTGATTCAGGCTTCCGAGAAAGTTCTATATATTAGGTTTTTGGTTTTTAAATTTTATTTCATTTTTTTAACATAATATGGGGACAATGGTAACTAGAGATGAGCAAAAAATTGCAAACTGCGATTCAATCGCACCGATTTTAAAATCGCAATCGCAGTCTGCGATTGGCTCGCGTAGGAAACTGCGACTGCGATTTCACCTATTTGCCGAGTTTCAATTTAGGCAATCCGTATTACCCTTATAACCTATTATAGCTACGATTTGCAACTTTGTTGCGATGTGCGATTTTGTTGCGACTTGCAATTTTGCTGTAATTGTGATTTTGTAAACGTGGACCGTGATTTCTATCTGCGAATTTGAATTTTTAGCAGTTGCGATTTGTGATATTGTTGCGAGTATAATTTTGTCGTCTATTGAAACATTTTATTCTTTCTTCTAAACTGCGCTTGAATTTTCTCTCTGGTATTATTATTTTATAGAGAAGGTATTATTTTCAAAAGCTACGATCAAAATATACAAGGTGTTTCTCAAGAATGGTTCACCCCTATAACTTTCTTATTTCTTCTGATAATAAACGAGATTTGGTATCTTGGTATATGACATGAATTAGGATAGATTGAGTTATCCAATTATTGTTTTGGGCCACTGCCTGTTTCACAGGAAATGACTACAACTGTTGATTTTTAAATGGCAACCTCTGTACTTTTTTACTTTATTTGATAGAAAATGACACTCTGAATAGAATGGCATATCATATGGCAACTTTTCACATTTTTGCTTAAAAAGTCGTATTTTAAATTACAATCTAGATTGTCATAACTAATAAACACTAATTTTTAATCAAGATGTCCTGGAAAAATAGATTCGATGGTTTTTAGTTTTTCGCGTCTAGTCCCGGCCTGTATAACTTTTTGAAATAAGTTTTAATTTGATTTAAAGTACAATAGTTAATTTAACTACATATTAGGCTATACCGGGTAAATTCCAATTTAGGTAGCTTTTATTGTAATTTAAAAATTGTTCTTTATTTCTGGAAAATGTTAAAAACCATACATTTTAGTCATATACTTCTCTTATAAAACTCACCTTTATTTTTATCCCAGAATTTGAAAATCAATTAATATATAGGCTGTTTCATTACAAAAAACACAACTTTGATATATAACTTTTTTTGGGGACACCCTGTAGAACTCTCTATATTTTTAAAAAGTGCTCTGAGGTAACTATGTAGGTTACCTCAGAGCACTTTTTAAAAATATAGAGAGTTGCTCACAAAATTTCATTTCAATACAAACTGTCGTTCTCCTTGGAGCCTCCGCGGCGTATGAGAGACGCCACCCTGTATATGTTAAAAATGATAATTACAAAAAATGCATATACTGTGTTTCTCTTTGGGACAGCCGAGTTATAGGTAATCACATTCTTAATGAGACTGTCTTTTTCTAAAGCCTGTCATTTTCGACATATGACACAAATATATGTTTTCAAATATTATTATTTTATATATGACTTCATAAAAAGGACCATTTTTATGTTTTAAAAATAATCGCCTTTAGCTGCTTATCAGTTCTATCATTCATATAGTTTTTCCGAAGTCAATTGTAATAGATTCGGACTCTTAATTTCGTCACTGTCTTTGGCGTCGTCTGGACAAGTGAATTAAGTATCCTAGTGTTTCCAATTGACTTCGGAAATACTATAGAAATATTTATTATTTCGGTGCTTACTTTAGCCTGGACACTAAACGAGTAGAAAATTTTCGTGTCATAATCCAGTTGCCTTAGTGTGGTGATATAAACGGTGGTAGTATAATTCTCTGGCGAATCTAAACTTGTATCGATGTAGAAATTGAACAACTTATCTTCCTGTTCCTAAAAAAATACATAGACACTTTTATATTAGACAGGGTGCTAATTATTTAAATACACTTCTTTATTCGGTTTATTATTGTATAAGAATTTCAGAGATTATACAGATTCTACAGATAAAAATAAAACAAAAAGTTCCTATGAACATATGCCCTAAAATGCTTTCCGAAGAAGTTACAGCCCTCGAATGGTTTAATAAAATAATATATTTTGTTTATTTTTAAGATTTTTTGGTAAACCGTTTTTCCAGAAATTTGGTACTCTTTCCCAAATTTTAATGCCAAAGCGAATGGCGGTTGTGAAAAATTCCGTAACTTTCCATTAGAGTAGAGAGTACTACTGGTGGTATTTTTTTATCCTTCAACAAATGAAATAAAAAGGTAGAACTTTTTTAACAGGTGCTCTTCGTTTTAGTTCGAAAAGGTGAACGGTTTGCAAGATATTCGTGTTAAAAGATTACGATTCATCGATTTTAGTTTTAGTGAAATGATAAAATATAAAAAAAATTAAATAAATTAATCTCTTAATTTCGCTAATGCTATAAAATCGATGCATCGGAACCTTTCCAAGCGAATATAGTAGTACTCTCTACCCTAATGGAAAGTAGGCTTTCAAAAAAAAAACGTTTTTATAACCAATTAAAGCTGGATATGTAAAAAGTTGATGAAAATAGAGTTAAAAATAAAAGAAATATAACAATTTAAATTTAACGAAAAAATGTTCCTTTGCGTTTGGACAAGAGGAAAAACATTTTTATTATTGACATATTGAGAAAAAATCATTCTTCATAAAAAGTTTTGCTTGTTCTAAAATGGTTAACCCCGTTTATACGTTTCCAAATTTCCATACCGTTTTAGAGAAAATTAAAAAAATATGGAAATATGGATTTTTTTCTAAGTCTTAGAAATTAAAAGGCGTTTCTATGGTAATATAATTTCGATTTCATTCTTTGATAGGTTGCTATTGTAGTCTAAGAGCTAGCAACGTATTCGAGAAAGTATTTTAAGACGTTTGGCTCTTTGATATATCTTTTACTATGCTCTCTGGAACAGCATGCTGGCCGTCTGGCTGCCGATCCCCGTTGCGCTCACTACTGCGCATCGGAAGAAGATTCTATTTTTTTAAATTTAGTCCTATAAATTCTAGTATTGAATATAAATCGAACATGTCTCCATAGCGCAGTGCATAGAGTTTCAGACCATGAACCGAGGATTCAGAGTTCGAATCCGGGTCAGGGGTAAGACTTTTTTCTACGACTAGCCTAGAAAACGCAGTGTGACACACGGAAAACTCGATCTGAATTTGGCGTTTTGCACACTGTTGTGTGCTAAGGATTTAGTGCACGACATGTGTCATTTTGCACACGACAAGTGCCAATTTTAACATTTTTAACCTCCAATCTTTAGCTGAAACGCCAAACGCAACGCAGCCGTTAGAAAAGTGTTATCATTACATCGCAAATTATTTCACAAAACTGGCAAAAACTGAGTGAGTCTGCTGCTAATTTATAGTCGTAGAAACAATAGCGTAAAAAACTCGTTCGAAAACTTCTTTGTACACTCGTTCGACTTGTGGCTCTTGCCTGCGGCTCGAGCCAACAAACTGTCAAACTCGTGTGCAAAACGTCGTTTTCAAAACTCGTTGTTTAATACACTATTTTATTTTATTTTCGTTTGTATTCTGATAGTAAAGTATTAAATAATTCTGGTGATTCAAAAAAAAAACAAATATTTAATACTTTACTATCAGAATATAAACGAAAATAAAATAAAAAAGTGTTTGCTCGGGATTCGAACTCTGAGCCCTCGGTTCGTGGTCTGAAACTCTACGCACTGCGCTATGGAAACATGCTCGATTTATATTCAATACTAATTTAAAGGACTAATAAAAATATTGGATCTTCTTTCAATGCGCAGTAGGGAACGCAACGTTTACCGGCAGCCAGACGGGCCGCATGCTGTTCTAGAGAGCATAGTAAAAGATATATCAAAGAGTCAGACGTCTTAAAATACTTGTTTTTCCTTGTTTTTGCTAGCTGTCGTACTATTGATAGAATTTTAACTAACGTCATATTTTTTGCTGATTTAAAAATAACACCCAAAGCAGATTATAAAACCTATATACCAAAAATGAAAGAATTCATATATAATAAATGGAAAGAAAGATTTGTAGCAATTGGTAGAACAAAAGGGAAAGAATATTGCACTACAGTTCAGCAGCCATACAGGACTCCATGGTTCCAACAATACAAATCCTTGACAAAGCAACAAATAACAACCATGTGTCGACTCAGATCAAACCATTGTTTATCCCCGTCACATCTCTATAAAATCAGAATTAATAGAGATAATTTGTGTCAGTGTGGAGAGGTTCCTGATGTCTTTCATTTAATAATTGCTTGTCCACATAATTATAATCACCAAAAAATCTTATATTGCTATTTCGACAATGGGATAGAGCAAAAACCGATTTCACTGCATGACATCTTTTTCAAATTCAACAAGACAGAACACATAAAACAAATCACTTTGTTTTTGAATGTTAGTAATTTAAAACTCTAAATATTTTCTAATAACAAGCCTAACATTAACTTTATAATCAAGAAAAAAAAACTAGCCGCAAATTTGAAATGTCATAATCATATTTTCTTGAAATGCATAGTAATTATTGGAATTTAGAGCTGCTTAGTGCTCGTAGAATGCATGCATAACTGAATAGTTGTAGAGCTTAAAGCAACCTGTTTAATAGCCTCAATAATTGTTAGTCGTTAAGAAAGATAAATCGGGGAAAGTTCATAAAACGTGACCACCCCAAAAAAAGAAGAAAAAAGAAAAGCAGAAAAGTACTTTGTCAGAATGGTCCTGGCAGCCTAGGCAACGCAACTCTCTCTTGAAAAGGAGAGTTTGAGAAGAAAGAAGAAGAAGAAAAAATTTAAAGATTTTATATATCTTTAAATTTTTTCTATATATGACGTTAATTAAAATTCTATCAATATCAATCTATTAAAGAATAAAATCAATAATATTTTCATGTTTTTTTAATTATTCCAAAAACAGGATGGAAATTTGGAAAAGTATAAACGGAATTAACTATTTTAGAACAAGCAAAAATGTTTATGAAGAATGCATTTTTCTCAAAATGTCAATAAAAAAGTTTTCCCTCTAGTAAAGCCAATCCGGTGACATATGTACTCTAAGTACTAATAGTAGACTTTCACTACATAATGACCAGAATATTTTAGATGGGTATTGAAGTTGAAATAATAATTTAGTTTTTATTCTTAGTTAAAAAAGAATATTATTAATAATCATACATATGAAAATATTTTGCTTACCAGTTCATTTGTCGTGTCATCTCTACTGTTGATTATCTTAAATGTGGTTTGTCCAACCCAACCGTCCGTATCTGTCAGTGTGGCATTGCAAGTTGTATTATGTATATCATAATCGAAAAGTTCCTAGATAAAAAAATCAATTATTTTCTAATAATAATAGAACAATATTATCAGTGAGATTTATGATGGTGCGCATGCATTCTATGGTGACAAATTTATATACGGGATTACAGCTTAATAATTGTATTATATGTCTGATATTTCTCTTTTAAAAGTCATAGATTGGTTGGATCATTAAACCTTTTGATAGTGCGGTACATATAATGAATGTGCTATGCATACAGGATTAGTTGTTCTGTTTCAAAAAAGTGACTTCTCTTCTGGAGGGATTCTTTAATTAAAAGCGCTGATTGAAAGGGGGAAATAGGGAAGATACGCAACCTAATAGGCGAATTCGTGACAAAGCTGATTTGATTTCTCCTTACGTCAAATTTTGCTTATCGCCTGTATCTCGCTAGTTTCTGTGTGAAGAAAGCATCAAGTTGCAAAACCCGCCGTATTTGGCCGTATAATTTTTTTTAAAATGGCCTCATTGCCTCGTTGATTGTACGAAAACGGAAAGATGTAGAAACCAAATTTTTTATGGGTATATGTAGAGTGGCAATATGCATAATTTAAAATTATTTTCAAATGTACAGGGTGTGTCAGAACTAAGATCCATACCAAAGTTATATTTTTTCTTACGGAACACCCTGTATTTGATTTAATTTTTGGATTCTTGGACATAAAATAAGGCATTTATTATATCAGATATTTAAAGATATTTAAATATGCATGCTAATAAAAAAGTTTGTCAACAACCTGTATATTACTTTTCCGAGTTAATTCTTCTGCTGACTTTGAAGCCAGAGAAATAAACTTTACTAAAAAATGTTATTGCTTCCTTAAATGTATACAGGGGTATCAAAAATTGCTGGCCTATTTTACATAAAAAACTTCGTTATTTCAAATGAAACACTATGTATTTTTTTTAAATAAGTCGAAGCAGATTTAAATGCTCTTTCAAACTATATTACGGTTTCCTATATCTATTTGGCTCAGATTTTGAATAAAAAGCGATTTATCAATAAAATGGCAATCAAGATGGCTGGTGTCGCCACGGCAATTTGCTAGTGACAGTTAGTTGCTATTTTCAAAATTGACATTACTTGATGGACTTTATTTAAATTTATAATACCGTATGATCGAGAAAAAACGGCGTCCAGTTGGCTGGGAAATGACGATCGATGACATTTCCCATATAAATTTACACTTAAAATGACAGCGATCTTCATTTCCCAGCCAACTGGACGCCATTTTTTTTCGATCATACGGTAGTTAACACGTATATTTTATTTTGTTTTTTTACATATTTTAAGATTCTTTAAAAATGTATACAGGGTGTTTCGAAAAATCTGGTCATTGATTAATCACGATCCTGCTTAAAGCGCTTGACGTAAAAAGCTGATTTTTGGAAAACAGATTGACTTTAGGGTGAAGAGGTTCGATAAGAAGGGATTTTTTGAAACTCGAACTCTAAGGGGGTGAAACTATCCCTCAAATATTACAATATTTTTTATTTAAAAAGCCGCCAAGTTTAAAAAAAAACCCTTAAACACGTATATTTTATTTTGTTTTTTTACATATTTAAAGATTTTTTATAAATTTATACAGGGTGTTTCATAAAATGTGACTATTGAGTAATCACGTTCTGCTTAAACTGCTTGACGTTTAAATCGGATTTTTGGCAAACGGATTGACTGTGGACTGTAGAGGTTCGATAATGAGGGGTTTCTCGAATCTCAAATTCCAAGAGAGTGAATACGCCCCTCAAATATTACAATATTTGTTATTTAAAAAACGGTTAGTCTTTCGGGAAAACGCTTGGACAAGCATAACTTATTTGTTATTTTTACATATTTTGAAATTTTTTAAAAAATCATACAGGGTGTTCCAAAAAGTTGGGTAATTTCTTAACAACGATTCTGCTTAAACTGCTTGACGTAAAAAGCTTATTTTTGGCAAACGGATTTTTCGAAAATCAAATTCCAACGAGATGAAACTACCCCTCAAATATTACCAAGTTATATAATAATATTGCTATATTGTTTTTTCTCATGCTGACATAAATGTGAGAAAATTTTATCCAGTTTGTAAGTTAATGGAAATTGTTGCTTTGCTTTATCATCACCATTACAAATGATTAATTCGACGCGAACGAAGTCGCTGGTACACGCTAGTATTTATATAAAATGTCTTTCCTTTTATAAGCAAATTGAAAATATATCCTTACCTTTAATGAACACATTGGGGAAGTTAGCGTTGGTTGTTCATCGTCGTAATTCAGAACGTTAATCTCAACAATATCGGTACCAATCAGCAACATAAATAATTTCTGATTATTTTCATAGTCAAATGTCTGCGTTGAATAAAATTCGTACTTGGAGTCTACCGCCTCTAAATTATACTGAAATTTGGCGTTAGTATCCAGGAATGATACACTTGGACTAGCTGTTGCTGTAAATGTGAAAATTAATCATGTAAGCCATTTTCACATTGCCAATTGTTTGAAAAGGAATTACAATAGTTTTTGAAACTAAATCATAAAAAATATTTAACTGTTGACCATCTGATCTGTTGATACACAGGGTGTCCCAGGTTGGGTGTGTATTAGAAGTTTCTAGAGAACTACAGTATCTTGATCGTAGATTTTTTGTCGACTTGACATTTAAAGTCATAAGGTACTTTTTTAAATAAAAAAAAATACGCTTTGAAAGTAAATCTTAAATAACTTAAAACTGATTTATTTTAAGAATAGGAATATGTTTAAATAATCAAAAGTAACGTATTGGAAGACATTTATACTAGTGAAATAAAAAAAGTGGGGTTTTGTTGAAAAAAATGATTTGAGATCATTTTTAATCGCTCAGTGCTATGACAGCTACGGCCAATATTATACAGGGTGGCCCATCGAAAACGTTCCGCAAGGCATAACGGCTAGGGTATTCTTTTTTTCAAAAAATCCTAAAACACGTCAATTTTGTTTGTGAGGGGGACAACTTTTGCCCCAAAAATGATTGCAAAATCTTAAACCCTCTGAGAGGGGGTGTCATCCCCCAACTTTTTTCAAATGGGAAGGGGGATCAAGTTGCGCCGCAATGAAAAGAGCTTTCTATTCTCTATATTTCCCCGCCTCGTTTTTGAAAATCGGTCGAGTCATTGAGGAAATATAAAGGATTGAAATTTGTTAAGTTTATTTAAACATTTATCAGAGTAAATGATAAGGATAAATTCTTTCGACCAATTTGAGTTTATTTCTTGTTATTTCTAAATGTTTATGCATTTTTTCACTTGTCACAAGGTTGAACGATCAGGTGCGGTAGTTGCTAGATAGCTGGTCTGTGACTTGTGCGTTGAAATTCTTCTCAATATCGTTAAACTCACCCAGAATAGAATTTTCAAAAATGCCAGCCCACATGTTCAATTTCTGAGGGTTTTGTGTGTGCACCTCGTGAAAAACCCTGGGGTTGTCTTCAGCCCAGCATAGGTTTTTTTACATATAGTTGTGTCTATTAACTACACCGTTCAAAAAGAAAGTACACTCATCCAAAAAACACACATTAAATAGGAAATTATTATCATTCGCCACTCGTTCACTCATAGTTTCACAAAATTGCATCGTCTTCGTTGAGTTCTTGTACCAACTGAATTTTGTACTGGTGGAACTTGCTTTTTTTAATATCCTTTGGACACTTGTACGATTCACGCCGGTCTTATTGGTTAATTTTCTTGTACTCAGCGTACTAACCATGGCAACTTGGCTCAATACGAATAACTCCATAGCTTCATTTACTACAGGATTTTCCCTCTGCCTCTTTTTATTCATAACAGAACCAGTTTGGCGAAATTTTGCTACTAACTCGCGAACAATTTTGCCATAAAGGTGGTTGTCAGGATGGCGTTCATTGAATATCTGCGCAACCCGATTGCCACATTCATTATTTTTAAAATAAAGTTCGATTATATCTACCTTTTCGGCAAGTGAGTATACCATAATAATTGTTAAAAAATTTAACGATATTGAGAAGAACTTCAACGCATAAGTCACAGAACAGCTATCTAGCAATTACCGCTCCTGATTGTTCAACCTTGTGGCAAGTGAAAAAATGCGTAAGGAATTTATCCTTATCATTTACTCTGATAAATGTTTAAATAAATCTTTCACATTTCAATCCTTCATATTTTCTCAATGACTCAACCGATTTTCAAAAACGAAGCCGGAAAGTCTAGAGAAAGTCCTTTTCATTGCCGTACCACTTGACCCAACTTCCCATTTGAAAAAAATTGGGGGATGACACCCCCGCTAAAAGGGTTGAGATTTTGCAATCATTTTTAGGGCAAAAGTTCTCCCCCTCACAAACAAAATTGACGTGTTTTTGAATTTTCTGAGATTTTAAGTACGGAATAAAAAATGGGGATACCTATTTAAAATAAAAGAGTTGTAGTAGTATACCTTGAAGCACCGCCATATTGAAAATATTTTTAATCGAAATATCTCGTAAACTAATGATATGCAAAAAATATTCGGTCTAGATGTAGTTTTCCAAAATCGTCTAATATAGGCTCAGCCTATACAAAACCGACTAGTAGACGAACTACACTCGGATGTGATTGTGGAAAATTCGGAAGATTCTGGAAATGGTCTCGGATCTCACACCACCAGTCCAACTCTTGACACGCACCTACAACATCCTGTTTCCGAATAGGGACGAATGGGATAAGCCGAGAAACGGTTTATTACATGCGGGAATGTACTGGACACGGACGAATCCAAAAACGAAAAAGGATCTGGCGCAGGAATTTACTGCAGCATTCCGAAGACTGAGATCTATCACAGTCTTGGAAAACACACCACAATTTTTCAAGCTGAGCTATATGCTATTGAAACCTGTGTGCAACCGCTGGTAGAACAGCAATACACCGGGAAAACAATATGCATATTTTCGAATAGTCAAGCCGCGTTGAAAGCACTTGAGGCAACGAAAAGCACGTCTATGACGATTTTTCATTGTAAGGAACTACTCAATTTATTAGGAGATAGGAACAGAGTGTCGCTAATATGGATACCGGGACATGTCGGCATAGAGGGATATGAACGTGCTGATTCCCTCGCCAAAATTGGTGCAGGTTCGCCATTCGTGGGCCCAGAACCGACACTTAGCGTTCCAAAAAATCTCGCAAGAGGCAGGCTCTGTGAATGGGTTAGGGGTGCGACGTTCCGGGACTGGAATGACAGTCCCGGAATGAAACATGCCAAGAAAATCCTAGCAGGGCCATCCAAACATAGAACAGGAGAACTCCTAAAGGCTGGTACGAATGGAGCGCTTACACTCACTGCAGTGTACTCGGGCCACTGCTGGCTGAGATCACACTTCCAGATGATCGGACTGTGGAAGACGCCGAATGCCGACTCTGTATGAAAGATGACGAAACAATGAAGCACGTTATGTGTACCTGTCTCGCTGGGGGCTGAACCAGGTTTTAGATGTTCGGCAAACCCATGCTAGACCTATCAGACCTTAGGAGACATATCACCCTCGGGCATAACGGCCTACGTTAAAAGGCTCGCGGTCGCAGTAGAAAGTCCCATGGGGCCCACTCTTAGTCAATACAAATGCTCAGCCTGGAACACCCGATATATACCATTTTGAAACTTGAGTGGTGTTATAAAAGGTAAAATAATTACTTACCATCATTAATAATAAAAAGTTGATACTTGCTGTTTTCTGAAACATTTTGGTTATTTTCCCACATATAAATAAGATATCGTTGATTATCGCCTGTTATATATGTACAATTAATAACTCTTGATCCTGCACTAATATCGTACGATTGAGCTGAAACTATAAAAAAAAAGAATTTCACTAAAAATCTATTTTTAACTGATACATACATACAGATATAATGGCATAAATTTAATTATTTTTATTTTTAAATTACTTTAAGCCTAATTAGGTTTTTTATTTTTTTTTCCAGATAAAATTACGAGATTTGGTATGTTAGTAGAGGATATACTTAAATCAGAATTAACTGGTGTTTGAAATTACTTTCGATCACTTCTTGTTGCACCGGAAAAGACTAAAATTTTTGATTATTATTTATATAGTTCTAACGGTATTTTTTATTTTGTTTCATACAAAATGATTTTCCAAATAAAATGACACATCGCATGTCAACTTTTAATTAAGACCTTAATTGTATTTCAAATCTCAATCTATAGTGTGCCATGTGCCATGACAATACATTACAGGGTCCGGCAATAGTGCGTCGGGCATCCTGTAGCTCCTAGAATAAAAAAACTTGGGTTATATTTTGTTCAATTTCTTATTTGGCGTATCTTTCTGTCCATGATTCCTTTTGCTATTTCGGTTTTCTGTTCAATTGAATTTTCTATGTAATCTTCAGCCATCGAACTTGATTGCCAAAGAGAAAATAAGTGAACTTTTTTTTTATTTCATTCAGAAAACGGATCCGAAAATTTTAGCCAGACTCACAAATTGTCATTTAAAAGTACAGTTTTTTGGTGCACGTGGTATACTGATGCTTCCAAAACCAAAGCAGGGACAGGGATAGGAGTATTTGGGCCGAAAACTGAATACTCCGAACCAATGGGCACCTACCCCAGTATCCTTCAGGCAGAAATTTGCGCTATCGAAAGATGCGTACAATTTATCTTAGATAGGAACTATCGAAAACAGGAAATTGCCATCCTATCCGATAGTCAAGCAGCACTTAACGCGATCAACTCAGTAAACATCAATTCGAAGTTGGTCAAGGAATGCCTAGAGAAGCTCAACAAATTAGGCAAAGAAAATAAAGTCCTCCTTCTCTGGGTGCCTGCTCACCAAGGGATAGAAGGCAATGAAAAAGCAAATGATCTAGCTAGAAAAGGAGCGAACACTCCACTAACTGGACCAGAACCGTTCTGTTTTCCAAACGGGAACCAACTGAAAGCGGAACTGAAGAATCTGGAAGACTCCATCCATAACTTGGAATGGGTGTCCTCCAACGGTCTAGGACACTCGAAAAAGTTCCTCAAAACTTATGAACGAGAAAAATCAAAGGTTTTCCTTGGTTAATTAAAAACAATCTTCGGATTGTCACGGGGTTTCTAACAGGACACGGTCTCCTCAACGAACACCTCAGTAGGCTGAAACTGAGAAACAACGGCGAATGCAGATTATGTGGGGAAAATGGGGAAACACCAGAACACCTTATCACTGAGTGCGCCGAGACGACGACCATTCGTGCCATGAACCTTGGTACGTCTGATGTCGAGGATGGAGAGCTGGCCTCTGTGGAGCCGTCTAAGATATTGGCTTTTCTTAAAGTCCTGAGACTGTATGATGAGTTATAACTCAAGAAAGGGGAACACACAATAGATCTATAAGGTCGCGGTGAATAACTCCCCTCCTAAACATTCTACATTCTACATTCTAAGAAGAAGTTTATTTTGGCCCAATAATGATCATAATTGAATTAGTAAAACATCTATTGATTATAAATGCATAAAAACATACATGATGATAGTCATTATTAGTAGCATATCAGATTTAGAATATAAAGCTCCCACTGGGAAAATAAGTACAAAAAAAATTAACTGCCTTCTAAACTATTATAGGTATGGATATGGATGCAACTTTTTGAAATAGAAAACTGTAGCGTAGCGCAATTATTTTAGAACCCGAACCACTTTAAACATTTTTTCTATAGTTCTGTAATTTACTTACCCGCTTGAAGTTGTAAAACTATGGGCAAAATGAGGACAAACCATGGGAATCCCATGCCTGAAACACTACAAAATTGATGTTACATCCAACTATATTACTTCCAGCAAAAAAAACACACTGCAAACTTTTATAAATCACATACACTTGTTACAAATTTTACGTTTCAATAACTCAGTTAACACTTCAACGCTTCGTAAGTTCGATAAATCTAAATAGCAAAATCATATAAAATAATATTTTTCCATGCATTAATAGGTAATCCCATCGATCTCTTATCATTTTTTTGTTAACAAAGAATTATCTCAAAAAATGTAATCTCGATGAGTATTTTGCCAATATCATTTGATAAAATTAGGCAGATAACGTTTATTTTTCGCTATGATTCGTTTATGAACTACTCCTGAGAATTTGCGCATCTAAGGCTTGAAAGATACACGCAGATCATTTACAGTATTGTTTTAGATAAGATTAGTTTGATGGAGCGAAAAGTAATCGATATTTTTTTATAAATAAGTAAACATAGACATTTTGATATAATTTGAACTATTTTTTTCTAGGATTATTAATGTATTTAGAGACTAAATTTTTATGGCTAGTCATAGTTCTGATCTTAATCTTAAAGGTCTGTGCACATTATAATACACATATTGTTTTCGGAACGTAAAGTTTTAAGTCCGGAACAGATTTTTTTAGGGGTTTTAATAATATTCACACTGTCCCGGGACAACGGCCCAGCTATGTCGAAACACTGTTGTTATTTAACTATCTGTTATTTTATAACAATTATTCATAAATAACATAACGCAACCGTTACTACTTCTAAAAAATAACAGATATAAAATAACGACACGTAGAGATCGGCCGCTCGTGAAACGATAAACGAAGTCGGCGCTCTGCACCGCAACGAAATTCTATGCTGCTCGAAGCAATTCCAAAAAACAACTAGTATGGATGGAAAACATGTTATTTCGTCAACCATCGATACCATAGACTTAAAATAAAATATAGACTACACTATTTACATCTCAACGCGGACAAACAACCTTTTTTGTACACATGTTTACTTCTGGGTACAGTCGACCGAGCCTTCCTCATCCAGCCTATGTTGTCACGTCTTTAATATTATCAATATTTTTTTTCTTGTTATACACATATATTGAGATATTAATACTACAGTTTAATAAAGTAGGTTTTAATATTCCATAGATGTATTAAATAGTCCTTATACTACTAAATTATAAGTCGGATACTGTTTAATAAGGATAAGTTCTTTACAATATGACAACAACGATTAGAGGCGAGGGAGCCTATTCATTCATATATTACCTTGTAGTACGTGTCGCACGTGTGCGGTAAAGCTTTGTTGCCGCTCTCTCTCCGGCTGTATTAACGCATTTTCTTAGCTTGTAGTCCTTAAGTTAGTCCTTAGCTTGTAGTCCTTAATTTTATTGACTTTTTCTGTTCAAAAACTATAAAATATGGTTCGCCAGTGCCAAATTTGCAAGAAATTTGACTTAAATAATCCATTTAAGTCTTGAAACGACTTTTGACCGGTAGGCAACTCTCAATTTACCCATTGGCAGTCAGTGGCGTTGTTGTAGAAAGGCGCTTATTTAGATAATATTTTAGTAAAATGTAAAATCTGAATTTTTCTTTTTTACATTACATTATTTACTTACTTACATTGTAACAAAATCATAATTATAACCCTGTTAATAATTAATAATGTTTTTATTAAAAATATATTCCGGTTTATTCTAAAATTATCTTCAGAATCTAAAATAACATACAAGAATTTTAAAATGATATTACATTATGAAACAATATTTTTTAATATACCGGGTCGTCTCTCAAAGTGGCTCAACCCTATAACTTTTTTTATTTTTTCAGATAAAAAAAAAACAGATTTGTATATTAGTAGGTATATGACATAAATTAGGATTTATTGACGTATTCAATTGTTTTTGGTCTCTTCCTGTTTCACCGAAATGATTACATCTTTTTGATTTTTAAAGGCACCCTCGGTATATTGCTACTTTATTCGCTAAAAATGACACTCTGAATAGAATGACATATCATATGTCAACTTTTGACATTGTCGCTTAAAAACATATCCTATTTTAAATTTCAATCCAGTTTTTTCAATCCACTAAGTTTTAATCAAGGAGCCTTGGAAAATAGTTTTGATCGTCTAATAGGTTTCGTGTCTTGTCTAGGTCGGTTAAAAGATGTACAAATCGTATTTTTAATCATACATATGTCAATTTTTTCAAATGGAACAAGGGTGACTCATTAGCATATTTGGAAAAAGCATTTTTTTATGAATATATTGATACCACACACTTGGTATTTCGAGTCAAATTGTCGTTATGAACCGCGTGTTACAATTACAATTAAACCATATGCGAAAATGTCAAAAGTTGACATATGATATGTCATTCTATTCAGAGTGTCATTTTCTATCGAAAAAAAAGTTATAGTCATTTCCGGTGAAACAGGAAGTGACCAAAAACAATTGAATGCGTCAATCAATCCTAATTTATTTCATATACTAACATACTAAATCTTGTTTTTTTATTTGAAAATATAAAAAAATTATGGGGATGAGCCACTTTTGAGACGCACCCGGTATAATAAAGACAGAACCGAGTTAAATAAATGTAGTTTTTTATTATATCCGCTTCCTATCACCTTCCTTGCTTTAATGGAACAGGTTTATGTTTTCTCTAATTTACATAATAAGACATCACTTAACCAGAAAAAAAATTACAACAATCATATTTTTTTTCCTCTCCCTGTCGCCGATTCTATTATATCTGTGGAATAGATCCTGTTTTGATTAATATTAGGGGTTGTAAATGTTTGACTAAAATTATTAATTTATTATTAATTTCAAAAATTACCTAATTTCGATTATAAAATTTCTTCTATAACTTGTATTTTATTATTTTTATCCTTTTTTGGACTCTAAATTATTTTTTCTAAACTTTTATTTAAAAAACCTGTCCTAAATCTTAATAAAATATAAAAAAGTTTAAATACGATATATTTTTAATTTAATTATAGCTTCATTAAAATAAAAAAAATTACCCGGCTATGATACGGAGAGTTCAGGTGTACTCGAGAAACGAAAGACAGTGTTGTGTTTCTCGGCAGAGTCGTCAGGGAACGACCGTTACGACAGAGACAACCTATCTATCGCTCGGGTCTCACTCGTTATAACCTTAAACAATAACACAACAATAACAAGACAGTGTCTGACCGCATGTTCCAGCTATTTATGAATGAGATGCTCAGTCTATATTTTATTTTAAGTCTATGATCGATACAGGCGGCGAGACAACGGACAACGGAGTGGGGAATGCGCTACGGCGAACGTAGCTGCTTCGGTCGATGCCGTCAAAGGTCGTATTGGGCTTACAACAGCTTAAAAATAACAGGATATAAAAGAAGCAGGTTTTTTGAAACAGTTGCGGGCAGAACGCCTGGCGGTCGAGATAACAGGAGTGGGAAAGAAACGCTGCTGCATCGGTCGATTGTCGATGGATGCTCGCAACGGGTTGGAGAAGCAGTCATTTTAGATACGTTGTTTTCCAACCTGTTACGAGCATAACAGGGCGGCGGTCGAGATAATCGGAGTGGGAAAGGAATGCTGCTGCATCGGTCGATTGTCGATGGAGGTTTGAAACAGGTTGGAGAATAACGCATCAGTTGTTTTAGACACATTGTTTTTCAACCTGTTACGAGCATAACGGGCGGGGGTCGAGATATTATGGCGCTGTATGTTTCAGTACTTACTTATTAAGTTTCAATATTTAGGTATTTATTTATTCTGAAAAATTTTCAGAATATTTTAAGATTTTTTAAAAATGTATACAGGGTGTTTTGAAAAATCTGGTCATTGATTAATCACGATCCTGCTTAAAGCCCTTGACGCAAAAAGCTGATTTTTGGAAAATGGATTGACTTTAGGGTGTAGAGGTTCGATAAGAAGGGATTTTTCGAAACTCGAATTCTAAGGGGGTGAAACTACCCTCAAATATTAGAATATTTTTTATTTAAAAACCGGTGTGTTTTTCGGAAAAACCCTTAAAACACGTATATTTTATTATGTTCTTTTACGTATTTTAAGATTTTTTAAAAATATATACAGGGTGTTTCATAAAATATGACCATTGTATAATCACTATTCTGCTTAAACTGCTTGACGTTTAAAGCTGATTTTTGGCAAACGGATTGACTGTGGGGTTGAGGTTCGATAAGGAGGGGTTTCTCGAATCTCAAATTCCAATAGGGTAAAAACGCCCTAGCGTAAAATATTACAATATTTGTTATTTAAAAAACGGTTAGTCTTTCGGTAAAACGCCTGGACACGCGTAATTTATTTTGTTTTTTTACATATTTTGAATTTTTTTAAAAAATCATACAGGGTGTTCCAAAAAGTTGAGTAATTGATTAACCACGATTCTGCTTAAACTGCTCGACGTTTAAAGCTTATTTTTGGCAAATGTGAGAAAATTTTGTCCAGTTTGTATGTTAATGGGAATTCTTGTTTTGCTTTATCATCACCATTACAAATTATTAATACGACGTGAACGAAGTCGCGGGTACACGCTAGTTTAAGTGTAAAATTAATTCGGACTCTAGTGTGTAGTTGGTTTACTTATGAAGAATATACTACACATTTTCTTATATTGCCATTTTTTGACCGCAAATGGTAAAATCATAACTAAGAGCTTCTCGCCCGTCGAGTGAGATGCACCCTGTACACTGCTACGCAATTCAGGATCTACGCGGATCGAGGGGCAGGGCGTAGGTAGATCGGAATTTATAGGTATAGACCAGTGGCGGAATTTTGGCTTTTTTATATCGCAATTTGTAAACAGCGCTTATTTGTAAACAACCACCGTTTTTAGAGAGGTATTTTAGATAACAATCGATATTTAGAAATGTTTTGACACCCTGGAAATACTACCACCGAGCACGTCATTGTTGCAACTTGCAACTGCGTTAATACGCCTGGCGGTGACCGCCTCATACTCTTTCAGATATTTAGCAGTAAAATAAAGAAACTTGTTATTTTTAAGCTGTTTTTTATAAATAACTATAACATTTTCATCTGTTATCTAAAAATAACAGTTTTGCCCCTCACTACTTCCCTATAGATCACCGAAGCTTAGCGACGTTAGACGAGGCGACTCTATTTAACTAAAAAGAATTATTGTCGATTTATTTATTTATTTTAACTATAAAGAATTATAC